TGATTGGTCTATTTCGATGACACTGACCAAGGAAGTATTTTCCAGCGTCCCAGGCAGCTCCTTCCACCTCCGACGCGCGAGGTAAGCGACGTAGCCGTCCGGACGGCGCTTCCAGAAAGGGTGAGAAGACAGAGATCGCGTTTGTTGTGAAACAACTCTAAGAGCGCCAAACGAATCCTCTAGAGCTTGGACGCGTAGTACGCATGCAGCTTGTCGCTCTTGCGAAGCGCTGTGACGAGTGCCTCCAGCTTCGGGTAGGCTTGGGTCGGCACGGTGATTTGGCCTGGGAAGCCGGCAACGACGTTGTCAAAGAGGTCGAGAAGGTAAATGTCGGCAAACGAGAGCGACTCGCCGGCAAAGTAGTCGCCAGCAAGCCGCCGCTCGAGCGCCGCCAGTGCATTTGGCAGCACGTTCGTGTTCAAGTGCGCAAGCTTTGTCGCTCGCGTCTCCGCGTCCATCTTGGCGTATACGACGGGGCAGACTTCCGAGTAGACGTCGCTAATGGCGTCGACGACGCTGTCGGCCGCGAGCGCGAGGAGCGCGTTGGACGGGTACAAACCGACGCGCTTGGCCACGTAGCGCGCGATCGCAATACTCTGCGCAAACACCTTGCCGTCCACGTGGAGCGTTGGCACTTGGTTGAACGGAAGGTCCAGCTCGGCTTTCGCCGCAAAGTACTCGCGGAACGAGTAGCGGGTCTCGCTGAGCGGCAGGTCGCCGTACGCGCAGAGCAGCCGCGTGAGCTCGCCCCGCGCCGGGATGTTCAAGTAGTTGAGGTGGAGCTCCGCCATTTTGGGATATGGCCAGTCGATCTTGTACAATTATATGGTGCTGAGTATACCATAGACAACCTGGTACATTTGAAGTAGTGCAAACTCGGTGATGCCATCGCTCAACACAACCTTGGACCGAGCGAGTCTCCAGGACGCTGCAGCTACCCAGTGGACGATTAATAATAATAAGCACCCGAGTCTGGGAGGATGTAAAAGCACAGCAGCATTTTGGCTACGCTCAATGGCGGACGAGCTACATGCCGACACGTCTGCGCTAGAGCCTCCCACATCTCCACACGAGTGCATTGCCTTCTTAATAGCATCGGTTCGGCAGCATGTACTGTACATGTATGCACACCTTGCCCTTGCCTTCACGTGCATACGCATGTATTCAATATCCCATACCACTACGTCGAGAGCTGGATATTGCTAGCGCCAACAATAAGATCTTAGTGCTTGGTCGCGTCGTCGAGGATCGAGTAGTAGAACGAGGCGGGCTTGGCCGGCGGCGCGTGCTTTTCGAGCACACGGGCCAAATGCAGCAGTTCGTGCTCGTTGTAGTGAAAGGTCTGCAGCAGCATCGAGAGCGGCAGCTTGGCGTCGGCCGAGTACCCGATAGGCACCGTCAACGACGGAATGCCGGCAAAGTTGCCGAGGATGATGTAGCGCATGAGCGCAATCGTCAAACTCAAGTCGCTCAGACCCGACGCAAAGACATCGGGCGTCAACGCCGGCGCCGCGACGCCCGTCGTCGGGGTCAGCAAAACGTCGATCGATTGGAAGAGCTCTTTTGTGACGCGCATCGCGTAGCCTCGGATGCGCTGTGCCGCGACAAAGTCCATGCTCGTAAACACGCTGCGGCTAAACTGGAGCGTGATCTGGACTTCGGGCGAGAAGGACGCGATCTTGTCGTAGTGCGCATCAGCGTTGAGCGCCTCTTCGCTCACAATCGTGACCGAGTGGCTAAAGTGAATCGCCTGCAAGTTGGGAATCTTGACGTCGACGAGCGTCGCGCCGAGCGACTCGAGGTGCCGCGCGGTGGTCCAGAACGCCGCCACAATCTCGGGGTCGGTGCCTTGGAGGTACTCGCGGAAGATGCCGACGCGCACGCCCTGAAGCGATGTCGACTCGAGCGCAGTCGCGTCAATGTGCACGGGCGGCTGGAGCTGGCTCATCGGCAGCGTCGCGTCGGGGCCCGACATGATGGCGTACGCGAGGGCTGTGTCTTGGACAGACCCCGCGATTGGCCCCACATACGCCAAGCTCGGCGACGCAGGAAAGTAACACGGGATGCGCTGGTAGCTCGGCTTCAAGCCCACGACGCCGCAGAGACCGGCAGGGATGCGGATCGAGCCGCCGCCGTCGACACCGATCGCGAGGGGCACCAAGCCCGCCGCGACGGCTGCGGCCGACCCGCTCGAGGACCCGCCCGTCATGTGGTTCTCGTTGTACGGGTTGCGCACGGTGCCGTGCGACGGGTTGATACCGGTCGTGCCGAGGCCACACTCGTGCATGTTGGTCTTGCCGACAAAGAGCGCGCCGGCCGCCCGGAGACGCGCAATTGGCGGGGCATCCCGCGCTACGGGGCCGTTGAGAGGACCGAGAAAGCCCGTGCCGTACGTCGAGTTGTAGCCCGCGAGGTCGACCTACGCAGCGAATGATAAGACAAAAGAGTGGCAGTCGCGACCCACCTCGTCTTTGACGGCGACGGGCACACCATCCAGCACGCCCATGGGTTTGCCTGCAGCGTACCGCGCCAAGGACGCCGCAGCCTCACGCAAAACTTCGTCGGTTTTGACTTCAATGAACGCACGCAGCGGAATCGGCCGGGCATCCGACTCGGCGATCGCGGCCAAAACGGCTTTCGCCACTTGCAGCGGCGTCACGGCGCCCGACTTGTACTTGTCCGTGTAGTCCTGGATCGTCCAGCGCTGGAAGGCAAGGTTCTCGCCAATGGGTGCAAACTTGAGATCGTTGATGTCAAACCCGGTGGCCTTGGCGTCGTGGGCCGCACGCTCGTCGGCGCTGAGCACGTGCACGGGATAGTACATGGGTGAGTCTGTCACGGTCGACGCAAACTCGCGCACGGCAATGACGTCGTTGTCGGCGCGGAGCACCTGGAGCACGAGGCGGCCGATCACGGGCACGCGCGTGAGCTGCGCAAACAGGCGGATGCCGACGCCCGACAAGCGCGGGCTCACGATGGCACGGAGATCCATGGTGTCGCCTGGGAACTTGGCGGCGATGGCATCCGACGAGCCGATGAGCTCATCGCGCGTTGCGAGGACGAGGATGGCGACGACGGCCACGGCGATCGCACTCGACCACTGCATCTTTCAAAGTGACCGCAGATCGCAACGCGATCCAGGGCGGTTGACACAGGTTTTTTAGACGTTGATGCGCAAGGAGCGTCACCCCGCCGCCGACCAGAGTAGGTTTTATCCGGACATTGATATCCGGATGCGGTGTCGAAGGGACGGTGTGTCGACTCGACAAGCGTTGCCCTCGACAGCGAATCGGGAAGGACACGACTACACTTACCCAATGCTATAGTATACATTCCATTTCGCCTCATCAAGTCGAGGCTTGCGTTCGTCATCGCGATGACAAATCGGTGCGGTTGCGGGGAAAAGCCGCAGCGATTAGGGTTGCTGCATATCGTTGACGCGATAGTTTTGTCGGGCATGTAGTTTTCTGTGCGCGATCGCAGGGACACACGACCAGATACACCGAGCCGACCAAGGCCTTTGTGGCACATATTTATCGATCAGCCTTGTTCAACCTTGGCAATTACTGATAACGAGTGCCCCAAACCATTGTTGTGCTTGCAAATGTGATGACTTTCCTGTCAGACGACTCCATCTGCCCGACTAGCTTCAACAAGCTCTTGCTACAACCCATTTAATCTGTACAAGGACGCAATCTAGTTCACCCAGACTCCCTGAACCAAGCGTTGTGCTCGGCCCCCACCGCTTTCGTCTTGCCTGTGTCCCTTCGAACAGCTCTACGAACTCTAAGAACCGAGTGACGATGCAGAAGCATGGTATTATTTGGTGTGTACAACGGAATGGTTAGATAACATTTGAAGACATTAGAGTACGCACACCTGTGGCCTACATGGCGGACGCCAGATACAAGGCCCACGCACGCGTGAGGCCGTCGTCCATGGGCACCTTCTGGAGCATGTCGAGTGCGACGTCGGGGTTGACACTGGCGTAGTTGAGGTACAAAAGCGATGCCCACGCGTTGTCGACTTGCTTCTTGGCAATGAGCGGGAGCGGCGCAAGCACTTCGTCCCATTCTTCCTGGACAAACTTCTTGGTGCGGACGTACTCGGTCACGGGCGTCGTCGGGATCATTTGGATGCCGTGGATGCAGTACTTTTCCGCGCTGAACCACGTCGCGTAGTCGGCCTTGTTGTCAAAGAAGATGCCGAGCACCTTGTTGGCGCGCATCTCGATCGGCTGCACAATGTTGCCCGAGTCCATGAGGAAGTACGTCTTGACGACCCGTGCGTTGAGCGTCAACAGCAGCTGCCCGAGGCGCGCCATGGCGCTGTTCTTCGTCACGCTCCCAAAGAGTGCCATGCCGTAATGGAAGTTGATGTCTTCAGACGAGCTCTCTTGGTCCTTCCCGTCGGCGAGCGCGGTCACACCGTGCGAGTACGAGTGACCCTTGTACCAATCAAACATGCGGAAGGTCGGGAACGCCTTATCGCAGCTGTCGGCGTTGGCCACGTCCCGCACGAGCGTTGCCGCGCGGGCATTGAGGTCGCTGAGGCGCGACCAGCTCGGGTGCACCTTGTTGACAATCGCAGCCGTCGCGATCCAGTAGCCGTAGTGGTAGTGGTGGTCGTTGTACATGGTGTTGCCAAAGTCCGCGTTGAGGTCCTTCTTGACAAAGCCCTCCGAGCTCACGATGCCCTTGTACACGCTGTCGTACACGAGCGGGTACGTCCACGTGTTGTCGATGAACGGGGCGAGGACGGTCTCGAGCTTCTTCTGGCAGCTGCGCAAGAGCGCCGTGTCGTCGCCAACGACCGCCTTGTCGGACGCAATGAGGCAGAGCGATGCGTACTTTTGGGCGGCCTTGCCGTTAAAGTAGTACGACCCACCGATCGCAAGCGTCCACGGCGACTCAACGTCGGCCTGGAGCGCCTTGAGAATGTTGCCCGACGCGACACGCGCCTTGTTCGGCGACTGGCGCGGGAAGAACGAGGCAGGTACGAGGTTCTTCTCGTCAAAGCGCCAGCTCTCCTTGGTCACGAGCGCAAAGAGCTTGCCGCGGGTCGTCGACTCGAGCGCGAGGCCGGACGCAGTGAGCCGCGTTGCGGACGACGGCGAGAGCGTATCAATGTGGTGCTGCAAGCCAAAGTGCAAGAGACCCTTGGCGCACGCGCCTTCGGTCGCCCACTTGAACGTGTAGCTGGTCGTCGACGTCGTGACGCTGCCGCCGTGGACGATGCAGTCAGCGTACGCGTCATAGTCACTGCCATCACTGCCTTTCGCAGCCAGCGCGAGACGAACGGTTGTGCCCGTCGCGGGGGCCGTGGCCGTGAGCTCGGTCGATGACGTGAGCGACCACGAGAGTGGCGACGAGGCGTAGAGTACCCAAACCATGCCGTTGTCCATCGTCAGCGCGAGCTTCGAGGCGGAGGGGATCGAGGCGCCAGTCGACGCGGCCTGGCCGTTGACGCGCGTGATGCCGTGCGTCGTCGTGATGCGGGGTGTGAGGCCATTGTACTTGGCGCTGACGTACGCCATGCCGCTCACGAAGCTCGAGTCGACGCTCTTGCCGCCCGCGGACGCCGTGACGGTCACACCAAGGTCGTCCCACTTGCGGATCTGGAACGGCGTTGCGCCCGACGAGTTGAGCTCGGTGGCCGAGACAAAGAGGTCATTGCCGATGCCGTGCAGGTAGTAGCGCGGTGCTTTTCCGTTGCCCGAGGAGCCGCCAAAGACGCGACTCGACGGCGGGTACGACACGCCGATCGCATCGCGGTGCATGGCGACCGCATACGGGTTGGCCCATGCGCGCAGCTCGGCGTTGTCCTTTCCGGCGCTAATGAGGTTGCCCCACCAGCGGTTCGTCGGGATCGGGATGTCCTTGATGGATGCGTGGAGGTTGCGCGGCGGTGCGAGCCACGACTGGTCGGTCGACGTACGGTACATGGACGCAAGCGAGTCGGACCCGTTCGCAGCGACAGGCACGGGGCCCGAGCTCGAGCTCGAGCTCGAGCTCGAGTTGTCGCCCTTGGGCATGTCAATGCTCACGGGATGGCCGAGGCCGCCGCTGCCATGCGTCGGGTGATGGGCTGCCAAGAGAGGCGCGAGAAGCGCAGCGAGCGCAACGAAGAAGACCATAGCTCGCTTCTGTACAGTCGAGTGGTCGAGGCCAGGCAATTTGAACAATGAGCTTCGGACCCGCTTTTGCAGGTCGACAAAGGTACAGGCCGCGGCCGATCTATGATCAGGCGCGGGGTCGCTTGCGAGTTGTCATACGAGTGCAGAAGGCGCACATGGTCGTCGTGCGTAATGCGGCTAGGCAGCGGCAGATGGCGGCGACGGCCTACCCACCGCCCAGAGCGGCGAGTTCGTCCAACGCAGCATGCAGCTGATGCGAACCCCAAATGGCTTTTCTGAAGGACCCAAAGATCCAGTGCCAACACCGGATTTCAGGAGTCCCAAAATGCGTTTTCGACCACCCCTTGGAAAAAATAATGGCAATCAAGATGGTGCCGCGGTGTGCAGCATATATATACGATAGCAGCACTCAGCACGCGAGTCACATGCTCTCTATCTCGGATTCCTTGCTGCGGGGCGATCAACGTGCAGTGGTTCAGGCCCCAACGCGAGCGCGGGAAAGGCGCTTCAGTGATCGTTCAGATACGATGATGACCAGATAGACAGCACCGACAAGATGAAAGGCGACAGCGTAATGTGGAAACCTCTGCCGTAGGTAGCTTCGTCAACCAGGGCGGGAGCGACCGTTCACCGCCACATTACCTTCATGGAGCAAAGACAGCCCGTTGCGTTCGACAACCCAGAAATGACGACCAGCAGCAATAAGCTCATCTTGCATGGAGTATTGTTGAGCGACTGCATTCGACTACGGCAGTGTCTTTGGTTGAGCGCCACATCGTAACTGGCTTGCAGTTTCGTGTCGCGGATCGTCAAGTAGGGGGTCCTACTCAAAAATACGTGCGAAATGGCAAAAAACAAGCAGCGATATTCAGAGGGGAGAACCATGGGCCGGCGCAATCCCCGCTCGCCTCGGACGTCGTCGGTGCCAGTCCTCGCTGCGTGCATGCGGTCGTCGAGGAAGGCGACGCTGCGGTCACATGCCAAGGCGGCCACCGCCAAGGTCCTCTCGGCCCACGCCCCGAAGCGCGTAGTACGTGGCACGACCCACCCATGGCTTGGCCGAACACGTGTTGGTGGTACTCTGTAGTCTAGACGAACGGACGCCAGTGCTACGGTTCCCACGACGTTCGCGCCAACGAGCAGTGCAGTCGCCCCGCGCGTTCCGCCGCGTGAAAAGGCGAAGAGTGGCCAGTCTCGGAACGTTCTCGCGACGCCGCTGCCAAAGGGCGTCCAGTACGTGGATGCCAACTACAGCAGTGGCACGGACATGGAAGGCGAAGACGACATTGATGAGCGCGTCTTATCCGGCTTTCCACCCGCGCTGCGGACGCTCGAGAAGGACACGGCGCTGCTCAAGAAGCTGTATCCGAGTGCGAAACCACGACTGCAGCATACGATGTATATGGATGGCGCTGTGTGTAGGTATCGCTACGAGCGTCATCCAGCAGACGCTCATTGACACGATTCCCAAGCGCGACGACCAGCACTCGTACTTTGCCAGCCTCGTTGACGCCAGCGCGCGCCTCGAAGCGCTGCAGAACGAAGCGCTGCAGTCCCGACGCAGTACCTTGCGCTCCGTCGACACCTAATCGAGCGAGCTGGGACGAGTTGGTACCACTTTCATATCAGAGAATGCGTACGTCGCCAAGGAGCCGGCGACACCATCTGTCGTTCGCGGGTGCAGCCCACTTTGATGCTCGTCTTTGCCTCTTCGTTGACGTCGCATGGGCGCGGTGAAGTGGTCACTTGAGGAGCAGACGGCAGAGCTGAACGATATCGGCGACCAGGCGTGGGATCGCAAAGAGACAGACAGACCAACGCTTAGAGGTTGAGTCGATGGGGTGTCGCCACGTTTAGGGGTGGGGGTCATGACGAGGTTGACTAATTATAACTCGACCGACGCCATGGACAACGACGGGGCGGCCGACGACGCCGACGTCCCCGCCGTCGACGACTCGGTGCCGATGAACTTTCTCCTCGGTGATCGCATTCGCTTCTACAGCAATGGGACGGCGCCGATCAAGGTGGTTGCGGTACGTCCCAGCGGATCGCTTGTGAGCGTGCACGAGCTAGCGTCCTGTAGCAACCTCGCCCGCGCACCCCCACCGACTTTACCGACATGAGCAAGCGCGAGCGCGAAGTCCGAGCCAAAATGGTGCTGGACCCCATCAACGTGACGCGCACGTTCTTGACGACCGTCAAGGTGGACGAGGCACCGGCGCCGTCGACGTCACCAGCGGCCTCGCCACAGCCCACGTCCGCCGGTCGCTTGGCTTGCATTTCGACTTATTGCTGTGTAGTCGCTCGTTCCAGTCCACAGCGGCGCGCAAGCAGCGCGAGAAGCAGCGACTGCAGGACCAGCGACGCCACGCGTCCATTTCGTGGCGAGGCGGCGATGACGACGCGAATGACGCTGTTCAGGATACGAGCATGGATACGTCCCATGGCTACCTTCGCCCCAAAGTCTTTCTGCCCGTCGCGATCTCGCGAGCACCGACACTGCAGAGCGCCGACAAGCACACCGGTCGGCTAATGAACTCCAGGCACCGGTCGACATGTCTCTGTAGTCATCAAATCCGAGGTCGACAAGGCGCGGGCCAAGGTCGACTGGCGCTTGCACCACGCCCAGCGGGTGCTGGAGGTCACAAAAGCCCAGCAAGAATTCGCCCAACAAGTGCTTTCGCATGGGGCAACGGCCCGCGAGAGCGACAAGAGCCGCAAGTGCGTTCATATCAAATGCTCATCATTGACGTCAACGCGCTCTGTACCGTAGTCAGCTTATGGAGGCAAAACGCAAGGACATGGAGCGGCGAAAGCACGAACAAGAGCTCGACCTGGCCGCCGCCAAGCTCGAGAAGGAGCAGTCACGCTTGGACCTCCATCGCGACGTGGACGAGCGCAACCGCGCGGCCAAGATGCGCAAGGTACGTCCAAGACGTCAGTGATACAAATCTCCATCAAACACGGACCTGTAGGGCAACATGGTGAGCAAACTCAAGGACCGAGTCGAATACTTCCAGCGAAAAGGACTGAATGGCCGCGTCTCGAATCAGTACAAGCTGCAAGACGACGTGCTTGACGCGGGCGATGATGTACCGCTGCCGCGCGCAGATGCACCTACGTTGCGCTCGTTCAAGCCCAGTCGCCGGCGGCCCCGGGACAAGTACACGATCGACGCGACGGCCCGACCCAAGCCCGTGTTTGGCGGCGGGTTCCACATCGAGCCGGCCAAGTGCCACGACACCGACGACGAGAACGAGAACGAGAGCGACTGGGAGGTGTCGAAAGCCGGCGATATACAGCATACAGGTCTATTTCTGCTCGAGAAGCTGCAAGCATTGCGAACCAATAGCAAAGGCCACATGGGCATCTACTCGTCGTCGTCGTTGTGCTCCTTCTGCGTCGACTTTTTCGGGCGGCAGATGACGGCCGTGCCGTAGCACACGCTGCTGCAGTGCAAGCCAAAGACAAACCGATTCATGGCGAGGTTGGTCTCAAACTTGGTGCGCACAACAGCCGTGGCGCCTTGGGCCTATATTAGACGCATGAGGAGGCTATCGCAACAGACAACGATGGGGTGTACGAGCGCAGCTGCCTTCATACGGTGCACCGCTTCGTTGTTCGTCTCATTCATGAGCGACGAGTACGAACGCGTCTCGCCGCCGAGGACGCCGCCAAACGCAGCGAGGATGTCTTCGAGGATGTTCTTGGTGCGGACGACGTTGCCGCAGACCATGCCGAGCTCCTGGATGACCTCGCGGCCTTCGATTTGATCGCGGGTCGAGAGAAGCAGCGGCGTCTCCTTGATGTAGTCGGGGCTCATGATCGTTACTCGTGGCGTCGCCGTCGTCGAGAAGCGCGCCGCTCGCCGTACGAGCATCATCGTCGGTCGTTTGTCTGTGCGGGTTGAAATCTGACAACGCCGCCGACGTCAGCCGCTCCGGATTGGCCGAAAGCCCACGATACACTGGCAGGCCATTGGTCCAATTCATGCACTCTATTTCTGTGTGCGCGACGAAATGCAAACACTATTCCCGTTTCCTTCCACTTTCAATGACTCCTTGACAAGGAGCGAAGATCGCAGTGCCCGTGCCTGAATCCACTGAGATCTAGAAACTTCAGTCTTCAAGCAAACGACGTCTTGTATGCAGGTTAGAAGAGGTTTGCTGTGGAGATCTGGCTACGTGGAGCCTGTATGATACACTATTTTAAAGGTATGCCAGGATTGGCTAAAAAAGAGCCAATCCTACGCAGCGCGACCGACTGCGATGGAGCCGTCGGCCAAGGTATATCGACCTGCCACCGCCTCCGAGCTCATACCTCCGTAGTATGCGCTGTACCATGCAACGGACCCAGCCTCGCTCAAGTGGGCGGCGAAGATCCGCCTGACGCCTGAGCTGCTGGCCAAGCTCCAGGACGGCTCCGTGGCCGATGATCTCTCGCTTACGTTCTCGGCCGACAAGGCAGAGCCGAGCGTCCTGCGCGTTGGCGACGAGGCCTTTGAGCTGCTCACGTACCCCGAAGATGCTTCGGTAAACCATCTCTGCACGCTGAGCCCCGAGGACGACGGGCGTGGCTACTCGTTCTACGAAACCGGGCGCATCGCCAAGAAGCTCATCGTTCAGCGGCTCTTGGACAGCACAGAGAAGGACCGGCTCAAGGACCGCCACGCCAAGTCTGTGGAAGACTACAAGTCGCGCAGCTCCAAGCTCCTTGAGGACAAGCCGACGCGCGGCGAGCGAAAACGGACGCGCACTGTCATCTGGCAACCGGACACTCCTGCAGCGGCCGCCCCAGCGTACGTCGCTTCTCATATGCGCCGCAAGCTCATGCACCCTCTCTCCTCTACAGACAGAAGAAGCCTTCGACGGCGTTTGCTTCGGCGCTAACGCCCGACCAGCTCGAGACGATCACGCATGAAATCGCCAAAATGGTCGAGGTTGAGCCCCCAAAAGTCGAGCCGATTCGGACAATCGACGCAGTCCCGAAGGTCGAGGTCAAACCAGCTTCGAAGGCTGTATTTCCTGCGACTGCGCTCCCTAAAACTACCGAAGCAGCTTTGGTCGACGTGCCCAAGTCCAAGGTCAAGGCAAAGTCCAAGACCATCGTTGCCAAGACGTCATCCCCGATTCCGCGAGCACCTGCGACCATGAACGCTGACGAACCACCCACCAAAGCTGCAGCAAGTGTTGTCGGCGTCGTGCCGTCACTGGATGCCGCCGTGCCGGCACTTGTGCCGCGCGTCCCAGAAGCCACCAAGCTCATCCGTGCCAAGCGTCGCGTGCTCTCCCCCGCCGTGCACACGCTCTCGACCTTTACGACGGACATGGAAACCATCTTCAAGAGATACAGCAGCACGCGTACTAGACCAACGCCATCTCGTGTATGGTACAACGTGGATCGTAGGCCATTCGGTGACCGCAATTGCCAATGACAACGAGTTGGCGGCGTGCGAGGCCGCGCTCACCGAGCACGTGGCTGCGTGGACGCTTCTTGAAAAAGTTCTATACCGCACACCATGTTTCTCGCTCACTCAGTTCTTATCTTTAGTCGTACTCGATTGAGGTTGTCCTCACCAACACGAAGGCCATCACTGGTGCGCCGCCCAACGCCAAGTACGCCCAGAAGCACGAGCTCCGCGAAGAGGTCGTCGTTGATGCGCCTCGACAGTGTGCTAATGCGCAGGTAGGGCATAGCGACGGTGAAAGCACTCATGGACCAGCTCTTTGTGCTCATTTCGAGCGCTGAGCTCGCGATCGCAAGCTACAAGACGCCCAGCGAGGACAGCAAAGCCAGTGCGACGGAGTAAAGGAAGCAAACATTGGTTTATATGAAATTTTACCTTGCTGGATGGACACTGCTGTCTACACGAGCATGCTCCCAAAGATGCAGAGCACTGCAAGGAGACCCGCGCAGTGCTGAATGGCACCCGTGGCACTGGACGGGCGCTGGATCGTGGCCTCGTCGCTGAAGTTGCTCCCCGTGCGGTTGGTGCGCGTGGCGTTGTGCGTGGCGTTGTTGTGAGTCGAGTTGGTCTGCGTCAAGGCCGCGCCCGGCACGTGCCATGGCTTCTCGTGCTCTGCGGACTGGTTGCCAGCGCGCTGGGCCGTTGGCTTTGGCGAGAGCGGTGCGTCCGTTGCCTCAGCGCTGTCGTCAGTCTCAGCATCGTCGACGTCGACAGCTTCGATATCAGCGTCTTCGTCTGTGACGTCAGTGTCGTCAGGCTCGACTTCTTCAGCCTCTTCGTCAGCGTCTTCGTCCGTTGCGTCAGTGTCGTCAGGCTCGACTTCTTCAGCCTCTTCGTCAGCGTCGGCGTCGGTCTCAGTGTCGTCGTCGCTCTCCGTGACATCGTGGTCACTGTCACGGGAGCTCGAGGAATCGTCCGACGTCGTGGGTAGTGGCGTCGAGCGACTCCGCGTGGTCGGGTGCATCGTTGGCGTTGTCGAATTGCTGTCGTGCTTTTTGCCGCTGTCGGTGTGTGCATTGGCCCCCGCGACAATTGGCTCATCCTCGACTTCGCCATCGTCGTCGCCTTCACCGTCGTCATCGCCGAGCTCGTCAATATCGCTCTCCAGCGATGCGAGCTCGTCCTCACCATCGTCCCCAGCGTCTTCGTCATCGTCGTCGGCGTCGCTGCCCCACAAGCCGAGCTCCTCATCGAAATCGCTACCCGAACCACTCACGTCCTCGTCCTCGACGACGGGAAGCTTCGTTGGCGCCACAATCGTGGCGTCGCGCGTCGCGTTGCCCACTGTGCCATTGCCCGAGGCCGTCCGATTGCACGAAAACGCCACGTACGAAGCGTTGTGTTTGTCCGTGCAGCACTGTTGCTCGGCCGTCGCGTTCGTCGCCGGGTCCCACTGGTAGTAGAGGTACACTTGGGCGCCGCAGCACGCCGCGCGCGCCGGGTTGTAGCACGACGTGCCGCACTTGGGCAAGTCTGGGCGTTCCAAGCAGAGGTTGGTAGCCGAATCGGCGGCAACGACGGCCGCAGCCACTGACGCAGGTACAAAGAGTCGCATGTTGGAGGGAGCGAGAGATGGAAAATGCAGTTCTTCATGACCCGCGATTTCCATTAATCCATGATAGAGCGATAGAAAGATAGCGGCTTGCGACGAGGCTCTCAAGTGTAAAGCCCCATACACGGTATCCTTCGAACATTGTCGTCGTCCCGCGAGTCACGACGTGGCGCCGTGATGCACGCTCGGTGGCGAGATCAGCGAGTTCTTCCATCCTCCTCTTGTTCCATCGCGCAGCATCTACTAGTACGAAGCGCTCGGTGTAATTGCAACAAATTAGTCGTTGCAACAATCTAGTCTTCATTTGTATCTTTTCTAATGCGCTCGGAAGGCGTGAGGAGCATTCGGGGCCGTGACGTGCGACGAGGCCGGTAGCGCCTTGGATCAGTGGCGTAGCGCGTCGGGCAAGCGACGACTTTACGTCGATGAGCCAAGTAATAAGGTGTAGACGGCAGCTATGCATTTTGAGCGCAAGCTCGGCGGCTACGAGCAGTGACCAGAAGGCTAGGTTGCTGCGCTCGAGTATGCCAGACGCAGGAGCGCAAGACCGCCCAGAGGACTACGGTGGTCCGACTACTTGTGAGGCGAGATCAGTGTCATCCATGCTGCGTCACCTGGGCGTTGCTGGAGCATGGTGCCACGACCATGTACCCATCTGCATCTGCCTAGGCATGGTCTTGGCCAAGATCTTGCCTTTCCGCACCGTTCGTGGCACGCCCATCTGCGTGCCAGTAATTTTGGCCAATCCCCATGGAGAAGGAGCTGTTACCTCACTAAAACGACATATTGTCTTAAACCTGTCTCAGTTCTATACAAAACGACTAGTAAAGTAAAGAAACACCTTGTGATACGAACTATCAGCCAAAAGCCGCCCACCACTCCTATTGGGTGAAGCCAGTTAGTTTTGTATTTCTCGACCTGAAAAGAGGCCCCCGCCCAAGGTTCCCCGCAACCCCGTCCCGGAATCGTATCTCGGAACATCATGCTTGCCTCCTCGATGATTAGCTCCCTCCCCCCTTGCCCCACGGGCGAGAGCCCCCGCGCCAAGCGGAAGCGCTCCGTGGACGCGTCCTCCCCCTCCGATGGTGGCATGTCCCCGTCGTCCATGGACGAAGTGCCATGCAAGAAAAGCAAGGTACGCGCTCCCGATCGGTAGGTAGCATGCTCATGTGCTTGGCGTAGGCAACGGAAGAAACCCACTTCAAACCCACGGAAGACCACGACCCACGTGAGTGCTCTGACGCCCCCCTGCACGAAGACCCCCTTAGGGATCCCACCACCGCCCCCCTCTCCACGGCCCCGGAAGACGGCGAATGCACGGATCTCGACAACTCGGACAGTCCTCTCCACGCGCCGGAGAGCAACTGTCCCCTGGACAGCCCGCGCTCGGACGTCAACTCGCCTCCGCGTGCACCGCAAGACGACTGCTACGACGCCTACTACGACGGGCCGGGGTACGACGATTTTGCCGATGATGCCGATAGGCGCCGTCGCACCCTGAAGCTCCAGTACTGGACCCGCTCGGACGCGTGCAAGGAACGCAAGTGGGACCATCTGGACCTCCTCGACTCGGAAGAGCACGGGATGACGCGCGAAGAACACATCTACGCCACGACTCTGGCAGGTAGAACGTCGTATATGGAGCCCAATATGTTCCCGTACTCGACGCCGGAAGGCATCGAGCATTGGACCCTCTGGAGCCGCCTCGAAATGCGCCATGCGGACGTCCAGGACTACGTCGAGCAGTGGATCACAACCAACGCGCCGCATGTCACGGCGTGGAACTACGACGACAACCCGGAGCGCTCGATCAACATCTTCCACGTCCACGTGTACTTGCAAGTGGGCGGCGAAGGCGACGTGCTGCAAGGTCGCGGCGTCAACGACCTCGTCCACTAGACGCGCCGTTCTTAAGAATACACTGTCATATTTAACTTAATTCGGCGTCCTGAGCCAACGTAATGCCAAGTCGCTCGAGGCACTGCATGATGGTCAAGTTGACCTTGGACTTGGCCTTGGCGAGGGTCTTGAGATCGTTGCCCTCGATGAGCGCCGTCACGAGCACGCAGTACATGCCGGCCAGAGTTACTTGCAAGCAGCGCAGATCGTGCACTCGGAAGCTGTTGCATTTCGAGCCAAGCTCGCCGATGCCCGCCATCGAGTCGAGCGCGGCTGTCGTGCCACTGCCGTGGGAAAGCTCGCTCACGTTCCCGAGCATGCGCGCGCCCATCGAGTCGGAGCGGCGAACTTCGGTCGACTCTTTTTGGTGAAAGAGCTCGGGCGAGACAATGCAGTGGGGCAGCTGCTCGCGGAGGTCGTCGATGAGCTGATTGAGGAGCGCGACATGCGTGGTTTGGGCGACGTGGATCTCGACGTGGACCTTGCGGAACGTACACTCGGAGTAGTTGCGCTGGTAATCGGTCGCGAGGACACTGTTGGGAATGTGGATGAGCGCACCGTTCATGGCGCGGAGCACGGTCGTGTTGAGCGCCATTTGCTCGACGATGCCGGTCGCGGACCCGATCGAGCAGAGACTGCCGGTCGAGAACGGCTCGGCAAAGATGAGAAAAAAGCCCATGATCGAGTTGCGGACCGTGGTGTAGAAGGCGAGAATGCCCACGAGCTCGAGGAGCGTAAAGAAGACGAGGACAAGCTCCTGCATCATGGCCGAGTTGGGCACGTAGACGTAGAAGCCCTCGATGAGGATGAGCACCATCGTCACAAACTACAGCATGCACGCATAGAAGAGCGTTTCGCCGCGAGCGCTCGTACCCCAATGCTCTCCGTGACCATGAGCACGCGCGAGTAGTCTTCGCGCGAGGTCTCGTCCCAGCCAAAGTACCGGATCGACGCCTGCGCACGGTATACCATTGAGCACCGACGTTGCCGCATGCTCTACCTTGGTGATGACGCGCCGCAAAGCGATTGTGGCCACGATGAGCGGGATGCCAAAGGCGTACTGGAAGAACGTTGGCACCTCATCCGCAGCGTCGTCGATCTGGAGGATGACCATGGCGACGTACAGCGCGAGGAGCACGATGGCCCACGAGATGGGCGGGAGGAAGTGGCGCTCGAGGTCCTTGAGGAACTGCTTCGGGCCAAAGCGCGCCCGGAGGAGGCGGAAGACCTGCACGACGACGCGCTCGCGGAAGAAGACCGAGTTGGAGACCAGCACGAACGAGACGCCGCCCCGCCAGATCGTCCCCGAGGTCACTTGGAAGCCCATTTTCCGATATCTACACTATTCCATGCGCTCTGTCGTTTTCACAGTATTTTATCGTCTCTATATATATATAGTGTGGTACTGGGCGCTCAGGCCGCCAGCACACCGGTCATGTACCTCGTCGGACGTCTCGCCTCGAGAATGGCTTGGACGGACTAGGTACATACTTGATGTCCTAGGTATTCAAGACGAAGATGGCGATTGCTCTTGCAAGTCGTCGAGTGATACTGTGTGTATTGGGGTCGTCTCGTGTCTAGTTGCGAGATTCTACTAATCCCTAGTCGCCCACTCAAAGAACGTGCATTGCGCGTTCTTGTCTGGCTTGGCGCACTTGTAAAACTTGCGGCCAGCGTTGGCAGCCGACTTGGCCGTGAGCTCGATCGCGGGTTCGCCGCAGAGACACACGTGACCGGACGCGTTGCTGGTTCCGGACGGGCGTGACGACGCAGCACGGCTATAGTTCGCGCCACCGCCGCCACTTGGTGCGCCACTCTCGCTGTCCTTCCACTCGAAGAACCCACAACTGTCGGCTTGGGGAAAGCTGCACGTGTAAAACTCGCGGCCTTGGTTTGGCCCGGCCTTGGCGACGACGCGCTTCACGCTTGGCTGTTTATGGTTGCACACTGGCGTGTCGCCCGACGCATTGCCACTGTACGTGGCTGGCGGCGCCGCTGTTGCGCCTTCGGTCCACTCGAAAAAGTCGCACTGCTCGCCTTGCGGAAAGCTGCACGTAAAGAAGTACCGGCCCTTGTTGGGCCCCTCGCGCTTTGTTTGACGGAGTGCACACTCGACGCTGTGCCCAGGGCAGAGAGGTGAAGCACCCCGCGGCGGTGCACTTACGGTTGTCATCGCTCGCGACGAAGACGTCGATGCACTCGTCTTGGCCTTTTTCGCGCGGTTGTTGCCCGTGAGAGAGTCGGCATAGTCGTTGGACGGGGCCGCTGCGCGCGCGACGCGCTGGTACGAGCTCTGCAAGTCCGGCGCCGGCATCGCGCGCATCGCTTGGCTCGCCACGGGCTTGAGTCGCAGCTGTCCTTGCGCCAGATCTTGGACCACGTCGTCGCAAAAGAGACATGTCTCACGGTCATTGCCCCCGTCCAAAATGCGCACTTGGAGGTCGGGTGGTAAGGCATTGGTGACGAAGCGCAGCGTGACGCGGTGGATCGTTTGCTGTGGCCGAGAGCATGTCGTGCACGGATGCGACGTCACAGATGCGTACGCAATGCTCGAGGGTAGCCACACCGACTCTTTGCAGCTCTGGTAGTCGGTGCAGCTGACGACATACTTGGCGGTTTTCGTCTTTTTGAGCTTCATCGGGTGGGCGCCGCATTGAAAGCAGCACTGCACGACCGGCGAGTCGTGGGTTCCGGTCGCGAGCGCGCAGTCGGCCGTGCAGCTGTAGCATGGCATCTCGTTCAGTCGTGCGTTCGGTGGATGGTTGAAGCAGTGCGGGCACACGCTGTAGACGTTTGTACCGGCGCCTCGCTGGACGTCGACCACTTGAAACTGGCAGAGCGGGCAGCGCGTGGTGGATTTCTGAATGTTGGCGAGCATCGGCAGCGCATACTGGTCGTCGCAGCGCCGACAGACGAGGAGACTCCCGTCGTCGGGCTTTTTCCTACATAGTACGCAAACAAATGGCAAGTACGTCCTGCAATCGGTGCCTACCGGAGCTCCATGGGTTGCTGGCACTTGCCGCACGCGCTAAACGCGCCGTCGACGACGCGGCTGTTGCCAGCACCGGCGTCCTGGTTGGCCGCGCCAAAGTACCCCTGGAACGTCTCGTCCAGGACACCGGAACGTGCAACAACGCTCTGGAAGATCGTGCGCATCTATCCGTAGGTGTTGGCCAGAGACCAGAGACAGTTGTGGAACGCGTACTTGGTCCATACAGGCTCGGACGACTTGGTCGCAGGACTTTTGACCCTGCGCAATTGCATTGCAATCGCGCTCGACCTACAATGCCACATCGGTTCCTGCTGCCAGGTGCGGCGTTGACGTACGGCCGCGCGGAGATCTGGCTTTGCGAGCTGGTATCCCATGCGGTCATAGGACTGCACGAGTGCCAGGCCGAGCTCTACGCATGCCCTTGACAACCATGAAGAAGAAGATGCGGACCATTACCCGTGGGCTTGAACTGCGTGTTGTTGTTGACTTTGATCGCATACTGGCGCTTGAGGATCGTGTTGATGTGCTCGGCGATCGTCGCGTCCGTGCCAATGCCGTGCGTGTCCATCTTGGCAATGAGGTCCGACTCGGTGAGGAGCGGCGGCGGCGCCGTCTCGCCTCTCTTGAGCACCAAGGTCGTCGGCACAAACTGGTCGCCGCGCTCGTAGACTGGGATCACGGTCGCGGCCCACTTTTCGTAAATGTAAATGTCGAGGTAGTTGCGCGATAGGATCATGAGCCCGCTAGCGCTAAACGTCTCGTTGGCGAGCGTCATAGTGACGTTGGTTTGGCTCCCGCGCGCGTCCATCGAGCAACACGCGAGAAAGTGCCGGACGACGAGCTCATACACGCGGCGCTCGACGTCGTTGTTGAGCGACGAGAGCGGGACGCACTTGGTCGGATGGATCGGCGGGTGGGCTTGGTCGTCGTGCTTGCCGCCGCGCGGTGCTTCAAACTTGCCGTTCTGAAGCGCCGTGACATACCCGCCCCACGTCTCGTGCCCCGCATGGAGGTCCAGCAAGGCGGGAAGGTCGGTCCCTTCTTTGAAGCTGTCGGTCTCGGTACGCGGGTAGCTCAAAAGACCGCGGTTGTACAGTGCCTCGGCTGCCGTCATGGCTTGCTCGGACGAGATGCGCAGCCAGCGCGACGCGCGCTTCTGAAACTCGACCGTTGTGAGCGGGAACGGCTTGCGCTTGGACGTCTCCTTCTTGCTGATCGAAGTAATGGTCGCGATCTGCGCCTCGACGCAGCTCTCGTAGAGCGCGAGCGCCGCGATCTGGTCGTACACGCGGCCGCGGCCCCAGGTAAAGACGATCGAGCCGACATCGGGAATCGTATGCGTCACGTGGATGTGGTAGAAGAGCTCGCGAACGAACGCGTCGATCGCCAAGTGCCGGTCGACGACAAAGCCGAGCGTCGGGAATTGGCACGAACCAAAGCTCACGACCTTGCTCTCGGAAGTGGCTTGGACGTTGGGGAACTTTTTCTGAATCCGCATCGTCTGGAAGCGCGTAAAGGCTGCGCCGAGACGCAGATCGATCTCGGACCGCGCGTCGCACGCGAGCGACAAGTTCTCGTTCGGCTGCACGAGGTTCTGCACAGCGGCGTGGATGTCGCGTGGGATGAGCGCCGAGAAGCGCGCGCGCTTGACGCGCAGCCGCCGGTTCGCCTTTTCGCACACGGCTTTCACCTCGAACGCAATGTTTTCGCCTTCGCGATCGCAATCCAGCCACAGCACGAGCATCTACATGGCATGAGATGCGGTCGGTGGCGACAGTACGTACCTGGGCGCGCGCAGCCTCGGCCTTGAGCGTCTGCTCGATCTTCTTCTGCGTCGAGTCCTCGCGCACGGTCTTCTCGACGGTCGCGCTAAAGAGGTCGACGGGATCGCATGTCTTCCAGCCGCTACAAGCACATGCATCCATGGCCCATATACATGGTCGTCATCTACCGGTGGCTGAGCGCAAAGTCGAGCTGCATGAGGTGGCCGGTCACGGACGTGAAGACCATCTCGACGCGCTGCTGGTTGAGCTCAAATGGAAACTCAAAGATGCCATTGTACTGGGAAAAGCCGGGTCGCTACACAGGATGCAGAGACCTTCGCGCCGAGCGGAGGGAGTTACCCGCGTGCTCCGGCCCGACGACAAGATGTGCGCGATCTCCTTGGCCACGGACGGCTTCTCGGCCACGTTCAGGACGCGCATGCTGGCAACAAGCGCGCTGATTGGCTATAATTCGAGCCAATCCCACCGCACGGCGTTCGCGCCTAAAATGCCAAGTTGGCTGCTGCCCGCCACGACGGGCGAAGTCGACCGTCGATGCGAGGCTCTGCCTCTGTGAAATGTCGGCGGGTGAACGATGCGGCGAGGTGCACTGCGTAGCGAGCCGCTGGTCAAGCTGTCCAAGCATTAGCACCAACCTCGTGGAGCTCGGCGGCTCATGCTGCCACCAAGATTGCGCACCGAAGCGTGTGCCAGCACCGAGCTTTCGTCGCCCGGTTTCGCCGCTTTGGTCTCAATGCAGAGTGGTGTTATGCGTTGTGAGATCAATCAAAAGTGTTATGTAGTTTGGCGTTAACGCTAAATACAGGGTTATCATGGCCGACAACTACACTATTCCTTGCGCTTTGTCCAGACCATCGTGCCGTGGCCCGCGCGGGTCGTGACGGTGAGCTTGAGGTCGAAGAGCAGTGGCGGGCTACTCGCGGGTCGTGACACGTGAAACGTGGCAATCACGTAAGCACACACGGCGCGCACTTGAGAGAGTGCGATGCTGCGCCCGGGGCAGAGGCGCTTTCCTGCGCCAAACGAGAGCAGCACCGACTTGTCGAGCGCGGCAAATGTGTCGCCAAAGCGCGATGGACGAAACACGTCCAAGTCGGAATGACCAGGGCCGTAGTCGGCGTCGCGGCAGGCACTGCCACCGTCAATGAGCACGTCGTCGCCGGCGCGGAACTCGACGCCGTGGATGACGCACGGCGCCACACACTGGCGGCTGATAACGGGCACGGCGGGCTTCAAGCGCAGCACCTCGTCCACCGTCCAGCACAAGTACGGCACGTCGCGCAGCTGGCTCGAGGTTGCCGTCGCAATCTCACTGGCGCCGTTCGGAAACGCGCTAAGCAGCGCTGCGTAGAGCTCGTCTTGCACCTCCGGGTGCGTCGCGAGCAGGTTGAAGAGGATCGAGAGCGTGTGCGCCGTGTTGTCAAAGGCGCCAAAGAAGAGCGCGAGGAGGTTATCCCGCATCTCGGTCGCCGAGAGATTGCCGTCGGACGTTGCCGCCACCATCGCATCCAGAAGCGATGTCGGAGAGTGGCGAGGGCCGCGCGCGGCCACAAATGACTGGACGTGCGCTCGGAGGACGTCGCGGGCAGCGTTGGCGTCGCGGTTGCGGGGAAGCGGAAGGCGCCAAAGCCACGGTAGCGGCAGCATGGTGCGCTCGCCAATCACGTCCGACACCAATAGCGCCGACGCGAGAAGCGGGAGCGATTCGCCACTCATTGTCTTTGGGTCCCAGTCGAAGAGCAGCTGGCTCACCATGTCGAATGCAAGCTTTGGCATCACGACCTCGGGCACGACGTCCATGGTACCGGACGATGGCACAGTAAGCGTGTCGACAATCGAGCTAGCAATGGACGGGATGCGCTCGACGTCCTGCTGCGCCAAGGCGTGTGAGAGCACCTTGCGCACCCGCGCCCAGTCGTCGGCGGATTCTTGTACAAAGACGTGGGATGGCATCAAGCTACCGACTGCCGCGCGCGCCTTGGTTGATGGCTCAAAGTGCGCGAGGAACTGACCGAGCACGGGCTTGAACACGCGCGGGTCCTTGGTCACGATGATGTCTTGGCCGCCAAGCCGCACACAAAACGTCTTGGCATTCACCGCCGCGTACCAATCACCGAAGCGCTCGAGGAGTCGGTGCCCGATCCGCCCGCCACGTGACGAGCCAAAGAGATCCAAGTCACCGAGATGCCCCAGAAGGCGCGCAGGAAAAGCGCTGGTCGTTGGCGGCATGCGCGGCCGGCTGTTGACGACGTTGGACGCTCGGTGCATGCGAATGGACGACTGCAAATGCTAAAGTGAGTCGAGGCCGCTGTGGCTGTTGAAGCAAGTGGCGCCAGGTGTGGGATGGGCTCTGACGTCGACGGCGGTGACGCGTCAAGGGGGTTGCCGCCACCCATGAAGCAAGACCTTCGCCAACATCTAAGCCACTCAGAGGCAGCGGATGATAAAAGGCGATGGCGACTCGTGCACCAAGTAGTATCCTGGACGAGTATACTACTGGTGCGAACGGCACTATCACTCGGCAACACGGCGGCTGTCGCATTGACACCTGGCGCACTGATGCCTTCTTGCTCGGGAGAGATTCTTGGTTCACTGCTGCCGGACCGCCTTGCCGATGGCAGGAAATCGCGTCGCCAGTCGTCTCTTCGCGAACAAGTATACTAATCCATTTCATCTTTTTGGTTCTTCTAGGCTATTCTTCGTCGGGTGCATATATGCTCGTTTACTTCATCTGCTTGACGACCTCCAAGATGGACTTGAAGCTGAAGGGCTCCGTGGCCGCAATGTCGGCGAGCACCTTGCGGTTCAGCTGGATCTCGGACGCGTTGAGGACGCCAAAGAACTTGGAGTACGAGAGGCCTTCCTGGCGCGTGCCAGCGTTGATCTTTTCGATCCAGAGCGAGCGAAAGTCCTAGTTGCATGCGTGAGCACATTGTGACGACGGACACCGTGAGGGACGTACGCGCTTCTTCTGCTTGCGATCACGGTACTGGTACTGCAGACCCTTCTCGACGCGGTTGATGGCCGTGCGGTAGCACGAGTTGGCGCGGCCGCGATAGCCCTTGGCCATCGCCAGGATCTTCTTGTGCTTGGACCACGACATGTTGCTGCTGCGACTGACTTGCGCCGACCGATATCCCAACTGCGATGCCACCAACAACCAATAATTCTTATCCGGATCGGCCCTTTTATCCGGTTTATGACCGGTTCAGATCGGGTCAATCCGGTTACGCCCAGAACCGGAATCGCAGATTTGGCCTTGTAGCACAGCGGAGTGCGGCAGGAGACCCGAGAGAACGAGACACAAGCTGTCATTACATTCTTGTAGCAGCAATATGCTGCTCCTATCGACGAGGCGATGCTTATACGAGCGAGGAAGCGCCTTGGCACAATGAACCGGTTCGTCCAACCCAGAATGATGGTCTCAACTACAGAGGATTTTCGACTAACTAGACACTTCACCACGAATCCATGGAGCCATTGTATTTTCTGCGCGTCAAGGCAATGCGACTATGTAAAGAGGCGTGCGATATGAGAGAGCGTCGTGGATGTCTCTGGTGCTTCTACAAGATATTATGGCTAGGGCACCCAGCATGGCTCTCCTCTAGCGCTTAGTCGAACACAATCCATCTGTTTAGTCGGTCAAATCGACCTTGGAGCAGTGGCAGATCCGACGAGCTGACGGTATGGAGGTCAACCGATGGGGCGTCGTCGCGATCGCGAGCGTCGTCTTTGACATTGACGTGGGCCAGACGCTCGAGGCCATGTACCCGCAAACAGCGTCCTTGACAACGTCGGCGCAGAAGTCGATCGCGTACCTCGCGCTGCCCCACAGCAACCGCCACGACGAAGGCGACACGCAGTTCGCGTTTCGCTGCCGGTCAGAAGACGAGAGTACGTCGAGCTTCCTCTATGGCTTTGTGCTCTTCCGCCAGCGCAAGGACGCGGCCAAGACACGCGGGTACTTTCAAAAGGCCATCGTCATCGTGACGCAGACGCCGTTCGTCGGGCTCTACGAGCGCGTGCTGCGGGTCGTCGGTCCGCTCTACTTTCAGGTCGGCAACCCGCTCCTCGAAGCCCTCTACGACAACGTTCTGCAATGGTACGTGCTACTACGATACATGCAGATAGCTCATCAGCAATGCGCAGGCCGGCGCCGATGCCCGACACGACCATGATCTTGCCCGTCGCCGGCACGTTTGTGAGCTTTGTCGTGCCCGCCATGGTCCCGAGCATTGAGGCGCCCGCGCCCACGCGCCGCTGGAGCATCGAACAAGAGTCGTTTGATGTCAACGCGGACGACATGGCCAGCCACGACGAAGATGACGACGAGGCGCCGGACGAGCAAGCGATTGTGCGCAACGGCAAATTCACAGCGCCAGCGCCGCGCGTCGCGCCGTCGCCGCTCTTTTGCGACATTCTCAACGCCCAAGACGCTGGCATCTCGTTCGAGGTATGCAGTGCTCGTAGCGCATTCGCCAAGCTACGGTAGAGCGTCGGTCTCTTCTCGAGCTTTGAGGGGCTCGAGGCGTGTCTCTGGGATCTCTGGCAGCTCGCAATCACGGGCGAGAGCGTGCTCATGGCGGCACCAAGCGCGCGCGTCTGCAGTCAAGCCGTGCTTGCGTTCACGAGGTGCGGCGCGTCATTATCCCGTCTTTTTCCTATGGGAACGTGCGTAGTTTGATTGCGCCCGTGGCCTACCACGGAGACTACCGCCCGTATTTTGCCCTTTACGAAGCTGATTTTACCGTACGAGCGACGGCGGCGATGACCTTGACGTTATTCGGGGACGTAGAGCATCGCTGCCGTGCACGATACGACCAAGTGCGTGAATTTCCCGACAACCGTACTCGGCACGACCAACCCCTTCTTCCTCAAGGTATAGTTCCCCATGCGCACTGTAGTATAACCGATGTAGGCGCTGCGGTTCTGGCCCAACGCAGTCGTGTTTCCGTTTCTAGATGCGTCTTCTCGCCCGGCGACGCCGCCGACCGCCAAGCGCGCGTTTGGTTTTCTCGATACGGACGCTGCGAACGTCGACGACACGAGCCGACCCCGGCGCTACATTAAGCGAGCCGCGGAGCTCGATTCGTTCCCAGAAAGCTACGCGCCAAGAGTACGACGACCACGTTGCTATTGCTGATGGACGCAACGGACGTAGCTCTTGGCGCGGTCGTCGCGGCTCGTGCAGCCCGACCCGGTCGTGCTGCGGCAACTCGTCGAGGCGACGGCTGTTGAGACGTCCGAGGGTCTCCAGAACGGCGACGAGCCACCGAGCGTCTCGATCAATAATGCCGTCCTGCGCAAGGTTCCCTCCATCATGTAGAAGGTGTCGGGTGCAGTTTGTATTGTGTAGCACTTCAAGCACCTTACTGAAGTCTTCCTCAAGCCATTTGAGCCCTATTTTGGCATTTGGTCCAACCACCTGCACGTTGCGCCGTCGCCGTATATGGACGTCACTGTCTTCATGAAGCCGTTCGTGGCCACGGTATCGACGACGCTACGAGGCGCATGCTTCTGAATCGGACTTAGGAATTCCTCAAGTCGCTGGCCACGATCCCGTCGACGAAGCTCCCGACACCCCTGCGAACGTCGCGCAAGAAACTGCGGGCGCTGTACGCGCGCTTCATTGCGTCACCGCACTTTCTGCCGTGGTTTGCGGCCCGCCGACACGAGTGCATCGATGCGTTCGACTCGGTGCTGCGGACGCTTCGCGAGACCATCGACGCCAAGGCGCTCCTGACCGAACCCAGTGGCGCGGCCATGGATCTCCACATGTGCCAGCAGCTCAAGACACAGGTACGTTCCGTCTGTATCGAACGCTAGTCGATGCGTCGACTAGATCCAGCGTACGATCGAGTTGGCTGCCTCACAGGCGACGCCGGACGCGCGGCACATTGCGCTGATGGAGACCCACTTGCACGACGTCTCGGCAGCGATTTTAGCGCTCTCAGCCGCCACAAGTGACGACTAGAGTGTAGTGAATCCAACAACAAAAATAATACCGCATTCGTAGTCATCAGTATCACTAGGGGGCCGACGATGCAAGTACCCAGACGATGTCAGAAGCACCCAACAGAGACATGGGCAACGAAGTTGACTGTCGGCTACTTCACAGGACCAGTAATTGATGGTTGAAAGTGAGAAGTACGCTTGCGATATACCAGAGCACGTTGGAGGACGTTGGCGCCTTGTCGTCGGTCGAGCAGCATCCACGACGCAACGCAATTTTTTGCGCGACGGCAGCTGCTCGCACAGTTGTCGGAAGAGACGACCTTTCGCGCCACTTTGGTTCATTGACATGCAACGACGCACTGCTGCCAATAGAGTTGTTAACGAAGGGTATACAATGCAAGGCGGACATGAATAGAGAATACGAGGAGGTTTATGGTGTCTAAGGTGAGTTGGTCGCGGCCCGGAGTCGCGGTACGAGCACCGAGAGGAGCTTGCGCACGATCGTGAGCTGGTCGGCTTCGGGCAGCACCTCGAACGGCGGGACGTGCACGAACAAGACAAACTGGTTGTGGCGGTGCGGTAGCGTGTGATAAAGCGAGCTATAGTACGTGTAGTTGCACACGTAGTGGCCGGGGTCGGTCGACGTCTGGCAGCCGTGACCAACTTCGGCCGCGAGTTTCGCGACCGGCAGCAGCGTGTGGATAACGTCGGGCGCGCCCGGGATGATGACCTCGTCCTGCGGCTCGTAGCCCTGCTCGTCCGGAATGCAAAAGTCGGCAATGTTGTACGCGCACTCTTCAAAGTGGACGGCCTCGGCGCTGTCGTCGACGCCGAGATGGAAGAAGAGCGTCGGCTCGCCCGACTCCTACACCATGTTGGTATACATTACAGAAGCATGGAATCGCGTGGGTTGTCGTACGTTGGCGCGGGCCCAGAGCGGCTCGAGGGTCGTTTTGAGCGCGTCGACCGAGGTTTCGATCGCATGCGCTTCGGTGACGTGCGGGTCGTCGGCCAGCGTCCGCACGAGGTACGTCGTCGGGTTCTCGAGGATCGTGTAGAACTTGCCAAAGCCCGTCAAGATTACACGCATGGCTCTCGTCCGGTGCTTGAAAATGCAATCTGGGGCGCGAAAGCCAAAAGCACGACGTCCCACTCTATCTGGTCGCGATAGAGTACGACAGAGCTGGTTTGTTGAAGCAAGAGTCGCCCAGATATGCACTACGGTACTACTACTACATCGCTGCGTTCGGGCTTTGCCTCGGCTCGCACGACGCTAGCTTCCACCGCCAGTATGTTTCTAGCGTGTTCAAGGACACTATGCTGTGGGTTTTCGCAGCGGCTGCAGAAGCGATGGACGAGCGGTGCAAGCGCGTCGATCGTCGATGGTCATCGTGGGTTTGAACTCGCCACGTGGGTACACGTGCATTAAGGTGTTGTGAGTAGTGGGGTCCGCCTTGAAGACTTGTCGCCAAGGCGAGGTAATAATACTGTGTGTGGTTGCAATTACTGTATTCCATTCGATTCTACGCCTCGTCCGTCGCGCGCAGCAGCACAAGGAGGTGCTCGATCGTCGCCAGCTGGTCGGCTTCGCTCACGACCGTAAACTCGGGCACGTGAACGAACAGCGCGTGCTGATAAGCAGCGTTTCATGAGCGCCAAGAACGAGGAGCTCTATGGGCGTACCTGGTTGGCCTTGGCGTGCGTCACTGCGAGCGACTTGTAGTAGACGTAGTTGCAAATGTAGCGGCCCGGGTCCGTCGAGACGTTCGTGTGCGGACCGAGCGCCGCCGCGAGATCCTCAACCGGCAGGTTTGTCGAGTAGCTCTCGGGCCCGTTGGGCGCGATCGGCTCGGCGGCCGGCTCCCACCCGCGCATGTCCGGAATGCGGAAGTCGGCGACGTTGTACCCGACCTGCTCGAGGTTGATCGCCGTGCCCTTGTGGCTCACGCCCATGTGCAGAAAGATGAATGGCTCATCCGACGCCTACACGCAGTATTAGCGGACACGACAAGCAGTGTACTACCTCGGCCTCGGCCCAGTACGGCGCGAGCGCTTCGTTGAGGCCGTCGGCCGAGACCTCGAGGACGAAGACTTCGGTCGCATTCGCGTTGCCCTTCAGCTTCTGCGCGAGCGTCGTCGTCGGGTTCTCGACGATCTTGCCAAACTGGCCAAAGCCCGTGACGATGATCTTCATGTCTTCTTGCACTGTGATCACTGTGCACTGTGATGGCAATGGCAAGCACGGGCGATGACGTCCGGAGCGGGGCAAACCAGCCGTAATCAGGTCCACTTGGGTGAAACACCCCGGCTCCGTTTGGGACAAACTGATTAACCCACCCAAGTTCCAGCCTCTGCCACTCCTCCAAGGTCACCAATCTCGTCGTCGTCATCCAAAAAAAGGACGCTGTGGACCCAACTTGCTCTAGACGAGAGAATAAACAATCGCCAGCCGTGCTACGATGATGCTTCGGCAGCGGGACAGAGAGCTTCCACGTCGCTCATGGCCTGAGGCAGGCCCCTTCGTGTGGTTAATCAGTAGTCCTGATGCGCCACGCGAGGGCTAATGTACTAGCACGTACTTGATGAACTAGAAGGAGTACGAGCGAGCTATCATACGAACCCATATCTCGGGCAATGAAGCTAGGACGACCTGAAAATGTGGATTTGCTCACATCCAAAATACAGTTCAGATCGAGTTCGCCTGCAACCGGTTACGCATCAAGGGAAACCGATACGAGACGACAGCGCGATGCACCATGTGGCGCCGCTCGACACGGACATTCCGGTGGCCGAAAGCTCGTGGACGCTTGTGCGGGAGGTGGTCGGCCTCGCCTACATGCTCACGTCGGTGCTCCTGGGGTTCGACTCGCTCGCGCAGTTCTTCCCCTACATGGACAACGACTACGTCTGGCCCCATTTTAGTGACGCGCAGTACAGGACGCTCTTGACCGACATCATCAACGTACAGCTCACGTCGTCGACGCCATTAACAACGGTGGACCTGCTGAGCCCGTCCTTTGGGCTCGTGGCGAACGAGAAAGTTGGCGTCAGCTACGCATACCCGCGCATGCTCATGTACCACGACCTCACGACGCTCGAGGCCGCAGTCATCGGGCTTCGGCGCCTCGACGTTGAAGAAGTGGTGTACATGGTTGCGCAGTACTGCTGGGTCGACCTCGAGAAGCGCTGGGCCTTGTCGCACACTCTACGACGCCAGCAGCGATGCGTCGCCCGCGACATGGCCAACGCGGCCGTCTATCTGGAGCCCATCCTTCGCAACATTGAGTATAAAGCATGGGTGCTCTCGACGCAAGGTCTCTTTATGGCGCGCATCGGAGACGGCGTCGCAGAGCTCGATGGCGGCGATGCGTGGCTCCAGTACGTGGCCGACCACGTGCCCGCGCCTCTCGACGACGAAGTCGCTTTCTGGGTCTCGCATGGCCTCTCGCGCTTTGCGCTTCAGTACGCCAACCAGTACCAGATCGGACTCGAAGAGTCGATTACGATCGAGAACGCACTCGGGCTGCGCTACGCCTTTCGCGTGAAAACCGTGCCCTGGGCAAACCGGGGCACGCACTGGACAAGCGACTACCTCTACGCGGGTCTTCGCAACGACTTTAATGCGCTCTCGCTCAACCAAAGCCTCGTCCGGAACGCCAGCACCTTCTTTGGCGCCACGTATCCCGACTGGATGGAGTACTACAACGTCGGGTACCCTCTGAGTGCGGTCCACGGGGCCATCCACGACGTCATTGGTCCCCTCGCCTCGATCGACCTGCGCTGGATTCAGCCGCCTGACGAGATCATTGCGGCCGTGCGCCACTTTCGCTCGACCCTTCTCTCGGCCAATGCGACCGTCCACGCCGCGCTACGAGCGGTGCCCGAGATTGTTCTGCACCCGACGCCACTGGAATGGCGCGCGGCGAATCTGTCGTTTTACGGCGGAAGCCCCTTGTGCGGCTTCAAGTCGGACTTGCCGTTCGTGCAGGCGTCCTTTGGTTTCGACGATGCGTGCGAGCTTCCGCGACAGCTCGGTTTTGAGTGGCACAGCGCCAACAGTGTCTTTGCCGCCATCGCCCTCGGTGACGACCCGGTCTCGCCAGCTCTGTGCGAGCTCTGCGACGACAGCGCCCAATGCGAGGCCGCGCTTTCGCGCACTATGCACTGCGCTTCGATGCTACCGCGTCGCCAAGAACCGCTATTGGCATCGCTGCGAGCGATCGATCTATCACTGCTTCAGTTTGTACGCAACGGGTCGGGCGACGTGACGCTTCAAGTCCAGAGCTTCTCGTCGCCAGAGTGGAGCTTTTTAGGGCTCTTGGGCGTCTACGACTGGGTCCTCGGCAACCGCGAAGTCGTCTCGTTCGAAGGCGACAACGCCGCGTACACTCTTCTTTCGTACGCGACGACGCCACTTCGTCCGCCGGTCAACTCTGTGGGCTCCAGCGGCGTCATTCACATTTGGATGTGCGCCGGCCTTGTCTCGCTCGGCCTCGCGTTTGTCGCGGTGCTCGGACTCGTCTTTTGGCTCGCCTTTCGCCCATTGCGCTGCCATTGGTTTGTGTTTTCTCGGCTCACGAGCGCCGCTTGGCTAAGTCGCGCCCTCATTCTATTGCGAGGCGTCGCCGGCGTCCTCTGCCTCGCGACGACGCCCGTCGCTCCTGCACCCAGCGGCTTGGCCTTTACAGCGACACCTCGATCGCTGTACCTCTCGAGCCTCTTTGCCAGCGAAGCTGTCTGGATAACCTACGTGCTGCACGAAACGCTGCATCCCTTCTCGGGCATCTACACGCGCTTGTATGCTCCACTCAGTTCTTTTGTTGCGTGGCTCGCCCTTCTGGTCCTCGATGCGGTGAGCCCCGTTGCGATCACTGCAGGTCTCGACCGACAGTGCTACTCGATCAACATGGACTACAACGTCTACTGCACGAGCGGCAGCATCCAAATTGGCAGTCGCGCCAGGACGCTGACGAATTTCGCGATCCTCGTCGCGTCCGTGGTAGGTGGGCTAACCCTCGTTAATGTGCGGAAGCGCAGCAGCATCGAGCTCGACGACGTGCCGAGCTTCCTTCTCTCCTCAGCGTCGGTGGCTTTTCTCGCCCACCACAGCCACGGCCGCGTGACCGAGTCCTTCGATGTGGTCACCGCTGCCATGATGGGCCTCGTACGCTTCTCCAACTGCTACTTTGACACCAAGCTATGGCGCATCGTGGACCGTGAGCTGCTGCCGTCTGCAAGTCGACACAAGCGACACCGTCTTGTCTTGCCGCTCGCGTTGACGCCGCTTTCGCCGCGTTTACGACCCGCCACTGCGCCCGAATCCTGCCTTCAGCGTCTCAAGCGCCGGTACCGCAAATCGATTGTCGTCCTTGGCATTCTCTACGCGAGTCTGAGCCTCGCGAGCAACGTCGCGTATCTCACGGTCGCGCAGGCCTTTTTAACCAACGACTTTGGCTGGGCGGGCTTCAACAGCTCGGGAATGCACGCTTTCTTGGCCAATACGTTCAACCACGCGCTCGTGCTCTCATCGGAGCCAGCGATGTTCAATGTGACGACGCCGGCCATCGCCGATATTGCCCAGCGCTACAACGGGTCGTCGTCGCCGTCGATCGTCTGGAGCTACACGGCCGCGCGTCGGGCGCTCGCGAGCCCGACAACACCGCTGGATCAAATCATCGCGGGGCTTCGCGCCATGAACCCGTGCATGCTGCCATGGATGTATACGCAGTACTGCTGGCTCGATTGGCAGCGCAATTGGGAAATGGCCAGCTCCCGCGCACGCCAAGTGCGCTGCGAACTGCAAATAACCAACGGTGCCATGTACCTCGAGAGCGCACTGCGCAACCTGCGAGACTGGGACGCGTGGGACGCTTGTTGGGGCACGTCCTTTGACATTGGCTTTGCGCGGCACTTGAAACAGTCAGCAAACGGTCAACATTGGCTCGAGACCATCCGCGTCAACACGACCATACACGATGAAGTCGCTGCGTGGAAGCACGCCAACCTCGTCGGATTTTCGCTGCAGTGGCAAAACTACAAGACGATGGGCTTCTCAGACGCCTTTACCATCACGTCGGCACTTGGGTACACAGCTCCACTCTCGCTCGCGTCGTCGGATGGGAGCTACCACCTCCAAGAGCAAACCACCCACCGCATGTACTGGACTGTCGCGAGCGATTTATGGGCGATTGCGACCAACTCGACAGTCCTGGGCGGCCGCAGTCTGCTTCGCGCGAGCCCCAACTTTGCCTTTGCCAACGTGACGGCCGAGACCGCGCTGCTCCAAAACCTCACGCTCCTCTCGCCGCTCAACGCCGGTCTTGTTGCAGTCCAGTCGAGTCTTGGACCGTTTGGCAACATCGACACGCAGTACGTGCTACCGCCAACGTCTCTCATAGCGCTCTATCGCGGGTTTAGCGCCGCGCTTGCGACACTGCTCGTGCAAAATGATTCTGCACAAGCGGCGTACACGTCGCTGCCGCCGTGGGCGACGCTCTACCCCGTGCCGTCCAGCTTGATGCGCAATGGTCTTAGCATCGTTATTATTGGCGCCAACGTCATGTGCGGCACGGACGTGCCCGCGTACGCGCCCATCTATGGTCTCTTTCGCTTCTACGGCGCGGCCAGCGCGTGCCATGCCAACTTTATAGAGGCAATGCAGCCAACACTGCCGCAATTGCTATTTGGGTTTCTTGCCTTTGATGCGACGCTGCAACTCGACGTCGTTGACGACTTGACGGCCATTTGCGCGCTCGATGGTTACGGTGGCTCGGGCTGCAACACGACGTATCGGACGCTCTTTGATTTTTTAGAGTGCCACGTCACGGCGTTTCAAACGCTGTCGAATCTGGCGGTCGCGACGCGCGCCGACGTGGCGGCCATGGACGTCAACGTGATGCAGTTCGTCGCAGGCGACGGTATCGCCGACGCTTCTGTCGGCATCTTTCGCATGCAACTTCTCGAGCCCGACGACCGACATTGGGCGTTCTACGGCTGGTGCTTTCTCTACGAGTGGGCACTCGGCTTGCGCGAGGTCGTTGCGTTTGCAGGCGATCGAGGCAACTTTTCGCTTCTTTCGTCGCACGTCGACGCGCAACACATGCGGCCAAACCCGTCCGAAGTGCCCGTGAGCTTCTCGCTGCTCTGCAAAGCGTTCAACTTTTACGTCTCGTGGGTGCTCATCTGCGTCGCATCGCTCGTTGCTGTCTCGGCGCTTGTCCGCGGCGGCGCCGTCGAAGGCGTCAACTTCTTTTGCCTCAATCGGGTTGTTGGCCACGTCTGGGCTGGCCGCACGTTTCTGATCGTGCGCAGTGTCTCGGCTATCTGGCTCCTCACGACAAGCCCCTTGTACTTGGCGTCGACCGGCATCGCTACGACGATGGTCGCACCGTCGCTCTTCTGGTACGACAATATACTCGCGGCATCAGAAGTCTCGTGGCTCGTCTACGTCCTCAACGACGTGTTTACGGTCGTGTCGCGCCAGCACACCGCACTCTACGCGAGCAAATCGTCGCTCCTCACGTCGCTGCTTGTCTCGCTCTGGACGTTTCTCTCGCCCCAGCGCTGCGAGGTGAACATTGCGCGCCACTGCGTGCATGTGGATATGGACTTTGCGCTCGATTGCAGTAGCGTCAACGTTCACGTGGGCAGTCTTCGTCGGCTCGGTGGCGTCTTGGGCTTGGCTGTCGGCAGCATTCTCGGCTGCTTCCTCTTTGGTCGGTACGTCTATGCGCCAAACGAACCGCCCATCGCTGTGCGCTCGTGGCTCTTGAGCGCACAGAGCTACTACTTGCTTGATTTCACCAACTGGGTCTTCCTCGACGAGTACTACCTCGATACGACGTCGGCGATGATGGCCGGCATCCTATCGTTTGTGTACAACGGCCGACGGTATGTGTTTGACATCAAGATGTGGCGGCTCGTATCGCTGCCGCATAACCCCATCTCGCTCTGGGAGACTGACGCGCGCCGCTTCCGGCACGCCATCCCGCTTTCCCGTATTTAGCGGACGTCACCGATTATGTCGGGACAATCGGCCCGAAATCGCAGCAAAATGAACCGAATTGCGTCACATACCCATCGAGTTGCGTTGTTTTACAGTGCACCTACTTGGCTTATCCAAAGAGGAACCCGAGGGTGAGGTTGTTGAGACCCGTGAGCGACGCCGGCAACAACTCGGCGCTCGTGGCCAAGCGCGTTGTGACCTATGCCCCCATATTCATTAGTACCTATTTGTACATGCTTGCAAGCACCGTCTCGAGGAGGTCGGACGGAAACGCGAGCTCCTTTGTGGGCAAGCGGTCGTCGGCGACCGGCGTCGTCGTGAAGAGCACCTTGACGACATTCTGGGCCGCGCTCCTGTCCGACGTCTGGATCGTCGCGTCCCAGCTCAACACCTGCAGCGCAAGGGGCACATTGGGCGCGTCCGCATCGCTGGGCACGAGGTCGAAGCGGAAGAAGCCTTCCGACTCGATGACCTCGAGGAGCTTGGTCACAATCACACTGTCGCTCGAGTACGCGTCAAAGATGTCGTTGGCTTGCAACAGGTACTTTTGCAACGTAATGCCAATCGAAGGGTCGTCTTGGGACCCGAGGACCGTGTGGCAGCGCATGCAACGGACGCTCGCCATGTGACGCTCCATCTCTGCGTGCACGTTCTCGGGGTGCACGAGGAGGTCCGACTGTCCGACGTACACGCGGTCGAGCGCGGCGTGGATCCCGTCCTTGGGAATATGCTCGAACGCGCCTTCGGCCGCGCCCCAAAAGTCGACCATCTCCATCCAGTTGGACGACGGTAGCGGCAGCACCTTGTTGAACGGCCGGTCGACGTTTGAGATGACTTGGCCGCAGCACCGGCACTGGAGCTCGGTATAATTGCGCACCTATATGCGATACGACTCGGTGTGTGGACACGAGATAGTATGGTGCGTACATCAAGCTCAGCACGCGACAAAGTCCGGGCCGCCATGCCAGCCGTCATGGCTGTCTTGCGGTCTTCTTTGGCGGCGCTTGTCAGCGGCAGACGCAAATGAACGTGGTCCTTTTGCACACGCACCGAGCTGTACTTGGGGTCGACGGCGTACGCGAGCGTGGCCTTGAAAATTGTCGTGTCCTGCACGCGGAGCTGGATTCCGTGCTTTGAGGCATTAGTCACGAGCGTCGGCGTCGCGCCCTCGAGCGCAATGTGCACGTAGCACTGGTAGCAGCCGATATTGGCCTGGAACTCGATGACAAACTCGGGCGCGTGCAGCACCTTGGCTAGAGTCGCGTCGAGCTGGCTCGAGAGGGCGTCCACATCGTGGCCGTAGGCTTGCCGTGCCTCATTCGCCTGGGCGTAGTCAGCCCGCGCGTCTTCCACGACGCTTCGCGCAAGCTCGCACTGCTCGCGAGCAGCGGCCACAGCGCGCTTGGCGTCCTCCATCTCCTGCAGGAGCGCGGACGCGCTGAGCTTCGTTGCCATCGAGCGAATCCGAAAATGCCGTCTTTTGATTCGGCAAAATGGAACCAATCGACGAGAACCTTCGATGGTATTTAGCCAATCATATGGCCGAGAATGGAAGATCGCAAATCTTGCTTGCTGCAGAACCGGGGGCGCGAGCCAGCGACGCTAGCCCACCACACGACTCATGCGCATCAACTCTATTGCTGGCTGAAGGTCTATGGGTCGCGCTGTCTATATGCGCTACTGCGATGACCAAGTCCTCTTGTTGGTTTAAGACGCAAGACGCTCCTTTGGGAGGTTGGCGAGCGTGTCGAGGCGAGCAATGATGAGCGTGCACATGCTGTGCCATGCTTGGCGCTCGTAGAGCGCTGCCACGTCTTTTCCAAAGATGTCGCTGAGCTCCAACAGAGTAAGCTCGACGCGCAGTCGATTGTCTTCGGGCACTTGCGCCGCAATGTCGACAATGACGCCACCCGAAGTCTTGCCCGAAAGCGAGAGCGCCACGGCGTACTCGAGGTCGTGGCAAACCCACGTACACTGAAGCAGATCCACATCACCTTCATCGAGCTGGTCGAGGAGCTCGCGCGAGTCGCGGTCCTTCCCGTCCATGATACGCTGCATCCACGCACAGAGCAAGTCGGCGCCTCGCCCGAGCGACTCGGGGCGGAAGAGCGGATCCGACGCCATTGGTTGTTGCAAGAGAAACGGGGCAAGCATCGTGCATTTGAGCTCAAAGTCAGGCGATGCCGATGCCTCGTCCACCTTGCGGAGGGTACGGAGCACGCGGTGGCCGTGGCGGTAATACAGCCGTAGGCTCGACCAAGAGATGTCTCGCGGTGTCAACACACCCGGCGTCACGAGCAGGTAGACCATGGTAAGCACAAACTGCACAGATCGCGACGGCGCTTCGATGTCTGAGAGCTGCGAAATATCCTCGCTGGTCGCCGTGATCGCATCGACTGTCATTGACGCCAGCGCACGCGTCGTCATGTGCTGCTGGCGCGCCGACAGCACCGGCGTCAAGAGGCCGGGGCGTTCGATTACCAAGTCCACGGGCCGGAATCGCTCAAATGGCATCATCACCGTCGCCAGCGGGTGGTGTCGAGGCGACGTCGGCTTGTGCGGTGTGACGGGTCTCTGCGGCGAAATGCCATCGCGGGACGAGCTTTGTTTGGTGCGGGGCACCTCGGTATCGACAAACGCCTCGGTATCAACAAACGCCCAGCACCACGACAGAAAGTGGTCTGCCCACAGAGCACGGGCATTGGGCTCGTCCAAGCACTCGCTTGGGTTGAAGGGCGGCGGCGGCGTCGCGTGCAGCGTCGCAACGCGCTTTCGGGCAGCCGCGGCGAGCATGAGCGGGTTTTGCCCCATTGTCTGCGGTGCAATGCCCAACGCTAGCACGAGCCACTTGGCGCCATGGAGAAAGTTCATGTCTGTCTTCATACGCTGCGTATAGCTCTCACCGTTGTACCAATACGGGCGCGGCGAGCCCTACAGCCCAATAATGAGTTGCGCGACCGCGTGAGGTTGAAGTACCGCGTGCCATGCGTAGAGCTGCAGAAGCAGCTGCGTCGAGGCGTCGCGGACGTGGACGAGCAGCTTGAGCATCGCAAAGTGCTGTCCCTGCTCGACGCTGCCAGAGTCGAGGAGAGAGTGAACTTGGGTGACCAGCTCTTCTCGCTTTGCAATCCACTTGGCCACCGCCGCGTCGTCCTCCGTGCGCGCGACAACGCGGTGGGTTCGTGGCGACGCTTGCCGGGCTCGGATGTCCATTGTGATCTTCCAGCAGCCAAAACGGTTATTTTTTGCACGATGACGCAATTCGAAATGTATCAAATTAGGCGTTTACATGCAGCATGCAATTAGGCCAGCGAAGGGTACGACGCGTCGGACGCAACGCCGCAGGTGCCGTTGAGCGTCGCCGCGCGCTGCAGCTGCATGAAGCCATGGTCGCCCCAGCCGACGCCCCACGAGTTTTGAATGCGCCAGTAGGCGCCATTTGCCGAGTCGCTGTAGCCGACGACCACAACCGCATGGTCCAAGTCGGTCGTCGAGCACGAGGCGAGGATTCCGCTCTTGTACTGCTTCCACTCTTCGTTGCCAGCAGCGACGCCGACGATGATGGGCTGGCGCGCCACAGCACCTTGCAAGCTTGCTTCGCCCACGGGCACGGCCACCGATTGGAGCGACGTCGTCCGCGTTGGCACGCAGCTCGTCGCTGTGCACGTCTCGTCGTTGCCTGAGGTCCCCGAGACATATGGGTAGTCCTTCCCGCGACACAAGCCGTTCTTGGCGATGTACTCGATGGCTTTGGAGGGATACCCGCCTTGGCAGCCCAAGTTTCCTACGAGAGGCAAGAGTAGGTCTAGACACCAAAGTACGTGGCAGCGTACCGGACGCCTTGTCGCAGCTCGTGAGGTGCTGCTCCGAGAGCTTGACGAGCGCGTTGGTCGGTGAAGCCAGGCACGTGGCACTTTCCAAAGCGAGGACGGTCGCAAATGCCCAGCAGCTCCCGCAGTTCCCTTGCTGCTGCACTGCGCTCACGCACGAGGACTTTTTTGTCCAATCGATGGTTGCCGGCAGCACCGTGGTGCTGTTTGCATCCGAGGTGCGCGCATTGGAACGCGGCGCCGGTCGCGACGACCGGACATAGGCCGCAAACTCGGGCACCGTGAGGAGCGTAAACGGCGAGTCGAGCGAAAAGTGCGCGTTCGGGTGCAGGACGTTGAGGCGCGCAATGTCCATCTTGGTGGCGTAAAAGCGACGGAGCTCGTCGTCAGCGTCGCTCTTCAAGAAGCCGTGAGCGCGCGCAATGCTGCCTGCGCGGCTCGCCTTCCACTCTGCGAGCTCGGCCTCGAGCGCGATTGGGTCGTAGCTGCCAAGCACCGACGGCACGAGAAGCGCACACGTGAGCAGGGCGAACGAGAGCATGGTTGCAGAGCAGGACAATTGGAGAATGAAAACTTGACGCTCGAATGAAGCTGTAGCCGGACCAACGCCGGTGGACGATGCCAGTTGCCGCAGTGTGGCGCAAGGGAGGGCATAGCAGCTCGTCTGAGAACGAACGCATCCTTGGGCCACATCGCGTTGCCCTGGCGTGAGCCAAGGCACTGCACGTCGAGCGTATGGTCCAACAGGAGCGGTTGGCTTTCCATGCTGGTCAGCCGATCAGATTGCAGCTCGATAATCGACTAACTAGCTCAGGTTGAATCGTCACAAATGTACACATGACCTTGCAGCTGGAAGATGCGCCAAGGTTGGTCTACCTTGTTCGAGCAATCCAGCGGAGCGGAATCTTATTTTCGCTTGGCGTATTTGAAATGGTAAGAAATCAACGATTCACAATATAGTCTTTTTAACGCAGTCGGTTAGACAATCTCGCCGCGGTTGTCCGACTCGTTGAACTGAACCCAGTCGAGCGCAATGGGCGCGGCCATCACGTACTCGGGAATGTTGAACGCGTGGACGAGGTTGAGCGCATCTTCGCCGAGGCCTTCCTCGCCGCAGAGCTTCTTGATGGCGCTGTCGACGCTGTTGCCGAGGTCCTTGGTCACCACGTCGTTGCAAACGTACCACGCGAGGTCGCGCTGGACGCAGCTCGCGGCGTAGAGCTTGGCGATCTTGGCGACGACGGGGCGCACGGCCGCGTGCTTGGGGTCGTCGAGCGACTCGAGCACCTTCTCAAACGCCATGCGTTCGACGTACGAGAGCGCGACTTCCTGCACGAGGAGCGACTCCTCCATCATCCACACGTCAAAGAGCGCCTTGCCGCCAGCCATCTCCGTCTTGAGCGTCTTGCCGAGCTTCGTCATGAGCGCGGCTTCACGCGCGCCGAGGAGGTACCGGTAGTACTCGAGATCGTCCAAGCTGGGCGTGCCCGCAAACGGCTTGCCCGCAGCTATAAGATATCAACGTATCAGTTTCAGGCCCGGACGACGGTGACGTACTCGGCGAGAGCTTGTAGCGGCCAGCCTTGATGAGCTCGCCGAGCTCCTTGGTCACCTTTTGCATGAGCACCTTGTTGTCGCCCTAATCAGCCGTAAGTGCATGAGCGCAGCAAAATGCAATGCAAACATACCTCGGCCGTCACGGCCGCGTGCGAGAACCCGAGGATTTCCCCAAACCGGTTGGCCGAGAGGTAACCTTGGCCACCGCAGCGCTCGCGGCAGACGCTCACCACGTTCTCCGAGTTCCACGAGACGACGGGCTTGATCGCCGAGCAAAGCGTGACGAGTTCGAGACGCGCGAGCGGGTCCTCCGACTTGTTCCACGCTGCATACGCGTCCTTGACGTAGTTGAGGCCGCACGCCAAGGCGTACGTGCGCGCCAGGAGCGGGATGAGTTCACGCTTCTGGAGCTGGTACTTCATGATGGCCATGTCCGACTTGCCCTTGGGGCCGACGGTCGCGCGCGACGCCGCGTAGCGCATGGCGATCGTCAGCGCGAGCTTCGTGCCACCCATGAGCATGGCCGCGATGCACACACGGCCACTGAGAAGCTGGTCTACAAGAGAAGTCATCATGAGAGATGATAAGTCCAGACACCGGTACCCGCCACAGCGAGGAAGCGACCGCGCTTGCTCGGGATCTTGCTCGAAAACTCGCCCTCTTCAGAGACCGACGAGAGCGCGTCGAGCATGTGGCTGCGAGGCACGCGCACGTTGTTGAAGAGGATCTTGCCGTTGTCGACGCCATTGCAGCCCATCTTGTGGCCCATGTCCTCGACGCGGACATCCTTGGCCATCGTCATGTCTTCGTTGCGGATGCGGACAAGGAAGGCCTGGATGCCGTGGTGCTCGCCCGCCACGTCGAGCTGGGCAAAGACAACGACCCACTTGGCGTGCACTAGACATCGAAGTAGTCATGAGCTCATGTAGGACGAGGGTGCTAGAGGTAGAGGTCGCTGTACCGGCCGAGTTGGTGATCCAGTACTTTTGGGAGAGAATCGTGGGCGAGTTGATGATGAATTCGTCGGTCGCCTTGTCGTAAACAGCCGTCGTCTCCATCTCGATCGCGTTGTTGCCGTAGCCGAGTTCCGTGAGGCCAAAGCAGCCGACCGCATCTAATCGTAGCATTTCAAGTGTACAGTCCAGGACGATGCCATGTCGTACCGAGCGAGTCGATGCCATCGAGGAGCTTCTCGTGGTGCTTCTCCGTGCCAAGCTTGAGCACGGTGCCGCCAAAGAGGTTGAACTGCACCGTCATCTTGGTCGCCATGGACGGGTTCGTCAAGCCCGCAATCTCGTGCGCCGCATAGATGCGGTGCGGGTTCGTGTGGAAGTCCTTGACCGAGAAAAACTTGGCGTCGCAGATCTTCTGGAGCTGCGCCAGCGCAATCTCGCGCTCTTCGGCGAGCGGGATGTTGTAGCGCGGGCGAAAGCTCGGGTCTTTGAGGAACTCACGCAGGCGCGAGCGCATCTCGACGTTGTCCGGGTCCAGCCACGTCGTGAGCTCCGACGTCGGGAAGCTGCCATCGTTATTGCCGTACTTGGTGCGCTCCTTGGCGACGTCAAAGCCCAGCGGGCGCGTGAACGCGACCGAGCTAGCGGCGCGCGCAAAGAGCGAGGAGCGGGCGACCGACTGTCGGGCGTGCAGCATCTTGAAAAGTGCAATCGGGAAGATCTGGCCCGGATCCACCTCTACAAACGCATACGCTTTCTCAAAGGGTTTCAACTTCAAGATCCCACGGTTGAGTAAACGAGAAAGTAACGAGATGCGCACGCGCCAAGATGCCGCCAGTTTGCCGTTGGACCACGGCGGTGACGTGGCGCGTCGAGACGCCAAAGATCGCTCATGGAAAACAGCCTGGGCAAGTTATGAGCATACAAGAGAAAGAGCACTAGCTTTAGAATGGGGCGGGTTTCCGGAAGCTCCTTGTTACCACTAGAAGCACTGTGGATTTGTCGTCGTAGCTCACCACCAATGTGTAGGAGCAGGTGCGGGGCTGGTAATCTCTGTGGACACCATGGGTTGTAGGGCTCATGTAGCAAGACGGCTCATGTGCTCATGTGCGTCCTCATGTTTGTACTGCCAACGACGTGTCCATGCAGCTCCTTGCGATCGTGACCCTTCACATAAAAGAAGACGCGACGCGTTGATTTCCCCAGGCCGCAACGAGACGGGTGACATCCGTCTGTCGACGGCGGTGATGTTTACCGCGACAAATTATGTCGAGTCAACGGAAGCCGACACGTTGCTTGGGCGAATGAGCGCGCAGGCGCGTGGCACGCTACCCAGGACACGCAATCGGACTGGCTGCTGATAGGGCGTCGTGATCTTGGGTCGGCAACGAGAGGCTGGCGGCGTTCGTAGTCACCAGCTGGCGTGGACTGGCGACCGCATCTTGCCGGCCCACACTGGCCCACACGACCGTGAAAAGCGTCAAGAGTATTTGCATGCTGTTAGCTCGTGGCATGTGCTGCCACTGGCCAACGCAAAGGAATTTCATCCTGGAAGCTGACAACCTTCTCGTGCTGTAACAAATCGTGCGCGTTGGTGCCAGGGGTGCACAAGGGTGGTGAGCCCTGGGACCGCCACGACCATCGTTATTCTTACAATAAGTTCTGATAGACGAGTACCTTGTACTAGTACACTTTAGCGAGGGCTGGGTGAATGCGCCCGGTTCACTGCGTGCCTAACATCTATACTGCTAGTACTAGTACGGAGGGTGGACTACAACCAAGGGGTGGTGGTTGCGTTCTGGAAATGCAGGGTAAACCCTTAGACCCCAAGGACAAAGCAGATTTCGTCCAAGAAGCCGCGTAGTATACCCGCAGGGGTGGTTTTTGGTTGATCCCGAAGACGATCTATTTTGAGGCGCGCTGAAAATAGCGGCATCGGCACTGCTGCGTCGGTAGTTTTGCTTTCGCAGCAGCCATGGGCGAGGAGGTCGAGAAGCACATCATGCGCAAGTACGACTTGCTCCAGAAGCTCGGCAAAGGGGTCCGGCATCGCATGCGCACACAAGTCTCTCACATCTCGTAGGCCTACGGTATCGTGTGGAAGGCGACCGACAAGGCGACGCGGCAGCCCGTCGCGCTGAAAAAGTGCTTTGACGCCTTCCGCAACGCTACGGACGCGCAGCGCACCTTCCGCGAGATCATGTACCTCCAAGAGCTCAACGGCCACCCGAACATCATCCGCCTCCTCAACGTCGTCAAAGCCGACAACGACCGCGACATCTATCTCGTGTTTGACTTTATGGGTACCTTGGCCCTTGGTGTATCGCCTCCCTCTTGCTGACGTTGCAATAGAAACGGACTTGCACGCAGTCATACGCGCCAACATCCTCGAAGAGATTCACAAAAAGTATGTCACGTACCAGCTCATCAAGGCGCTCAAGTTTATGCACTCGGCCGACTTGCTCCACCGCGACATCAAGCCGAGCAACCTCCTCCTCAACGCCGACTGTCACACCAAGCTCTGCGATTTTGGCCTTTGTCGGTCCGTGTCGGAGGTCGGCGGCCCCAACCCCGTCCTCACCGACTACGTCGCGACGCGCTGGTACCGCGCGCCCGAGATCCTATTGGGCTCGACCCGCTACACCAAGGCCGTCGACATGTGGGCGGTGGGCTGCATCGTGGCCGAGATGGTCACGGGCCGCCCGACCTTCCCGGGCACGTCGACCATGAACCAACTCGAGCGCATCCTCGAGATCACGGGGGCGCCGACGACGACCGACATTGAGAACATCAAGTCCCCGTTTGCCGCGACAATGCTAGAGAGTCTGCCGCCGCCAAAGACGCAGACACTCGAAGAGCTTTTGCCGAAAGCGTCACCGGAAGCCATCGACTTGGTCCGGAAATGTCTCTACGTACGACGTGGTTGAGGCACTGTCGGGGTCTCATTCGAGTTTAGTTTGATCCGGACAAGCGGATCACGGCTGACGAAGCTATCAAGCACCCGTTCGTGTCGCAATTCCACGCTGAGAAGGACGAACCGGTGGCGACGGCGCCATGCCAAATCGTCGTCGACGACAACACAAAGTACTCGGCCGCCGACTACCGCGATCGACTCTACCGCGAAATCATCAAAAAGAAAAAGGACATTCGACGCCAAGGCACGCAAAAAGGTGACATTGTCGTCGGTGGCTCTGGTACGGCGCCTATCAATGTGCATGCGTTCACCTTTGAACGACGTAGAACCCGCGCCAACCAAGTAAAGCGCGCCGTTCTACCCTGATCAATAAGAATACACTATAAATAAAAACGTCTAGATAGTGTCCCTTGTAGCTGTTGGATGGTGCTTGACACACTTGCGACGTCATGCGCGCATGTGACAACATAAATCTGTCGTCGGCTCGAGTCTCTCAGGCTCCCATGGTGAAGGTCCGCTGCGGCACTACACTAGGAGGTAATCGATGGTGCCAAGCACGCTGCCATGTGAGCTCAAGGACACCGTGGCGTGGTCGAGGACAGCAGGCACCGTTTCCGTCATCGATTAATGTTGGAGTAAACAATGAGGTAGGCAGAGGCATGCGAACGATGACACGGCGGTTGTTCGCTGCATGCGGTCATCACCAAGGTGTAAGGCAGATTCTGGAGCCTCTTTTATGGGGCACTGACGCCTCCATTCGTCTCCTCCTCACTTTGTCAGCAGCTGGTCATTGCGACGTTTGAGTTCAAACCTTCTCAGGCGGTGTGTCTGCGGCTTTGTTGGGCTGGATTCGAACAACAAGGGACGACGTGTGCATTAGAGTGTCATCAATCCAAGACGTTCATCGTCATTTGGTTCGAAATGCGCTCCATGTCGCGCTCGTACATGTGGTTGAGCTCCTGGACGCTGGGGCTTTTCGTCACTGGAAACGACCGACTGCGCGGCGGCGCGTGGTACGTACGCGGCGGTGTCCCGATCGCCGCAAAGCCCGGGGGCGGTGCCACGTGGGCCGAGGTCGACCGAGTGAAAGACGGCGGTGGCGACAGCGCGCGCGGGCGCATCGACATGATCGTGATAGAAAGCATGCGCACGACGAGCTGCGGGATCTTGGCGGCCGCAAATTCGGCCGGCAACATGGCGGTCACCATCGCATGATCGATCGCACCGGACGCCACGTGGCGCCGAATGTCGGGCACCGTCAGCTTGGGCTCGGCGAGAAACGCAAATAGCTCGACCTTTGTAAACGGCACCACGATCTCCGGCGTTGCACCTTGTGGTTCATCACTGGGTTCAACTTGGCTCGGCTGGTCGTCTGATTCCGTGGCTACCAGTTTGTTCTTCTCCGTGGCAGGCGGCTCGTCGGCGTCCGCCGCCGGCTTCTCGTCCATGGATGTGGCTGGTGGCTCGTCGATTTCCGGCACTGACTGCTTGTTGGTCTCAGTCGCGCACGATTCGTCGGTGGCACTGCGTGCGACGTTGTAGCCGTCGTCGTCGCGTTGGGGCTCGTCGCATGGCTGCGACGAGGCGCTCACGAACGGCGCCACATCACAGTTGTTTACGTTTTCACTCTGGTTCTTGGTGTTATCGTCGTTCTTGTTGGGATACAAGACTGTGCTGATGTTGCTGCTGCTGTCATTGTTGTTGCTGCTGCTGTCATTGTTGCTGCTGTTGTTGTTGTTGTTGTTGTTGCTGCTGTTGTTGTTGTTGCTGGTGCTGTTGATGCAAATAGCGTTGTTGGCTTCAATGGTCGGTGCAGTCTTGCGCTTGGGCGTTGGGATTTGGCGGGGCTGGCTGCTGCTCTTTTCATTCGTGTACTTGGTTACGGGAGGGTTCGGGACGGTGGTGACGGACATGGATGCTTTCGGACTGCGGACCTTGCGTGGGCTCTCGCGGCGCTTGACGACGTTAGCTGGACGGACCTAACGCCAGTACAAACATGCGTGAGATCGAACGTTGCTACTACTAGTACCTCTGGCAATTGTTGCTCGGGGGTACTTTTGATCAGCACGGGACTCGATTGCGCAGACGATAAATGTGGGAGCTTGGCCGTGGTGCTCAAGTAGACTTCGGCCAGTTTTGGGGTCTGCGGCGGCGACACGAGTGTAATGCGGGGCGACGCTGGCGCGCGGCGAGGGCTCAAAACTGCGGGCCGCGCCTTTCGATCTCTGCGCTTGTTGGTCTTCTTGGACGACGGGGTGCGCACGCGCTGCACTGCGCCTCGCGTGTCGTGGCGCCAATGCAGGAGGGCGCCAGCGCAAAACGTCGAGAGAACGAGGCAAAGGACCACCGAGATCGAGTTGCTCGCGACTACGAGCGCGGCCGTGTGATGCAAAAGTGTGAGCGCGTGCTGCAAAATGACCCAGACCATGCCGTCGGGATGGAAGAAGAAGCTCGAGAGCGAGAGGAACGTGAGCCAGCTCAGAAAGCGCTTGAATTTGGATTTCTCCCGGCGGTGCTCGGCATAGAGCTCCAGCGCCGTGCGGACGAGGCTGCTCATGGCGACGACTTGGAAAATAGTGGCTTCACGAGCCCAAATGCAAGAGGAGTTTCGTGTCCGAAAGGGCGCGTCGCAGGCGGCCAATCAAGGACGCGCGTGGCCTTTCAGCCGCCAATCACAACGACGCTACTGAAACGACCGCTAAGATTAGCGCCACCTTCTCATGGCGGCCGACTTCGACCCGTACACGAAGCAATGGATGCGCGAGGTAGACCAGCTCTTCATGCGAGGATGACGAAGCGGCCGTGTAGGCCATGATGAGTCGCGACATCATCGGCGACCTCGAAGCCGTTAACGCCAAGCTCCGCGCCGACCTGGAGCGCAAAGTACTTTACATTCCGTGTACAGCTCAACGATCGAGATGTGTAGAGCTTTCAACTCGATCTTATGGACGCGTGCGTCTCTCAGATCGGCGCCACGGAGAAGCTCCAGAGCGCTATTGACGCGCGCCTGCATCCGCCAAAGGACGCGTACCGCATATCGCCGCAAAGGCTCTCGCCGCGGAAGAAAGACGGTCGCAGTGACGAACTCATATTTGGCGGCGAGAGCAACAAGTCACGTTACCACACCAAGATAGCCCATTCTGACCAACTGTAGGTTCGCCCACGGCAGCGAAGCGCTGCAGAATATGATCGAAGCCCACACCCCTCGCAAGTAGTGCAAATCCAGTTGTCTTTATATGACGGCATGCTTGTAGAGGCCACCCCATCTCGCAGCCGTACGAGCCGCCGCGGGAGCCCATCAGTCCACGCAAAATCAAGCATGACGCGCAACTATTCGGGGGCGCGTCACCAGAAAACAAGTGCGAGTTCAAGCACACGTGGCCACTCGAAGGTGGTTTGTCGTAGGTTTGCCTTTGGAAGTCCTCGGCACAACGACTATGTCGAGCACCATCACGCTGTTCGGTGCGGCACGACACGCTGTGAACGATGAGAATACGGACTTGGGGCTAGGACCAATGAGATCACAGAGTGCCCCAAGCACGAACAAGGCTATGTGTGCGGCTCGGACGCGTATCAGAAGACGGCGGCGTACGACAGCAGCTACATGGGCCAAGTGAGCGCTGAATGCAGAGCATTCCGTGATATGGACCGCTTGAGGTAGACGGCACGGACCGAGCACGCGCGCAGCTGGACATTTGAGCGCGAAGAGGCTGCGCTGCGGCAGTCCAAAGACATTTTTGGCAACGAGAAGAAAAAGCTCCTGCTGCCAGGGCGGTACGCGTGTCGTATCGCAACGCGCCTGAATGATGCGCACTAGGCCCACGCATACGTACGACTGCATCGACCAGCTCGTGCAGTCAACAGACCGGCGAAGTCCTCGCCGGAGTGGCAACAACCCTCACTAATCTTTAAATGTACAAGTCGTCCATCGAAGAATTACTCAGCCCTTCGCGTCGACCATCATTCGGAGCGCGCCTCTTGAAGATCTCGTACTTTATCGAGTGCTTGTCGAAAAGCGTACTTGATTGGGTCGACGACGGTGGTTGGTGGATACAGAATCGCATTGGACAGGCTCGGGCGCGATGGACCTGCCGCCGACGTACGTAGCGGACCTCTACCGCCACGTGCTCCTGGGCGTGAAGGCGTCGAATGCGATTCCGAGCGGCGAAGACGAGTTCCATTTTCAGTACAAGTTCAACGAGGCCTTCCGCGGCCAAGCCGATGCGCTTGGCGAGCGCGTCACGACACTCCTGCAGCAGCTGCAGCACGTCAACAACAAGCTCAAGTCGGACAACGACGACGACGTCGCTGTGTTTGACCCGCTCGAGGAGAATGGCCCGCTCACCGACCTCGTCGACTCGCTCCTCGAAGACGCGTCCAAGCAGATCGAGCGCTTCCAGAAGGGCGAGGTGCAAGCGACGCCGGCGACCACGACGCCCGTAGCGCCGGCTGCGACCGTCACGACCAACGCAGCGATCAACAAGCCGCAGGAGAAGTTTGCGGACAAGATTGACAACTCGGACGCGCCGTTTGTGACCAAGTTGAAGACCAAGGTGCACGCAGCGACCGTGGCCACGGAGCACGACACGACAGGGTCGGACGAACCGTACCACCCGTATCGGTCCGAGATTGCGTCGCTTGCGTACCAGCCGTGGCAGCTTGCGCCGTCGACGACGAAGCGCGAGATGATCTCGCTCGAGAAGGCGACGTACACGTGGGTCGACACGGAAGAAACGCTCGCGGCCATGCTGGCGACATTGGCGACGACCGACATCCTCGCGATCGATCTCGAGCACCACAGCTACCGCTCGTACCAAGGCTTCCTCTGTCTCATGCAGATCTCGACGTGGGACGCCGACTGGCTCGTCGATACGCTGGCCCTGCGCGCGCACCTCCAGGCGCTCAACACGATTTTCTGCGACCCGACGAAACTCAAGGTGCTCCACGGCGCCGACATGGACATTCTCTGGCTCCAGCGCGACTTTGGCGTGTACATTGTCAACATGTTTGACACGGGCCAGGCCGCGCGCTGCCTCCAGTACCCGCGCTTCTCGCTCAAGTACCTCCTCCAGACGCACTGCAACGTGACGGCCGACAAGCAGTACCAGCTCGCCGACTGGCGCGTGCGTCCGCTCGACGACCCGCTCATCAAGTACGCTCGCGAAGACACGCGGTACCTCCTCTTCATTTACGAAATCCTCAAGCGCGAGCTCGTGTCGCACAAGAGCGGGGCAACCAACTTGCTCCACCAAGTGTACGCGCAGTCGGCAGCCGTCGCGCTCTCCGTATACGAGAAGCCCAAGGTGCATACGTTCGATGAACTCTTTGACATGGCGCTCAAGCTCAAGAGCACGGTCGGTCTCGAGACGATCTCGGACAACCAAGCGCACATCTTTGAACAACTGTACCTCTGGCGCGACAACCTCGCGCGCTCGCTCGACGAGTCGCCGGGGTTCGTGTGTCCCAACGCCGTGCTCTTGAAGATCATGAAGGGCGTGCCGACGACGCCCGCTGCGCTCTTCCGCCTCTGCAACCCGGTGCCGCCGCTTCTCCGCAAGCACGCGCACGAGCTCACGTTGCTCATTGCGCGCGAGGCATCGGCGCCGTCATCCATCGCGGTGCCGGTGGCCGCGCCCAAGAAGAAGGCCACGACGACGCTGCTCGTGCACGAAGAGAACGATCAGATTTATGGCTTTGCGGGCTGGAAGCTGCCCAAGCGCACGACCTCGGCGGTCATCGCCGAGGCGTCGACGTCGCTGGCGCCGGCCTTTGACATGCAGCTGGAAGCAGACGGCCACGAGGCGCTCGAGAAGGTGCGGGCTGCCTTGGCGGCCACGGCGTTTGTCGTCGTCGACTTTATGCAGCAAGCGCCCGCGCCATCGCCGGTTGTGGCGCCGAAGGACGAGGTAGAAGAGGACGTGTACGTGGCGCCCAAGTCGCTCACGGAGAACTACCCGAAACTCAAGAAGCGCAAGTTTGAGAGCAAGGCGACCAAGGACGCGGCGGCGGCGACGGCGGCGCTCAACCCGGTCGACGAGGCGGCGCCGTTCGAAGGTTTCAACTATGCGGCCGCGGCCGCGAGTGTCGAAGCCTCCAAGATGGACGTGGACGCAATGCTCAAGCAGCAGGAAGACGACAAGCGCAAGAAGCGGCGGGCGGGTTACAACCCGTTCGTCGGCGGCAAGGACACAGTCAACCAAAAGCGCGGCTACAACGCGCCGCGAAGCTCGACCTTTCGGTAATCGTATGCGCATACGATGCAATGACTGCGATAGACGATGATAAGGATGATAACTATGTATGGTAAAGTCAATCGCACGCCAGCAGTTGTTCTTGCGTGCCGGCTCAGCGTGTGTACGTGCTCTTGGTATCGTACCGACGGTCTTCACTGCGCCGACGCCGCTTGGCCGACCGCTCGGGCGACACCGACCGGCTGCGCTTGCGACGCCGATGCTCCCGCGACCGAGACCGGCGCGGTTCTCGGGATCGAGATCGACGGACGTCTCGGGAGCGCGACTCGCGCTGACGCGGCTCCCGACTCCGAGATCGACCTCGACGCGCCATGTCTCGGTCGTAGTTGCGGACGTCTAATGGATCCCGAAGTGCCATGAGTGCTCGGCGGCGACTAAGATGAAAGCAATGGTGAAGGGTGGCGCGAATATGAACACTGCGCTCGTACGTCTCTGCAGCGTGGTCAACGGGCGTTGCTGTCGTGGGAGCAATGTCGCTTGCTGGCGCAGCAGCGAGGTGCCAGCCGTCGCGCTGCCCGAGGTCTGCCATTTGATGCTCGAGCATTTCGCGCACCACCTATTGGTGAAGTCATGCGGCGAGTGAATCGAGAGATGGAAGAGAGACGTACTTCGTGGTAGTTGCGTTTCGTGTTCTTGGCGCGATACGACATGCGTCGGCGCTTGTTGGACGGTGCAGTGACGACTACAATGACTTGAGGTCGTGATGAACTACAGTCAACGACACCTGGTGGGACGGGTGCGCTGGGCTGCTTTGGGGGTATGGCGACTTGCACGAGCGATTGCCGCCGAAGCTCGTCCTGCGACCGTGCGTCGTTCTAAGGGACGAAACATGAACCGAGCGTTCTGGACGCCATATGTACGTAGACTGCACGGCGAGCAACTTCGACGGCCAAGTACTTCCAGAGCGCCAGCACAAACGCCTAGAGCAGAGACATTGTGTTCTTCTAGAATCACCGTGGAGACGTACGCTCGTTTTCTCTTCGAGAAACTCGGTCAACTCGGCAACAAGGATATCAGGCTGGCTAAAGTCCGGGTGGTCCAGGAGTCCGAGGACGTAGTCGGTGAGGTCTTCGTCCATTTCGTCCGCCGACAAGTGTCTACGCGAAGAGGTGATGCGTCGAGAAGTTGGGCACCTTCGTATACGCACGAGCTAAAGTAGGCGTGCACCCAGCACTTGGTATCAGCCACAAAGGAGCTCGTGTCCACGCGCTGGAAGGGGCGGGGTATCGCAGTCCAAGCTTGCGCGGCAGTGAAAAAATCGACAGCGTTCGCAGCTATCGCAAGCACCGCCGTCGGGACGTCGCTGACGTCGCTTCCCGAGCGCTCGACGAGCGAGTGGACCTCGTCGTCCTCGGTGGTTGTCGAGACGTCCGTGACCCCGTCGTCGTCAAAGTACGCATTGTCCATGTGCAGGAAATGGGGCGTGGAGCTAGCAGTCGCAGGGGCAAAGGCCATAGGCTCTCGACTGCGGGGCTGGGTGGCCTCGCCTGAAGCTGGCTTGGTCGCGCGAATGTTCTCGACATGCGGCATCTTCTCGTAGAAAAACTAGGTGCGCCTATGGAGCCATAGCCTTCATGAGGAATAATCGTACCTCATGGGACGCATGGTGCTCGTCGGCAATGCCATGACAGCGTTTCTACTTATGCGTGAGCTACGGTCAGGGTTCATGGCGAGCCGGTACCAAGTGGCGGCCCAGGGCCGCTGGCGGTACGCGGTGCTCGGGAATGCACTTGCAGCTCACATCGTCCAGAGTAGGGTACAGAGAGAGCTCTGTCTCCTTGAGAAAGGCCATCATGCGAGCTTCCATGGCCTCGAGCTCCATCTGCATCGACCGGTTGGCCGCCAGCCGGTCCGCGAGCGCGGCCTCGAGCACGGCCGCCATCGCGATCGAAAATGATTCAAATTGGCGCTCTCTGATTGGTTGAAAAGATGTGGCAGGGCTCCTGTCAAAATGCATACCGAGAATGCACTGTATTTATACAGGATATGTGTTGTTGCAGAGAATCGAAGGTTCGCGAACCGAGGTCCCTTGCGCCTCGGTTTATAAATCCTGCAGCGGATTTCGTTGCGCCGCCGCAGCAAAAACGTGGAAATCGACTTCGCAGCGTGCATGTCTTGGTGCATACCCCGTCGCCAATGGATAAAGCACCCAAGCGATGGGCCCACAAGAATTATCTTCGCCGATGCCAATTGACTGCAATGCCTTCTTTTGATTCGTCAAAACCCGACCTTGGTTGGCTTGTGATTGGCTAAAATGGCACGCATCACTGCAGCCCTGCCCCACCGTCCGGGGCAACGGCCGGTGCATAGACGCGGATCGGGGTAGAAATGGCGCATCGCCCATACATTTTCCGGGATACCCCGGGGCATCCCCAACTCCCCCTCCTCTGGCGGCAATGGCGTTTGAAGCCATGATGTAGCCAATCAGCGCGGGTAGTGTCGCCGTGCGCTGCGCGGATTGGACACTGCGTGGTTTTTACGCCCGTGACGTCGCGGCGTCGGCGTACCTCGGAGATTCGCCATGACCGCAGCTTGGTCTTCATTTCCGCTTTTGCTCGCTCTAGCTCACACTACTCCCATGGGTCTCCTCGATATTGTCAAGCCCGGCGTCCTCACCGGCGACGACGTCATGGCCGTCTACACGTACGCCAAGAAGCACGGCTTCGCCATCCCGGCCGTCAACTGCACGAGCTCGAGCACGATCAACGCCGTGCTCCAGGCCGCCCGTGACAACGGCTCGCCGGTCGTCATCCAGTTCTCGAACGGTGGCGCCGCCTTCTACGCCGGTAAGGGCATCTCCAACAAGGGCGAGTTCGCCTCGATCGCTGGTGCCATCGCTGGTGCCCACCACGTCCGCCTCATGGCCAAGCACTACGGCGTGCCGGTCATTCTCCACTCGGACCACTGCGCCAAGAAGCTCCTTCCGTGGTTCGATGGCATGCTCGCCGCCGACGAAGAGTACTTTGCCATCCACGGCGAGCCGCTCTTCTCGTCGCACATGCTCGACTTGTCGGAAGAGCCCCTTGAGGAGAACGTCCAGATCTCGAAGGAGTACTTCAAGCGCATGGCCAAGATGAACCTCGTGCTTGAAATCGAGCTCGGCATCACGGGCGGTGAAGAGGATGGTGTCGACAACTCGGATGTCGACAACGCTTCGCTCTACTCGCAGCCCTCGGACATCATGTACGCCTACGAGGAGCTCTCGCAGGTCTCGCACCGCTTCACGATCGCCGCTGCCTTCGGCAACGTGCACGGTGTCTACAAGCCCGGTAACGTCAAGCTCCACCCCGAGCTCCTCCAGGGCTTCCAGGAGCACGTCGCTGCCAAGCTCAACAACGGCACGGACAAGCCGGTCTACTTCGTCTTCCACGGCGGTTCGGGCTCGACGGAAGAAGAGATCACGACGGCTGTCGGCGCTGGCGTCGTCAAGATGAACATTGACACGGACACCCAGTGGGCGTACTGGAACGGTCTCCGCCAGTTCTACCTCTCGAAGGAAGGCTACCTCCAGGGCCAGATCGGCAACCCGGATGGCGAGGACAAGCCCAACAAGAAGTACTACGACCCGCGCGTCTGGGTCCGCAAGGCTGAGGAAGAGATGATTGTCCGCGTGAAGGAGGCCTACAGCAACCTCCGCAACGTCAACGTCTTGTAAATTGCTCTGAGCAATCTAGTCGATTTGATTTAGTTTTTTCCCACTCTCCTCGTTCATCAGTCAGTCAGGGGCAGTTGGTTGGCTTCCTCGGCGACCAGACGTTGTCGCTCGGCGATCTTGGGCCGCCAGCTGCTGTCACTGGATTTTCCGATCGTGGGACAAACCCATTGGGACTTTCCTTTTGTCCCCAAACGCGGTTTAGTTAGTCGAACAAGATTTTCTCAGTACATCGAAGGGGCACAAATCGAAAGACAACACAAGCCACCATGCTCGAGATGAACAAGGAGTCGCTGCGCAAGATCTGCAAGGACCTCGACCTCTACTCGACGCCGAGCATCAACGATCGCCTCTACCTCCACTACAAGGTGGGCCAACTACTGCAGGCTAGAGGCTAAGGCAGCTCCTGCCAGGGCTTTCGCCGCATCGAGAATCTCGAGGCATACACGGAGCTCAAGGTCCTTTGGCTCGAGGGCAATGGCTTCAGCAAGATCGAGGGTCTTGAGAACCAAACGAAGCTTCGGTCGCTCTTCCTGCACGAAAACCTTCTCGAGAAGATCGAAGGCCTTGGTAGCCAGGTACAGGACGGCGTCGACAGCAACTTCGACACCACGCTGCTGTAGACGCTTCTCGACACGCTCAATCTGACGCAGAATCACATTTCGAAGATCGAGAACCTCAGTCACATGCAAGCGCTCACGGTATTCCCGATACCCACGGCGATAGACATAGCTCATGACGATACTCGCGTTTGCAGAACTTGTCGATGAAGGGCAACTACCTTCGGACCGCCGACGACATTCGCCACGTGCTCGAGCTACCAACGCTCGCCGTGCTCGACATCCAGAGTAACCGCATCGCAGACGTCGACGTTGTGGACATCCTGGCGGCCATGCCCAACCTCCGCGTCTTGTACCTTCAAGTACACAAAACATCACTTGCGATTCCGAGTGGACGCGTCCGGTAGGGCAACGACGTCGTCAAGCACATCAAGCACTACCGCAAGACGATCATCTCGCGCTGCAAGGAGCTCCGGTACCTCGACGACCGCCCCGTCTTTGACGAGGAGCGCCGGCGCGTCACGGTACATCCGTCCTCGCTGAATATGACTGCTGACGTCAAGGACGTGGCAGGCGTGGGGCCGCGTCATGGAGGAGACGAACGGCGACGTGGACGCAGCCCTCGAGGCCGAGCGTGCCGAGCTCGCACTCATTCGCCAAGAAAAGAAGGACAAGGACGAAGCCAACTTTCGGTACTTTGAGGACATGATGCGCGCCGGCAAGGCAGAGCGCGAGCGTCGAGAGCGCGAACTCCACGACAACCAACGCGAGGCTGAGGTGCGGATTGCGTCATTGGGACGCGTAGGATATAAACACCAACTATGTATTAGGTGAGTCCGTACAGCGGCGAAAAGATCCTGCACGTCGAAGATTGCGCCATGGTCCATGAAGCCCGCGAACGCCGGTGGGCCGACGTGGTCAACGACGAGGCGCCGCCGCTGAGCACGCCGATCCTTGTGGACGCAGACCGCCTCAAGCTGCTACATGACTGCGCCAGTGTCGGCACCGGTGCCGTCACCCAAGCCGACGCGTTCGTGGCTGAGAATTTCAAGGAGAAAGCCCAGACCAAGATCGCGGCATTCCAAGCCATGGAAGGACCCAAGGGTCATTTTTCATCGCTCCTTGCGTCTGCGCAGGCCGACATGGCCGCGACACCGACACCGACCCTCTCGACAAATGCGCACACGGACCTCAGTGAGCTCGATTGAACAAGGTGACTTCGAGATTCGGTGGTAATGCATTAAACTATACTTGTTCATAAAACATCGACCTGTGGCGACACCGAGAGCTGGATGGACAGTGTCAACAGACTCCTGAGTGCACCTAGCCCCAACTGGTGCACCTGGTGCAGCTTGTGCACGGGATAAAGTCGCAGAGCGTAAATAAACACGTGGGCCATCCTTTAAAAGTTGCAGTCGATGTTTTGAGTGATCGAAACAAGATCTAGAGGAGGGTGGTTTGCAAAGACGGTCCTATACTTGGCTGTCAAACCGGGACTATCGCAGCGTAAACGACAGCGAGTGCATTGGGGTATAAGATTCCTGGCAGCGAATCGCTGGTTGTGTGTTTGAACGAAAACAACTCGTGGTTTCAACACGCAAATTGCCTTCGTGTGGCTCACGAATCCTGCAGTGGCGGCAACATATCGATTTCATTTGTAGAAATTCCGAAAACGCTAAAGTGTGCAGGGTACAGTAGCGCTTGGATGAACATGATATTTGCTCAAAAATAGGCCGACGCAAGATGTTTTGATTGGCGTTAAGGGGAAGCTGACCCGGAGGTCCATGCTTGCTGGTGCTACCTGCTGCCCTTTTGCACCTCTCAAGTAGCTTCCATGCCACTCGCGGAGGCTTCAGTGATGGGCCATTGTTAACGTGGACGTCTACGGGCACAACTACAAAACTCGTGCACAGTAGCCCACGAGCAATACAAAAGTCAATATAGACATTGTGTCCTTGATCGCCGCATCAAAGCAGCCCCAAGGCTCCGTTTCACAGCATAAGGACGAGCCGCTACTACTAGAAGGCATCGAGAGCTTAGCTCGGCGGCCCCGACGCGCGTGCTGGCCACGCGCCGCACGTCTTGCAAAAGTACTGCTCGGGGCGCTCGAGTTGAAAGCCGCACTGGATGCAAGGGTCCGAGTCGAAGCGCTTCACCGTGCAAGTCCATACCCCGGGTGTGGCTCCTCGGTGGGCTTGCGTGGTGCTTGGTGGCAGCGGCGGCTCGACGGAGGTCGCATCTTCTTGACGAAAGATGCGCTTGAAGATTCTGTAGTAGTGCAAGTGCTCGGGGTCTCGGATCACGATGCCATCGCCCACAAACACTGCGCGCTTCTCCGCCTCAAAGTTCGCTGGGTCCGCTCGCTCTTGAAAGAGCGTTGCGAGAGGCGTCGTGCCCGAGCCTACGCACCGAATATATAGGTCAAGCAGATTCCCGTATGACCGTCTTCGTACCTGTTTCCAGCGGCACCTTTGTGCGCCAGCACGAGGTCGCTTCCGGGAACGCTTGGCGCAAAATGAGCTTGCCATGGACGAGCGCGCTCTTATGGGGGTCGACACCAACCAAGTCGTCTTTCGAGCACGTGAGCGCGAACGCAATGACATCGGGATGGACAAACGGCTGGTGCACGGTGATACCGAGCGCTGCGCCGATCGCTGTGCCGCAAAACTTCATGTGCGCCGACGCCCGCTGGATCCACGCGAGAAGTTTCTCTTCGGACTGCGACGTCAAGAACGAGTAGCCCGCAAAGAGCTCGTCGGCGGCGTCGCCCGTGACGATCGACGTGATGCCAATTGCCTTTGCGTGCTGCAGCGCCTTGGTGATGGCGACACCACCACGCAGATCCATGGGGTCGAACGTCTCCAAGATCCGAATTGTAAGCGCCAAAGCGCCGTCGGGATCGTCGTTCACGAGGTCCATCGGGTCGGGATAGCTCAGAACGTGGTGCGTCAATCCGTGCGCGGATGCGATCGCTGTCGCGTAGGCGAGATCGTGCTCAGGTTTGTCCGTGGGACCGCAGGACACCGTGATGGCGTCCGTAAAGCGGTGGCCAGAGGGAGTGTCCACGATGATCGACGTATCGAGGCCGCCAGAGAGAAGAACGGCCGTCGTCGCCGACGGGATCGCGGCCATCGACCGCAAGAGCACCGCGCGGGCCTCGGCGATCTTGGCCCCAGATGTCATCCGGAAGAATGCTACATGCCGGATACGGCCAAATGACGCTCTGAGGACATCATCGTCGATAAGGCTTGAGCCTTAGCGCCGTGCCGACATTGGCGCGGTCTCTCAACGGCGGTGCCAATGTGGGCAAATCAGAGTTGACCTGATCGCGGCGACGAGGCGATGGACGCATCGCCGTGTCTTTGGCACTCGCACAGAAGACAAGCAATGCAGTAACTGGCTGCGGACTGCACAGCAAGCACTACCACGCCTGGTAGCTACCACATCCGGTAGCTCAAGGAGGTACATGGCTCGAATCGACAAGCTTGGCGGTGGACGGTTGGGTCCTCACTGCGGGACAGCTCTGCGGGACGATGTCGAGGGATCTTTTTCGAGAAACCGGATACGGCGCGCGCCAATCACACGCAAGGAGCAAGATGCTCTTGGTGTTTGTATGCTGGTGTGTCGCATCCGGATACTGCGCACCGCGGCCGGCTTCGGCCATTTTGACTTCGCCAGCAGCGAGAAACAAGCAGACGAAGCATGGTGATCAACTCGCCGTACCACTCGTCGATGGGCAAGGAGATCGAGAAGGCCTGCAAGATCCTTGATGCGTTCTTCGACCCGAAAGTCGACGCGGACAAGGCCATCCCGTTCGAGCTCATCCAGAACGCCGCAGGCATTGCGTTCCTGACGGTGATCAAAGCCGGTATGATCTGGACGGGCAAGGTGGGCACTGGTGTCGTGCTCTCCCGCCTTGATGATGGCGCGTGGAGCCCACCGTCTGGCATTGGCACGGCTGGCGTTGGCTTTGGTGCGGAAATCGGCGGTGAAATCATCGACTTTATGATCATCCTCGGCTCGCCCAGCGCTGTGCAGTCGTTCAAGAAAGGCACACAGGTACCGCGGCTGTTGCTACGATCTGCTCTTATGATTGTGGTGTAGCTCTCGGTGGGTGCTGGCTTGGAGCTTGCCGTCGGTCCCGTCGGTCGTGCTGGTGGCGCCAACGTCAACGCTGGTGGCAGCGGCTTTAGCAGCAACTACACGTACAGTCACGCAAAGGGCCTCTTTGCCGGTGTTGGCCTCCACGGCTCGACCATCATGGTTCGCGGTGAAATGAACAACGAGTTTTACGGCAAGGAGGTGTCGCCAATGCAGATTCTGAGCGGTCACGTCGCGCCGCCGCCGGGGTCGTGCGACCGTCTCTACGAGACGCTTCAGCGCGCGTGCTTCGGCGACATGGGCTCCTCCGGCCGCTCCGGTCTTTCCGAGGTACAAGTCGCATTCTAAGGATAAGCTCATCACACGGATGGTGTAGCCGATGCAAGCCATTCCGCCGTCGGCCTACGGGCGCAGCAGCATGACCGACTACAGCGATCAGCGCCGGTCGTTCAACAGCAGCAGCGGTTCGTCGTCGTCGACCTCGTACAACCCGCCGTCATCGCGCACTGCTGCGCCGTCCAACTATGACCCGGTGGCGCGCAACTCGATCTTGGGCTCGAGCGCCGATAGCGACGTGTCGAAAGAGACGGACCCGCGCCTGCGTCGGTACAGCAGCTACAAGAACGAGAAGGACCTCTACGCCCAGTTTGCCAAGAAGGCTCCGACGCACACGAGTCAGCCGTCGGCGTACGCGCCGGCTCAGGCCAACACGGGGTATTACGCGCAACCGACCGCGGCCGCGGCCCCCACGGGCTACTATTCGCAACCAGCAACCACAAGTTACGCACAACCGACGGCCCCGAGTTACGCGCAACCGACGGGTTATGCCGCGCCGGTAACGTCGTCGCGGGCGGCGCCATCGATGCCGCCGGCCGCGGAAGGGGCCGAGACCAAGCAAGTCTTTGGTGAAGTGATTCAGTTCATGACGACGCGTGTGCCGCACGCCGACCTCTCGACGTTCAAGGACAACTGCCGCCGGTTTGGCCAGGACCAAATGTCGATCGACGCGTTCTTCTTTTACCTCAACTCGATCTGCACGTCGAGTTTGCTCAAGGAGCTCATGCCCAAGCTTGTGCGGTTGCTGCCGACGCCCGAGAAGCGCGTCGCCATGTGGGTACGTTCACGCGAAATTCCATCCCTCCGTTCTGACGATGTCCTACGGTCTCTAGGATCTGTACGTCAAACACGTCTACTAAGTTGTCTCTTGGACTATATTAATACAACTTGTACTCGCAAATATACAGAACCGAAAGACCTTTCGAGTAATTTGAAGCTGCCGACTCCAGGTACTCTCTTTTCTGATGGTTCTTAGCGGTCGCGGTTTCGATAATATTGGATTCCACGTCGAAGAGTCGCGATGATCTTGACGCAAGAGGAGATCGACGCTTGCCGCGAGTCGTTTGTGCACTTTGACAGAGACGGCTCCGGGACCATCGACAAGTATGAGCTCGCCAAGGTGCTCGAGGCAATGGGCCAGCGACCCACGGAAGAAGAGCTCTTCCAAATGATCTCCGAGGTCGACGAGGACCACAGCGGCGAGATTGAGTTTTCCGAGTTCCTCCAAGTCATTGAGCAGCAAAAGCTCCGCGCGCTCGAGTACGACGACGAGAGCGACTTTGTCGACGCGTTCGTCGCTTGCGGCGGCGGCCCCGACAAGCAAGGCCACGTCGAGCGCCGCGTGCTCGTCCAGCTCATCAAGAAGGACTTTGGTCTCCCCATCGACATTGACAAGATGCTCGACGAGCTCGACACGGACGGGTCGGGCGAGATCGAGTACGACGAGTTCAAGGCGCTCCTCTCGCAGTGAAAACCGCGCCGTGATGCGATGCGAGCAAGCTCGACGCAGATGACACAGTCGACGCAGCAGAATAGAAATGAGGATATAAGATTGACCAATTACTTGCGGGGCGGCGCAATGTTCTGCGGCAACGCCTTACCGTAGCCGGACCGGAACGTCGTGCCCTGCGCACCTTCGTCGACGGGCGTCTTGTTGGAGGGCTTGGCCCATTCGAGCTTGAGAATCAAGTGATCGTAGCCGTAGCCCTGGAGCTTGTCCATCGCCTTCTGGGCGTCCTCGCGGTAAACGTACGACACGAACGCAAAGCCACGCGACTGGAACGTCTCGCGGTCCTTGGCCAAGTACACGCGCTCGAGCGGGCCAAAGACGCGGAAGAGTTCCTTGAGATCGTCTTCGCGCGTCTCGGGCGAGATGTTGGTGACACGGAGCGTCGCGCTGTCCTTGTCGGACACTGGCGCGCGGACGTCGTCCGAGGGCGCCGACGCGCCACGCATCGACGGCGGCACGTACTTGCCACCGGCGGCGTGGGCAAAGCTGAGCGCACGCGTCGGGGCCGCAGCCGGCGCAGGTGTATCTTCGTCGTCGCGGGGCATGTCCGACATGTCGGTCATCGGCGCCGCCGAGTCCTTGTACGGGCACTTGAGCGTCCAATGGTCGCCGACCATACCGCAATGACGGCACACGACAATCGACTGCTTGCCGACGCCCGCAAAGATGCTTTCCTTTTCCTTCTCCTCACCGGGAAGCACATTGTCCGCGCTCGGGTCTTCCATAATGATCTACAAGTGGCCGCTAAGTACATAATTGGCGGCGCCGTCGATGCATACCGCTTCCGGGGGCGTGTACGTCACGTTGTTGTTGCTGCCTTCCTGGAGCGCCTCGCCAAACTTGCCCCACGACTAGACGCATGATGCTGGTGAGCGAGAAGGCCAAGGGCCATGGTGCCAAGCATTACCTGGCGGTCGAGCACACGCTTGCTCACGCGCGTCGTCTCGTGGACCTTCTTGATCGTGGTCGTGACCTTGACCTTGTTCTTCTCGTCGTCAAACTTCCACGACACGATCGTCTTGACGCCATCGACCTCGGTCTCCGTGCGCGGCGGCAGCACGTCGTCGTCGTCGCCCCAGCGTTGCTGTCCAAACACCATTTTCCTGAGTTGCGCCACTTGACTGGTGCCAGCCGAGTACGATTTCCGGATACGGTGCCTCCAAAACGGGTCGTGTGTCCGGATACAGAGTGCAGTCTCTAGCACTAAATTAGTGTACAAGAGTGTATGTTATCACACTATTACATGGTCGAGATGGAGCGGCAATATGGCATTGTGCTCGAGCGCCCTCAGCGCTGGCCATGGCGCGAAAGCTCCGCTTATCCATGTACTTGTTAAGCTATGCGCGTTTGAGCTGTACTCGATGCATAGACGGGATGCATGGTCTTCCCTACTGTGCTTCACTACCAACACTATATCTGTTGGTGTCGCAAATTGACCGCGAGAGTGACGGACGTGACGTTGACATTATTTTAGGGACTGAGCCATCGTACATCAGCATCAAGTAGTGTAAGACATACTATTCAACAGCCGTGTCCTATAAATATCAAAATGGTGTAATCTAACACTACTTTCACAGGTTTGACACTATAGGGTGGGGGTCCTTATCCGGAATATTATCCGTACGTGGATGCCTCGACATGCATCCGGAAAAACCTTCTACTGCGTATCCGGAATTGATTTCTCGTTAGCACACAGATTTCTGGTCCTCCTTGTCTTTGTTGTGGCACTGGTTCCGTGCTGGATACCGCTGCAGGATGCATGAAGAAGCCACGGGCCACTTATCGATGGTTGATGTGCACAGATGGCGTACGTTTAACGGCCGTAAAGCGACGGCTCGATCCTTACGCAAAAGCAGGTGCAGCTACCAGTAGGAGCGGACTCACGCGTCTCGAGGGCATACTGATTCGCCCACCCATCGCACAATCTATCCTTTCGCAGTTGGAAGCAACTCTGAAGCAGCGTCCGATGACGAAGCGGGTCGTCGGTAGTAAATTGATTGTGCAACACTGTGCCCGACATGTCGCGGTCATGCTTTCGAGCTTGCCGTCGACGGCGTGGGTCCGCGGTCACCCAAGAGCGGCCATAAGAGCGGCTATGATCTTGCGGACGGAGATCTTGATCTCTCGTGCTGCATATGCAGAAGGTCATCCATGGGCGAGACGGTCGGCCTGGCGCATGCCAATGAGGGGTCACGCGCGCGGCTTCGCAACGTCCACGTGGCGTTCGGTCTATCTTAGTGGGTTGATACACGGAGCCGTTTGTGGGGCCCGAGGACGCCGCACGCAAATCCTATCCCTTTCTATACACTGCTGTAACGCTACATTGAAGCGAGGCGGTCGCTGCACGCTATGCAAGGTGGCGTCGGCTCGAGTAGCAACGGCCCCATCCACGCCGTTCGCTTTTTTCAAACCAGCGCCCATGATACTTCGGCGGAAGATCTTTGGGTGCGTGGCAGCTTGACAGACAAGCACGCCATTGCCTCGCCGTTCAGTGGACTTGGGTATTGCTTAGCGGGCGTAATGGATGGCTTCAAAGTCTGGTGCCGATGTATGGTGAATGGCGCACGCCAATTGGTCAACGGGTCCGAGCCCGGACCAGCTGGGGTGCCACATCCTTGATCCGAAAAGGATGCGGAATACCTTGCCGTTTGTATACAATGCGCGTGGCAACGGCAAAAAAATCCGTGGCGCCAGTCATGCTTTTGGCCAATTGGGTATCGATTCATCGTCATCGCGCCATTCGATTGGACAAAAAGGTCTCGTTGCCGCTTCTTTTTTAAATTCCGCGCTCAAGTATGCCGCAAGCAGGCGGTGCGAGATATTATTTTAGCGCCGTGTATTTAATTTGAAGCAATGGACGGTCAAGACGCCGTTGGCACGTCGCGTGTATCCTTCGAAGTCGAAGCCATCGTTTTGGCGGCTTCTGAGATCGCGGCCGACCAGACTGGGCTCTGGAATTTTATCGGCGCTTGATCTTTTGCCAGCGTAGTAGATACCGGTACCTTTCAACTTATTAAAATACCAAAGGCCCAAGCACCCGCTTCGCAGAACCCGGGTCTCGGGTCCAACAGCAAGGCGTCATGTCCCAGGCGGACCATTTTATTGATGTCTTCTTTTTTAATGCATACAAAAAGCAAGGTGCTGTCTAAAAAAGTACGCATCTGACGGGCAGAGTGGCACTCAAGATCCAGTTGGCGATACGTTTTCAGAGGTCGCAAACACATCGTATAAAAAGCGAGAGGTGTATCGGTTCCGGAGCTCACTTTTGAACTCGCCATGTCCAAGGACTTTCGCAGCGCGCGCATGCTCTCGATCTCGTGCACGCAGCCGATGGCGATCCCTGCCCGCTGCGCGCCGCAGGACGACGAGAGCCCCGTCGAAAAGTCCGCGTCGGCCAAGAAGGCCAAGTGCGTCCTGAGCCTCAACGTGATCGAGGCGCCGGCCATGCGTGGCACGGCCATGTACGAGGTCAAGGTCTCGTACAACAACAACAAGCAAACGCGCATGATGAAGACGCTCAAGGAGTTTCTGACCTTTAAGAGCATGTTCCAGCTCCTGGCGCTGACATCCAAGAAGGGCAACAACTGCTGCGCCTTGTGCCAGGACGTCTCGCAGCTGCCATGCATCTCGACGCAGGTCTCGGGCCGCAGCGACAACGCCGCCGACATTCTCGACTCATTCCTCTCGAACCTCATTGAGAAGCTCCAGGCGTGCACATCGTCCACGATCCTCGAGTGCTCGGCCCACATGGGCGTCGTGAGCATCATGACCGAGTTTCTCGAGCTGCGCAACGGCCTGTATCTGTGCCAAGAAGACGACTCGTACAGCAGCGACGAAGACACGCTGCCCATCTCCCACTGCTCGCTCTCCAAGAGCCTCTCGAAGCAGTTTGCGGCGTACGACGCTGTCTGCTAAGCGCCCTGCCGTGCCCCTCGCTCGGCGCCATGCCCACCCGATCCCTCTTATTTAAGTCTCTCTGCGCGCGAGCGGGCAAGGGCAAGGCTCGCACGTGTAGTTGTAGTTGGTTGAATCATGCTGTACCATATCTAAAAGTCAACTCGAAGCATGTGACCGTTGTCGCGATTGTCATTTTCAAACTGCTGGAGTTTCAACGTCCAAATTGCTGAAGATGGGCGGTCGAGCGGTACTTGCCTTGAACCAAAGGACGACGGTGTGTTGAAGTGGTGCTGTGTAGAAGTCGTCCGCTGCCGCAAACAAGTTGAACCGAGGATTCCAGGCGGCGACGACAGCTGGTGCGTCATCAAGTGCATTGGCTGTGCTCGATGACATCGATCGGCTGCTGCGCGTCACGGCGCCGGTCGCGACGTGTCGACGCAAGCACACGCAGCTGGTCGAGAACCAAGCGCCGCCGCACAAAGGCCACGCGTTTGCTCACGCCGCTCGGTCATGGTCGTCGTCAGCGCCCAAGACGCGGCCGAGTCCAGCGTCGTATGCGCCAGTGCTCGTGACCAAGCGAGTGCCCGGCCCCACTTGGCGCCCGCCTCCACCGCCTTTGCTCCCAGACCATCTTCGTCCCACGTTTGTGCCGGCGTGCGAGCATGACAGCGATTCGACCGATTCGAACCCACCGCGTCCACGGGACGCGCCCAAGAGAAGCAAGCCGCGCAAGCCAGTCCAGCGGTCGGTTGGCTATTACTCGGTGTCATACGCGCTTGTGGAGCCCCGCGTCCGTTACGCCCCGCTCTTGGAGCAAGCGGCCAAGACACGCGCAGCAGCCTCTCGTCGTCGAGCGTACCATCGCCTCGTCGTGCAGACATATGCAAGTCTTCGTCGCCCAAGCCATGCACACGAGACGCCAGCCCGAGCGCCGCAGCGACTGCATGGCCATGCGACGTTTGCAAAAGCGCGGCAGCGTCCGGCACACGTGCGTCGGTGCGAGTGGGGTCCGTCACAGGTGCACATGCCGTGGACGACAGAGCGGAATGGTGTCCTACTCGATCGCACCACGGGGCGCGACCTTGTGGTTTGCCGGCGCAAGCATGCGGCGCAGCGGATTGCGTTTGCTAGCCGCATGCAGCCCAAGGTCACGCTTGAGCCCGGCACCTACGAAGTCTCTGGCTCAGCGATCAAAAGCCGGCGCTGCATGATCAACTATGCCAAGGCGAAAGGTCGCAGCGATACCAAGTTGGATCCTTTTGGACGCAAGCTGGATACTGGCGTCTCGGCAAGCGTGGCGGTGGCGGAGAGGCACGCCCGCGTGTCGTCGACCGTCAACATGGCACGGGCCAGCGGTCGCCAGCCGATGTCGCTCCATGAAGCGCCTGTCTTGGCCCTCTCGCCGCAATACGCCTTTGGAAAGCCGGCGCCTCGTGGTCACGTGTCATTTGCCAAGCAGCGTCGCGGCAACAACCAGGACGAGCACCAAAGAGAAACCGAGGAGCTTGACCTTGATGTGCGCTACAACAGTGTCGAGCCGCGCGTCAAGGTGCTCGCGTTTCCACCGGTAGCAACGTCGCCCACCGCTCGCGACGTGCCGACGCTCGAGCTCGCTCCAGCGTACGATGCCAAGTGGCCCAAGCCATCGTGCCTCGTCTCAATGGCAACGGACCGGGCCGAGCGCTGGCCCAAGCCAATGAAGGAGCGCCCTGAGCAGTGCGACCTCCAGTCGCCCCCATTGCATGTGCAGAGCAAGCACAAGAAAGCCGTGTTTGCCGTACATATGGACAAGCAGGTTGTGCGGCCAAGCATCGAGCCTGACGCGCCGCTGAGTTACGATGACATTGACCCGACGAAGCTCAGCACACATGCGCGAACGACGACAGTCGTCGACATGGCGAAGAATGTGCGTCCGAGAACCGTGCTTGCACGGGACGACCGACCGCTCGACCTCTCGCCGTGTTCCGCTGTGCACAGTCGCACCAAGCGCGTTCCGACCATCGTGAGCATGGCCACGCAAATGCCCCGTCCGGCAACCAAGACGCTGCAGCAGGCTGAGCTGGCTTCCCCAAGTATCAAGAACGGAGAACGAAGAAGAGCGCATAGCGCAGCCATGGCAAAGCAAATGGGGCGACGCAGCCGCGGACCCGAGCCGGAGGAGGTGCTGCAGCTGTCACCGCGAACGACGAGCCTCTCGGAGCATCGGCGCATCAAGGGCACGCCGGCAATGCGCAAGCCCACCACGATGCGAGCAAGAAGTTGATGCTATAGTACAATCGAGTCTACTAACATATTTTAGTCGGAATGTGTGGCAGCTTTAGTCGGAATGTGTGGCAGCTTATACTTTTGTCTTCACAATGCTAGTGATAAAAAACCTGAGAGCGCCGATCCCGCGACGACGTAGTCATCGGAGACTGCTTCATATAGGACGTCAGTATCAAGCACTGGGCCGATGCTCCAGCCCAGTGACCTCGGAAACGTCCAGACACGCATCGTCCTAGCCATCCGACGGGTTGCGCTCGGATGCTGTCTACCTACAACTAGGCTAGCATGCTCATGGACCACACCGTGTGGCATGGACCGTGGCATGGTCGAGCTACATCTACCAGTTACCTCACGGGCGGAGTAACCGTTGGAGGCGTCGGCGGTGCACGGTGCGATTCGAAATGAGCGGAGCCCAAGCAACCTCGAAATACTGTCAAATGACCAATAAATAGCATGCCAACATACACTAAATGATTTCAAACTCACATTAAATAGACCGAACATTATTTCGGGATAATACAGTATTCATGTAACAACAGTATTCACGTATTCACGTACAACAGTATATTATCGTTCGAGTTCGTAAATAGCGTAAACACGATCTCACGGAGACATGGAGCGCTTCTTCTCGCACCGCCAGGATGGCGAAGATTGCAGCAACATCGAGGTCGACGTGGGCATGGGCAGCTCCGACATGAGCCTCCTGCTGCTGCATGGCCCTTCGCGCTCTGGGAAGAGCTCGCTCGCGCTGCAGTATGCGTTTGAGCTCGTCAAGCGGGGCGGGACCGACCCCAGCGTCGTGCTTGTGTCCCATGCCAGCACAAAGGCGAACAACCGTATGCGTCTTGTGCGCGTCGCGCCGTGCGAGAGCTGCCACACGCCAGCCGAGTCGGGCCAGGACAGCATCGTCTGGAGCCGCATTCGCCTCAAGTACCTCGAGAGCGCGGCCCAGCTGCGCCACTTTGTCTGCTCGTTCCACATGCTCGAGGGCAAGAACACGGCCTTGATCATCGACGACCTCGATCTGTTTTGCACGTCGCCCACGTATGTCATGCGTCTACCACCATCTACGATCGATCGTCTGCCCTATAGGGAGATCTACCGCACCCTCGCCTTCATCAAGGAGACCATCGAGTTTATGCGTGCGAAATTTGACGCTGGCCAAGCCCTCGTGCTCGGCAGTTCCTCGCTCCTACCGCGGGACCTCCGACGAACGCTCCGGCGCTGGTTCGATCTGGTCTTGCAGATATCTCCAGGTAAGTCACGCGGCCACGACGCGACTAAGATCTGCATGCTGTAGGTGACAACGATGCGTTCGTGATCCAGGAAGAGATGTGGCCGAGCACGACGGGCGACGACTGGGCCGAGCTCGTGCCATTATTTCCGCGCTCGTACTGTGTCGAGTACACGTTCGTGCCCAACAGCGACGACGCCCAGGGCTACCTTCAGTTTACCCGGGCCAGTCTCCGACGCTAGAGCTACAGTAGTAATATCTGTCGTATGGTTAGGGCAAGAGAAAATATGGTCATGGCAAGTGTCGGCGCCAACGGCGGTGCATGGTCCAGCCGATCGCTGCGCCGATCGCGACGCCCGAGAGCACTTGTGCCCACACCGGGAGGTCCCACTCGAGTGGCGGCGTCAAGCCGGACGACGACAGTGCATGCTGCTGCTTGGCGTCGTCTTCGTCGTCGTCGTCGTCGTGGGACAGCGACGGGTCAAAGTTCTCGATGCAGAGGTCTTCGAGGTTGGTCGTCGACACGACCTTGTTGAATTCTCTCGAGACGTGGCGCACGTACGTGGGCGAAATGATGTTGCTACCCAGTCGAAAGTTGGCTTGGAAGCTCAGGTTCGGATCAGCGTGCAGCGCATCGAGCTCGGGACTGCTCGCCCGCCGCTTCTACACACAATCATTCGGGTCAAAGAGGTGCGGATGCAGACCAAGTGCATACCACGAGGTTGCGGATCGCCGCCATGGACTCGATGAGCCCAAGCACCTCCGTGACACTGTCCTACAGATTTTACGACTCGCGATGAGCCCACAAGACGTGATGGCAGTGAAGGCATACGAGGTAGTAGTTGGCCAAACTCGGCTTCTTCCCGACCGTCACCGTGTAGCACGCGGGTGCGTCCTTCGTGCTCGCTTCGGCAAACGACCGCACCGCTACATAGGCAGTGAGACCTAGAAACAATGACGTGCATTCATGTCGTCGTACTGCGGTAGGCTTGTTCGTCCGACTCGTCGTCGCCCACGACAAGCACAAAGTCGGGCATCGACACTTGTTCCTTGCAATAGTTGAGCAGCATGGACGCCGCGACCGCCTTGTTGACCCCAAACCGGTGGACCTCCACAAAGCCCTTGCCGCGCACGACCGCTGTCTTTTCTTTCTACATGCGTGTCGTCAAATCGACGCCATGACACACAGCGAGTCGTACCTTGAGAAGTTCCGTGAGCTGGTCAAAGAGCTCGGACGCTTGCATTTCGCCGTACTCGGGGTCGCAGTTGCGGTAGTCGTACATCACCGACGCGTCGCCAACGGCCACGAACGAGCCGTTCGTACGCGAGACGTACGTCTTGATGATACCCGCAACCCGATCTTTCCACAAGAGGTCGTCGGGCACGTCAGCGTAGAGCGACTCCCACTCGATCGCGCCAGCTTTGCGGAGAAAGTACCCATTGTCCGCGACAAGGGTCACGTCCGTCATCGCCCCAAACTCGTGCTCGAGCTCGGCGCGGCATGCATTGCTCCACACCACGACCACGTTGCGCGGGTCCATCGCGAGGCTCTCGAGGCTCAATCGCCCTTCGTACGTGAGCGGCGTGCGCACTTGGCCGTCGGTTTTCCGGAGTGCGGGGACGCACGGGCCACTCGCGTGGTTGCGGTTGAACTGGTACATCGAGGCTTCGTCGTCCATGAGGCACGATGTCCAACTGAGCGTGCCACCATAGTCGAGGAGGAGGAGGCGCTTCGTGGCCTTGACGTACGACCGCAGCACTTCGTCCGCATTGAGCGCGACAAATCCCGGCGTGAATTGCATCACGCGGTAGTCAAAGCCAAAACCAATCTCCATAAACTCGCCTGTCGAGCCGTGTGCGGTCGACGGCTCGCCCGCGCTCTCAATGTCGGCCAGCATCCGCGTGCCCCACTCCGACACCGGGTTGTCCTACAGAACCCCATCAAAATGATACAAAATGGTGCAAAATGAAAAATGGCGTACGAGCAAAAAGTTGTAGTTGAGGAGGAAGCGCGACCGCGTCTCTTGAAACTGCATCTCCATGGCCTTGACGATCGCACTCACCACGTCATCCGTCTTCCACGGGTTGACGAGCAGCGCGCCGTTGAGAATGCGCGCGTACGATGCAAACTCGGACGCGACGAGGACGCCGAGGTTGGCCGACTCGGACTCGTCGCTCGCCTCAAACGCATGGTGGTGTGCCGATAAAAACTCAAAGGGCAGCATCGAGAGACCGCCGCGCACGCAGGTGTCGAGGAAGACATGCCCCATCTTCCACACCACCATGCGCTGGAGCGAGTGCATCTTGGCAAACTCTTGGTACACGACCACGGGTCGGTCCGGCGTGCCCCACCGGCGGTTGATTTCTTCGACAAACGACTCGACGTACCGCTTTGTCTGGTTGTAGTCGTTGGGGCGCGAGTCGATGGAGATGCCCGCTTGGAGCAAAACGATCTCGGACCGGCGCGACGGGTACATGGCAAGGAACCGATCGAGCGCGCGCAGCTTGAGGGGGATGCCGCAGAGGCCTTCGAGGCGATCCACGGCCGTGAGCACAAAGCGGCCGGCGGTGTGCGGTGCGAGCTTGGCCTGGAAGCTCGTGGCCATTGCGTCGACTTCGAGGCGCGCCATGAGTTCGCCCATGCGGTGGAGCTCCGTGCCGCAGTGGCTGCATGTGATGAGGACGAGGCGGCCATTGTACTCGACCGTGAGCATGCCGTTGTGCGACGTCTTGTAGTTGAGCCCGAGGAGGCGCTTGCAGGCCGTGAGAAAGTGGCGCGCGTGTTCAAAGACGAGGAACCCAATGTGGTTGGCACACAGCATGGCGCGGAGGATCTCGGTGCGCACAGCGAGCGTCCGAAAGATCTCGCTCGACGGGAACGGCACGTGCATGAAGATCGCGATCGAGCCGCCATGGAGCTTCCGGAGGAGGTACGACGCGAGCACGAGCAGCGGAAAGTCATGGATCCAGATGATGCTGCCCGCTTCCCAGTTCTCAATCACTTTTTTCGCAAAATGGCGGTTTACTTGGCAGTACTCGTTCCAGCACTTGTCTTGCGACGCCGGGTTCCACGACGCCGGCGCCTGCCACATGCTCGCGCTGCTCGCGGGCGGCGACGTCGGCGGCTTCATGTACGTGTCGCTGTCGTGCTCGCTGCTCGGGCAGTCGTCGAGCTTGAGCTCAGCCGAGTTGTAGACGTCAATCACGTTGTGGAAGATGGGCCAGAGCACGCCCTTGCAAAAGCCTTGGTAGTGGCGGTGCGCCGTGTCCGGGTCCAAGAAGACCGGGACGCAGCGGAACTGCTGGCGAAGCACTTGGCGCACCGCGGCCTCGTCCTTGCGCGGGATGTACACCTCGGGGCAGCCCACGAAGAGCGGCTCGTAGCGCTGCGCCGAGACGATGTTGCGCAGGAAGAGCCCATACGAGCTCGTGCTCCACTCGATCCGCCATGGGCAGCCCATCGGCCGGGCCTCGTCCAGCGTGAAGATGAGCGGAAGCACGTTGATGCACACGATGACGGTCGTCGGGCGACTCCGCGGGCTCGGCGGGGCGCTCATGCTGCCAAACTCCAACTGCTGCTCGGTGTTTTTATTGCGACAGGCTTTGAATACAAACATCAAGTCTATTGTTTAACATCGACGTTGGGTGCTAAGATCCGGATAAAGATCCCGAGCAACCGGACTAGAAGATCGTGTTGATGCAGCAAGTGGTTGATGCGACAGGTGTGTCGAGTTAGTTAGTTAGTCATGCAAAACAACTAAGCTCAAGTGCACGTTGTTATATAGTCTATCGGTGGTACGGACCGTAGCGACTCGATGGCGGCCGGTCGCTTGGGGCTCGCCGGTCGCTGCTGCGACCGTGCCGCACGTCCCTTCGATCCAAGCGCTCGGGGCTGCGCCGAGGGAGGTCGTCGTAACGTCGAGGGGGGTCGTCGTAACGTCGAGGGGGGTCATCGTGGCGTCGAGGAGGGTCATCGTGGCGCCGAGGAGGGTCATCGTGGCGTCGAGGAGGGTCATCGTGGCGCCGAGGAGGGTCATCGTGGCGCCGAGGAGGGTCCTCATGGCGCCGAGCAGGGTCCTCATGGCGACGTGGAGGGACCTCGAGGCGACGTGGAGGGTCCTCGAGGCGACGGGGGCCGCCAGAGTGCGACCCGCCACGGTCCTCGTACGGTACTGCCTGGCGCGGGCGTTGGGATCGTTCGTGGGATCGATCTCGATGCGCGGACCGGTCTCGTGGCACCCGCTCGGTTGACCGATTGCGAGGCAGCCGATTCGAGTCCCGGTCCCGGCTGCGGCGATGGCTCGTGCTGTGGCTGCTTGCGCTCGTGCGGCGATCAGGCCCGTGAGGTGATGCCATCCTGGTTGCACCGCTACGCTCATGCTCGTCCTTGCTGCGCTCTTTCGGGCTTGAACGAGACTCTTGAACGAGTTCACCGGCTTCCAAAGACGACGAGGACGTCTCGACTTGAGCTTTGGTTTCGGTCGGCGGCTTCACCGGGGTTGCATCACGCGCCGACGCAGCAGTCGACAGCAGCTGGACGTCCGCGATGGTCGCGGTTTCGACCGGCTTCTCGGCAGTGGTCGGCATCTTGTCGGCGGTGGTCGGCGTCTTGTCGGCGGTGGTCGGCGTCTTGTCGGCGGAGGTCGGCTTCATGTCGGCGGCGGGAAGTACCTTGTCGGCGATGGAGAGTACCTTCTTGGTGTCGACGACAGCCTTCTCCGGCTCAATGAATGGCACATCCGACTGGGTCGCAACCTTCTCGGTAGTGCTGGACTTATCGACGGCGGCCCTCTCAGCCTTGTCGTCTTCGGGCTTGGTGGCTGGCTTCTCGGTCACATAGGTCGTCTTCTCAGTCTCCGTCGGCTGCGGCTTGCTCTCCGAGGCTGGTGTTTTGGCCTCAGTCGGAGCAACCTTGACAGCCTCGCCGGTGGTTGTAGTCGTCCGGCGCTCAGTCGAACGACGTTGGTGGTCCACAGGCTTCTCGAAGGTTTTTCTCGTGGCGACGTCCACGTCTGGCTTGGATACCTCCCGCTCGCTGGACGACTTTGTGTCAAGCGAGCCAGCGGCGTTGTGGTCGCTTGTACTAGATACACCGTTCGACCGAGACGACTCTGCGTGCATCCGCGGCTCGGTCGGAGGAAGCGGCGGCGGCAGCGGTGGCGAAATGGCACTTGGGCGGCGCCTGTCGTCGCGGCGGGTATAGTCCACCGGCTCGGTGCGCTGCATGCGGTCACTCCCAGGCCGCAACGGCACGCCTTGCTGCAACCGGCGCTGTCTATCGAGTGAGCGGCTACGGTCACGCCCGGTCGAGGGCCGTCGCGACACGGGGTCGCGTCGTCGGGGGGATCGCGGCGGCGCGTCGGGGCGAAACCCGCCGTTCACTGCTGCGTCTAAAAGCCGCCGCGGCTCGGGCTGCGGCCGATCCGGCTCGCGACGCAGCAGCTTCTTCTCGACCGGCGGCGGCTTGACCGCATACATGTTGTCTTGACGTTCGCACTTGGCGCCCGCATCATCTTGGAACCGGCGCAGCGCTTCGTTCGCGTCGTCCTCCGAGAAGTAATGCACGTACATGGCCGTGGGCTTCATCTGCTGCAGATCGCGCTTCCCCGACGCTGTGAGCTCGATCGAGGGTTTTCGGCCGTCGATCGCGAACCGGTCGGCGCACGTTTTGGCAAAGTCCGAGCACTTGTCCTTCATGTTGAAGCCAAACCCAGCGCTCTTTTGCTCCATGCGCATGTGGCGGAAGAGCACCGTGACGCGCCGACGCTCCGAGAGTGGCATGAACGTCGTCTTGTAGAGCTTGGTTTGGAGGAACACGCGGTTCTCCGTCTGAAGCTCGACGAGGGACCCATACGGATCGTTTGTCTGCCGCTGCATCTGCGCTGCGGTATGGGCCGAGAGCGCGCGCGGCGGCATCGGGCAGGTTAGGTCGATGCCGTAGAACGACGGCGGTCGCTCGAGAAACTCCTTCATCGGCACGCTTCGACCGAGCGACTTTTTCTCTGCAAAGATCTCGTCATTCTCCTCAATGACCGCATACGGTCGGCCCCGCATTATGGGCGTGAGCGCGCGCAAGATCGAGCTGACCTAACACAATGATTCCATGAGCCATGAAGACCCGATCGGCAGGTCTGTACTTGGCGGCAGTCCTTGAAAAACTTGCGGTCGACGCCGCTGTACGTCAGAAACGAGACGGGCGGCTTGGTGGGGGTCGGCGGCCGGGCTTTTGGTGCTGACACCGAGGGCACACTTGTGAGTGGCTTGGCCGACGGCGTCGCTGGCGTCGTTGGCGTTGTCCGCAGCGACGGTTTCTTCGGAATGCGGAAATCCAGCACCGGGGGCGCGTCACCGACCTCGCCCGGCTCCTTCTCGGCGTCGCTCGGACCTTTGCCCGGTGGCAGCGGCGGCAGCACCGTCGTCGTCTTTGGAATGACAAAGTTGTCGGCGTCCAGCGAGAGCGGCGGTGGCTTCCCTTCCGACGTCGGCGTCGTCTTTGGCCGCGCCGTCGGCGTGCCGCCCAGTGTTGAGCGCGGTCGCAGACTTGGCGTACCACCGGGCGTCGGTCGTGCCCGCATTCGCGGTGTGTCTCCTGGCGTCGGGCGCGGCGGGTACGTCGGCGTGTCCCGGGGCGTCATCTTGGGCTTTGGAAGCACAGCGTGGTCGTCGACCAGCGAGAGCGGTGACGGCTTGGACCGGTCGTCCATTTTCGCACGAAAGTTGGGCGTCGCAATCCCCTTTGTACTCTGCGGGCTTGGCGCGGGCGCTTCTTCGATGACCTCGCCCGACTCGTCGAGAAAGTCGGTCGTGTCGATTGCTGCGCTCGAAGCGTCTTCGTCCGTGGGACACGGCGACGCGGTCTGGATGCGTCGAGCAGTCGATGGAGACGCCGGAATGGAGGACGGGGTCCCAAGCTTGGCAGGAGCTTGCTCTGACTTGGGCGTCGGCAAGGCGGCAGGGACGGGAGATGATGCGACAATCGAACTTGCCTTCGGCTCGTACACAGAGCGGACGTCCGTCGAAGCGCTTGACGAGGCGTGTGGAACGTCCCGAGACGGTTGAGACGCTTTCGTTCGCAGCATCGTCATGGGCATCCCGTCGTTGAGAGGCGTCAGTCCGGTCCCAGGGAATTCGCTTTGTGCAGAGAGGGCTTGCTCCCGAGGGCGCTTCTTCACAGGATCGTCGCATTCGGAGCGCTTCCGTTTGACGCGATCCTTCGAGACCTCATCGCGCGAGCTCTTGCGCGACTCGCCCGAAGCCGATTTGGCTTGCTTCCTGTGCTTCTTCTCGTCCGACGTCCGCTTCTTCCTGCGCTCGTTGTGGTCGCTGTCCCCATCGCTCTCGGCGGTCTTGGCGCGCGCCTTCTTCGGCTTCTTATGCTTGGCCTCGTCTCGTCGGCGCGACGTCGTTTTCCTGCGCTCGTTGGACTCGCTTCCTTCGCTTGAGCAACTCGAGGCCCTGGTCTTCCGCTGCGGCTTCGTCCCGCGCGGGACCTCGCGGACCGCCGGTGGTGGCGACGGCGACGCTCGTGCAGCCGGCGGCTGGACCACTTCATCGTCGGAGCTCTCATCGTCGTCATTGGCCAGCATCATCTTGAGCTTAGAGGCGTGCTGAGCGTTCATGCTGCCGGCCATGGTCGGTCTTCCGTCGGCCGCTCACTCACCAACCCGCGAGAGGATTGATGTTATAGCTCACTCGTGATTTTAATACATTGACAGGTCCAATTCATTTAAATATACACGCTAAACTAGTTTGTTGTATACATACATGAATTCTCGCTTTTAATTCATTCGAAACTGCGACCCGCCGGGGCACGAACGCGAGCGCCCAGCCATCCCAGCGCATGGACTGTGGGCCGATCTCGAGCACATCAGCAAGTTATACCCAGCCATTTCACGAGAGAAAGCGTTGTACTAAGTGCGTTAATCTACTCCACCAATGTCAAACGCCCACTGCAGCGCTCGGTTGAGCGCTCGACGCCAACGGTCCAACCCTAAGTTGCGTGGAAATAGAGTATCCGCCACCACACGCCACATGGCCATCGTGCCCCGGGGCACGCAAATGGCCGGGGCGCCAAGAATCCTCTGTCGCAAAGTTCCGACCTGCCGCTGTTCTCGACGGCGAGCCAGCCTCGTCGCCATAGCTACTTGGCCATGAAGCGCTGGATGACCTTGATGTTGTTGCTGCTATACATGGAGAGCATGGAGAGCTGCGGTGGTTTCACGTAGGGTGAAAGGCAAGGCTATAATTACGCGCTCATGCGTGTCACTTTTCGGTGTAGTTAGTTGGGCTTTCTCCATCAAGCCACGAGACTTTCGGCAACGACTAGCAATGGGGTGCTGCGGCGGCAAAGAAGATGTGCTGCCCGACGGCTCGGGCGGCGTCGTGCCCAACTCGACGCGCAAGTGTCGGGACGTGCTCTGCTGCCTGCTCTTCCTCCTCTTTTGGATCGGCATGGCCATCCTCGCGATCCTCGGCGTCTCCAACGGCGAGCCGCAGAGCCTCATTTACGGCACGGACTTTAACGGCTCGGTGTGCGGCACGGGTGACTCGAACGCGAGCCTCATCTACTACCCGCGCATGACGCAGGACATGCTGACGCAGTCGGCCAAAGGCATCCAGCCGCTCGACATGAAGTTCTTTGGGCTCTGCGTCTCGGCGTGCCCGAGCATGGGCGATTACATTTGCACGTACGCGACCGAGGCGTCGATTCGCGCGGCCAACCCGGGCGCCAACGCCACGACGCTCAACTCAGCGCGCAAGAAGCGTGCGAGCAGCTTCTCGACGACGACGACCGACTGCTGGCTCGTGCCACTGCCGTCCGAGGTCGTCGCGTTCCGCTGCCTTCCGCTCAGCATCGCCTCGGGCAACTCGACTGTGATTTGCATCCAGCCGGGCAATTCCCCCGAGTACTACAAGACCGTCAAGGGGGTCCAAGTGCCCAACGACAAGTGCGAAGTGTCGCAGACCATCACGGTCACGGCGACAATCGGCGAGGCCAACTCGGACCCGGTCATGGACAAGCTCCAAACGACCGTGGCCATGATCGGTCGGTTCGTCGGCGACATTCAAAAGACGTATGCGCCCGTGCTCTTGATCTGCGGCGTCGGCTCCCTCGTCCTCGGCTGGCTCTTTCTCTTCTTCATGCGCTGCTGCGCGGGCTGCGTCATCTGGCTCACGCTCTTCATCGTGCAAGTCGTGCTCGCAGGCCTCTCGCTTTTCTTCCTACTCAAAGGCGGCATCATCTACTCGAGCGACATTAGCGCTCTCACGACGCAAATCAACGCGATTCCCAGTGGTGAAAGCCTCTCAGCGTCGCTGAGCGTCGCCGACTCCAACATCAAAGTGTACCAAGCGGCGGCGGTCATTTCCATCGTCTTGACCGTTGTCATGCTGCTCATTGTGTGTTTTATGCGCAAGCGCATTCAAATTGCGATCGGCATCATCCGCGAAGCGTCCCGGACGATCCAGTGCATGCCACTTCTCGTATGCTTCCCCGTCGTCCCCGCCATCACCTCGATTCTGCTCTTCATCTACACGACGATCATTGGCGCCTACATTTACAGCGCCGACGGCAACCTTGCGCTGCCGTCCTCGCTCGCGAGCGCGCTCCCCGGCAACGTACATCGTCGTTTCCAGTGTTATGGCTCATGACGTTTCTTGTAGGCGTCGGCGTCTGTGACGGCGAGCTGGGACGCGGAGCTGACCGCGTCAACGTCCGCTGTCGAGCCGAGCCAGCGCATGCACATTATGATCGCATACCATATCTTTGGCTTTCTCTGGACCAACCAAGTGATCCAGGCCGTCTCGATGACGACGATTGCCGGCGCCGTGTGCAAATACTACTGGAGCCGCAACCACTCGGCGGCCGAGATGGGCCGGTTCCCCGTCGCATCGAGTTTTCAAAATTGCTTTCGGTATCACTTTGGGTCGCTCGCGTTTGGCGCGTTCCTCATCGCGGTCGTCCAGTTTCTTCGCCTCGTGCTCATGTACATTGACAAGCAGACCAAGTCGCTCCAGCAGTCCAACCTCGCGATCAAAGTCGCCATGAAGGTCGTCGGCTGCTGCCTCTGGTGCCTCGAAAAGTGTATCAAGTTCATCTCCAAGAACGCGTACATCCTCGTGGCCATGAAGGGCCGGTCGTTCTGCTCGTCCACGAAAGAAGCGTTCATGCTTATCTTTGCCAACATGGCCCAAGTCGCGATGACGAGCACGATCGTCAACCTCGTCGCGTTTGTGGCGGTTGTCGCTATTAGCGTTGGGTGCGCCCTCGGGCTCTTTCTCTACTTGGACCACAACATGGACTTTGCGACGGGCGGCAGCAAGGAGCTCAACTCGCTGTTTCCTCCGTGCATCATTGGCGGCATCCTCGCGTGGTTCGTCGGCTCGTCCTTCATTGGCGTCTACGAGATGTGCGTCGACACGATCTTGCTTTGCTTTTGCGAGGACCGGCGCATCAATAAGGAGAGCGGCCAGTACTACATGAGCGCCGAGCTCCAAGCCTTTGTGGACAAGAACACCAAGAAGAAGAAGAAGACAAAAGGGGTCGCGGACGAAGGCGGCAACAACAAGACGGCCCCCGACGAGCTCCCGGTTAACGCCGACGGCTCGGTTGACGTCTAAGGAAGCGGCTTGGAAAGCGCTCGAGCGAGCGCGTTTGTACATGGACGACGAATACTACATGGTGATTCTGTGTGTCTTTTCTTGTCCATTTGGCGCTATTGCAGTGGCAGGACCGTCCGAGACCACGGCAGGCGAAATACGATCTTATCGTTGTCGACGCCCACCCACGACGCTGACGTGGCATCCCATACAGCCACGGCCAGTGCCTCGGTCGAGAGAACGTCGCGCATTCCTGTGCAGTCCTAGAACACAGGTAACGCGGGATGGCAAGAGGCAAGAGTAGTACCTGCACCAGCGTACCGCGGGCACTCGAGACGAGCACGCTGTCTCCGCTTGTCGCAAGAAAATGCGTGTCTGAAGCAACCTCCGACTGGCGCACGCAGTGCAATGACCACGTCGCCAAGTCGATAGCAAACTCCATTACATGGTGCTGCGTCATGAGAAGGATCGTCCCGTAGTCCTCGAAGGAACCAAGACCCACGACCTATACAACGTGAATGAGGACCATGACTCGTCTCTCAACGAACATGTCGGGAAGCAAGCATTGAATCGGAGACGACGCTGAGCGACGTGAGCGATAAGACGTCATAGACCGTCACAACGTCACGGTGCGCCGTCACAACAAGCTACGTCAACATGGAAACGTGGAAACAAATCCGCAATGTTGACGAGCACGCACATGATCCGTGACGCACACGTGCTCAACCGGCGCTGCCACCAGCGTGGTCTGGACAATGGCGTCGTCCGTAGCGTCATAGAGCTCGAGGGCCGCGCCACCGTCCACCGAGGACGACGCCAGTAGCACCATTGTCACGCGGGGGCCCGCGTCGCCTTTCCTTCGGGTTCGAACGACGGCGTCGAGGCGAGGGCATGCCGGCGACGTGTCCATCGTGCGTGCACTGCCCGACGTCGAGACGAGCCACAAGGCAGCGCTCTCAAGGCCGCACAGCACGTGCTACGCACCAGTATCATGCAACCAAAGCATCTACGATTCGCAAACGTACCGTCGAGTCGGACAGAAAAGTGAAGTGGACAATCCGTGACGGACACGGTGTCAGCGCGGGCACGTCGACGACAGCCAAGGGGTGTGTCGCGCAAAGGACAAGCTCGTGCTCGGTGCCGGCAACCGCAAGATACTTGTGATTGGGCGAAAGCGCGAGCGCGCGAGGCGCGTCACGCATCGAGAGCGCCAAGGATGTTGCCTCGACAGTACCGTCGCTTGTCACGCTGGATGAGGACGGTGGCGACTCGAGCAAGTGCTCAGAATACTGCTTGTGCGTCTCGATCTGCAAAAGCTGGCGCAGCTCGAGGCTCGACGCTTCGGCGCGCTTGATCTTGTCGTACGCTAACTTCATATCGAGGCTACGCCAACGCATTACATAAACGTGGAGCGAGGTCGAGCATGCACCGCAACTGGTGGCACTCGGCGCGCGACGACTCGAGCTGGAGACGCAGCGTGGGCTCTTCTGTCTGTGCGATTTGAAACGCGAGGAGCTTGGGCAGCGGGATGCCCTGAAAGACGGTTGCGAGAAAGTTGCGCAGCGTCAGCGCCAAGTTGTCGATCCACTCGGCCGAGAAGAAATCCTAGCGCAAGAAGTATGCACCAGTGTCAAGAAGATGACCCGACGTACGCGAAAGTAGGGGTCGGATTCGGGCTGGCTCATGTAGGGTAGCATGAACCACGGCTGCCACCCCGCGCTCTCGGCGTTCGAATGCCGGTGCGTCGACGCATACTGCTTGAAGAACGCAATCGCCTTGTCTGGTTGACCCGACTGCACCACGTGTACGATGTAGCTACGCTCGAGCGCTGTGCGAAGGCGCGCTATCGCCTAGTAGGACGAGCATGAGCTACCCGTCGCTTTGCGTCATGCGACCGAGCCAAAGGCGCTGTCGAGGTGGCAGAAGAAGCGCGCATCGAGAAAGTTCCAGAGGTCCATGAGTCGCTCGAGGTCCGCGTTCTTGATGTGCAGGAAGATTTGATGCACGAGCTTGTCGACGTCGAGGCCTTCACACCGGTCCTTCTTGCGCTCCTGGGCAAACGTCTGGAACGTCTACGGGCGTGGATACATGGACCGCCAACGAGGAAGACGGCGGGTACCTTTGTGAAGCCTCGGAAGAGGAGGTACTCGAGCACGAGCTCGTCCACGTTGGCGAGGAGGAATGGGACTTCCGGCCGAGCCATGCTGCTGTTGCGTGCGAGGATCCGCTGCTGGCAATTGGTAACGCTCTGCCCTGATTGGCCAAATATTCGACCCCAGCGTGGTCATCTGATTGGTCCATTTATTATCCGGATACGAGGGCTTGGCGCGAAATTCCGCACCACCCTTGGAGACCAAGAACGCAGAGGTCTTCTTGAATGGAGGACAACCTGTCGTAGAAGACAATCGATGGAAGGTTCTTCCACAAAGTTGGCGTCACCCACCCGTGGGGATGAGTCCCAGCGACATGTTTGAGTAAACGACTACGCTTGGGGCCACATAAGCGAGTTCTTATTGTGAATGCAGTTTGACAAGGTGGCGCAGCTCCGTTGATCTGGAAGCTGTCGACAACATGTGACCAGCACGATCGAAAGCTCTCATATACATGTAGTTATCCCTTGATGTGGCCTCTTGACTCTTTTCGGTGCAGAGACGCCAGCTGGCGACGATCAAGCTTGGATCTTTGCACAAGATCTTGATGGGTGTGAAGTACGACCCGTTCGGTAAAGTGCGAATCGAATCGAAACCATGTTCGTCGCTTTCGCCCGTCTCGCGGTCGCCCGCGCGTCCTCTTCCGCGGTCCGCCGCCATGTCCTTCGCCGCCCCGCCATGGCGCGCCTGTTCGCCTCGGGCGGCAACGACAGCGTAACATCCAACACGTCGCGCTTCTTGAAGCTGGCCGACCAGATCGAGGAGGACGATGCAATCGAGCTCGACGATGGCGACGAGGTCGTGACCGCCGTCGACCCGCAGGACGAGTTCTTTGTCGACTTGAACCCAGGCGGCGTAGGCCTGAGCGAGCGCGACGACAAGCGCATCTTCGACCTCTTTATGGAGAACCCGCTCGTCAACACGATCAAGAAGCTCTCGACGGACAACCGCGTGTCGGTCGAGCGCATTGAAGCCACGATTGTCTTCCAGGGTCTTGAGCGTGGCGCCACGATTGAAGAGCTCCGCGAAAAGGTGTTTGCCCTGAAGAAGGCCAAGGCGACGGAGCAAGCGGCGCCAGCAACCGAGACGACGGGCTTGAAGGCCAAGGGCCGCGGCAAAAAGTCGATTGAAGAGATTGCTTTGGACGACGCTGGGCATGCCAAGAGCATACACGACGAAGACATGACAGAGGCCGACTTCATGACGAACGAAGAGTGGGAAGAGTACAACAAGGAAGACAAAATTCGTGAACCCGACTTCATCTACCTCAGCGACGAGCACGATGAGCTGCCGCCGCTGCACCGTCAATATGGCAAGCGCAATCTTTCGGACCAGCTCTCGGTCGCCGAAGCCAAGGTGCTGCAGGCTGGCGCCGTCAAGAACACAGTGACGCTGCTTCCGAGTTTTGCCAAGTCGCTCAACCCGACGGGCAAGTGGAAGATTGCGATCAAGGACATCTCGACAAAGCGGGCACCGCTGTACATGCGCGATACGGATGGGACGCTGCGTCTCGCGACCGATGACGAAGTCGTCAAGCGCTCGTGGGTCAAGCGCCCGTCGTACTTCCAGGGCTTTGACAAGTACGTCTCGTAGGCCACCTCCACTTGTATATATAGTTGTGTAAACTAACTGACGTCTGTTGTACATTGAGCAATGGCGTGATTCGCCACTTAGCCGCATAGGACAGGTAGCGCTCGGGGCCAAACAAAATACCGTTGGACGTGACGAAAAGCCGAGTGCATGGGAGGTCGTCGCTTGGGTACGCAATGCAACGAACCACAAGTTCCCGTGGACTGCATCCGACCGAGCATGATTGGACGCACCTGGGTGTATCCCATGGGGCAGATGGAACGCTCCGAGGAAAGCGTCCGAGGATCGGGAATGGCCGCCACAAACCGCGCCGCCTCCGCCAACTCACATGCGCAGCACTTGCTGGTACCTCCTCGCAGCCCATACGTTCTTTCTGTCGGTGGGCCATGGCAATCGACGCGATGCAGATTGCATCCGGTCGACGCTACGCTGCCATGATGATGGTGTTCGTTGAAGGTCGTGGACAGCACGAAGTTTCCTGTGGCCCTCGCAATTCCTCTGTGACATGCCATGACGTGTCGGCCGCCCGTCGCCGCGCCGTCGTGCGCGCTGGCGGTTGCTTCGGCGGCCAAGGCCATGGCCATGCTGGCGCTGGCAGGCCCAGATCTTCGACGAATTGTCGTCTTCTTCAAGTTGAGGATGGTCCACCCACAAGGGTGACGTCGTACCACCCTGTGTCTGGAATAAAAATAGTGTCATTATACTTGGAAAACGTAAGGCAACTTGAACCGTGGTATTTTTATTGCCGCGATCTTGACCGTGTCAGTTGCAAATTTGCCACGTTCAGCCATGTTCCTCGCCAAGCTCCGCACGCCGATCGCGTCGTCTGCGCTTCGCCGCGCCTCGACGGCCGCCACGGCCTCGCCGCTGGTCGACGCGGATGACGTGGCGTCGCACGCCGAGGCCATCGAGAAGGACTGCATCATCAAGACGTACAACCCGGACGGCGTGCGCACGCAGAAGGGCCTCGTCTTCACGCACGGGAAGGGACCGTACCTCTTTGACTCGCACGGGAAGAAGTACCTCGACTTTTGCTCTGGTATCGCAGTCAACAACCTCGGCCACGCCGACCCCGAGTGGGCAGCCGCGATCGCCGACCAAGCCACGGTACCGACCGCCGCTCCTGCAACATGGTTCGCTCATGCATCGAGTGTAGAAAGTATGCCATGTGAGCAACCTCTTCCACTCGGAGCCGCCGCTCAAGCTCGCAAAGAAGCTCGTGGAACACTCGACGTTCGACAAGGTCTTCTTCTGCAACTCGGGTAGGCTGTCGGAGACACCAACATCATCCCATCGTGCTGCGAACCATAGGCACGGAAGCTAACGAAGCCGCGTACAAGTTTGCGCGTCTCCACGGCAACAAGGTGGCCAAGGGCACGTACGTACCTCATCTGCGAGAATCACTACACATTGACGCGCTCGACGATACTAGGCCGCTTGAAGGGAAGAAGACGCATGTCATTGCCTTCAAGGGCGGCTTCCACGGCCGCTCGTCCGGGTCGCTCTCGCTCACGTACAAGCCGGCGATCCGCGAACCGTTCTTGCCCCTCGTGCCCAACATTACGTTCGCCGAGTACAACAACCTCGACGACGTCAAGGCGCAGATCTCGGACCACACGTGCGCGATCATCGTCGAGCCGATTCAGGTACCCCCCAATGTTGTACGAGGCCATGTCACCGAACATGCGGCATTAGGGCGAAGGCGGCGTCATGCCGGCGAAAGCCGACTTTCTCATTGGCCTCCGCGAGCTCTGCGATGCCCACAACGCTCTCCTCATTTGCGACGAGGTGCAGACGGGCCTCGGCCGGACGGGCAACCTCTTTGGCCACGAGGTGTACGGCGTCCAGCCCGACTTGATCACGCTCGCCAAGCCGCTCGCGGGCGGGCTTCCGATTGGCGCTGTCTTGACCAAGGATCACGTCGCGGACGCGGTGACACCTGGCAGCCACGGCACGACGTTTGGTGGCAACCCCATCGTGTGCGCGGCTGCCAACGTCGTCATGGACCGCCTCACGTCGCCCAACTTTCTCTTTGTAATTGCATGCGAGATGTCGGCGGAAGGAAGGTGATGATGGTGGTGCTGTAGAACGTCCAGAAGATGGGTCGGCTCATGGCGCATGGCTTGAAGGAGCTCCACGCCAAGCACCCGACCAAGATCAAGGAGATCCGGCTACCCATCGGTACGATCTTGAGAGGTCTTATGGACTTGAATTGCATGCGTACTGTAGGCGAGGCGGGTTTGTACGCAGGGGTCGAGTGCCACGGCGCAGTGGGCCCGATCGTCAAGGACCTCGTGACGAAGGGCGTGATCACGATCACGGCCGGCGAAAAGTACGTGACCGACGACTGATTAGGGTTATGACATCTGACTGTGTAGAGTGCTTCGCTTGTGCCCGCCTCTTGTGATCACCGAGACGGATGTCGCGACGTTCATCAAGGCGCTCGACGAGAGCTTGGCTGCCCACGCGATGTGAGCCGCAACACTAACACCAAAAAATGATGTTTCGAGACAAATCTGTGAGGCGCCAGCACCACTTTGCAACCCTCGGCGACAGAGCGAGTCTTGCTGCAAACTTCCACGCAAGAAGAACGTCATGACAATCACTCGGAATGTTGTCCTCTTCGTCATCATCGAACCAAGTCGTGGGAAGCCAGCGAACCAAAACCTAGATATACTACGATGCATCACCGAATAGTAGCTCGCGATCATCACGAGCGAGGACAAGGCATCTTTGCATACTGCTGACGAACCTGGCTTTTTGATTTCTACGCGCAGAATCTAGTGGGGCTAGGGTCCATCAGCCTTTCCGTGTACAAAAGCGAGCCAACGCGGAAACATGAGCTCATATTTTGATTACGATTGAAATGCAAGCACCCCGCTGGAACTCTTCGACGAACGTGGCCTCCAAGGCCAAGCCAGGACCGACTACGACGCCCCGAACAGCACGCGCCACCTCGACGACCTGCACGCGCATGCATCGAGCGATGACAGCGCCGGAAGCTATGGCCGTCCCTGGACGCCATGCCCGCGAGCTCGCTGCCTTGCGCGCCGAGTACGAAGAACACCTCGCGAGCCTCCGCACCGACTGCCAGATGCAGTTGGCGGCGATGGCCACGACCTTGCGTGCCGAGCACCAAGCCAACATCGCTGCTGTGACGACCACACTGCAGCAAGAGCACCAAGAAGCCTTGGCAACTACAGCAGCCGCGCTTTGCGAAGAGCACTCGACCAAAGAGACGGCTCTGACCTCGCAGCTTGCGATGCTGGCTGCTGAGCGCGACGTCAGCCTCGAGCGCGCTCGCGTGCTCGACACTCGATCGGAGGGCCTGCGCCGCGATCTCCACACGCTCGCAAAGCTCAACCACCGTCTCCAGACCACGATTGCCACGACGGCCACGTCACAAAAGTCCATTGCTGCAGCAACCGATGTCATCGCCACGAAGTTGGCGGGGGCCAGCAAGGATGACCTCGTCGCTTCGCTCCAAGCAAAGCTCGAGCTCACATCCAGCGACCTTGCGGCGTCCAAGGCGACCGAGGGCGACAACACGGCCCTCCTTCGCGAAGCCACGAGCCGCATCATGAGCATGGGCGATTGCCTCCATACGCTTCATGCCGACGTGGACGGGCATGCACAACGGGCGCTCCGTGACTTGTCAGCGATGGACGACGCCTTGGTCTCGCATCCACATCGCATCGATCAACTTGTGGGTCAGCTTGCTGTGGCCAAATTCGCCGCCTGCAGCGCCCAGCTCGTTCATGAAGCGACGATTCAGAGCAAAGACGAGACCATTTGCCGCCTCAACATCGACCTTGTCGACTGCGTCGAGCAAACCAAGATGCACAAAGGGATCGTGGACCAGCTCCAGCGCGACATGGTCACGAAGGACGAGCTCCTGACAACGCGCGACGACCAAGTTCGCCATCTCCTATTGCAGCTTGACGATGTCAAAGCCCAGCTGTCGGCTACAACAACGGCCAATCCCGACCCACGCACCGGTCAAGTTGTATCCATACCAGCCACAGAAAAGCTCACTCGAGCACTTCAACTCGCTCGAAACAAGATCCAAGCCACAGTCACCGAGTGCCGGGAAACCCTGGCGATCAAAGAAACGTCGCTCGGTCGCCACGAAGACACGTACGATGTGCGCCACCACCACCCGCGTATTTCGGTCCATCGAGTCAACACGGTAGCGCCACGGCGATGCTAGCATAACATTTCTGTACAACCCTATGACGTAATACCTAACCTCAAACAAGACAAGAAAATGAACCTATTACTTGATGCCCTCACCATTGTACATCGAATCGGAGCCCCGGTAGGCCCTTTACAGTCCTGGAGTGGTCGACGCACAACTCACAGGCAATCCGACGCGGCGCCTTTCGGTCGTTATAGTGAGCCCACCAACTGCCACGTGGCAGAACAGTCAACGGTTTGCATTGCTGCTGAGGCGCTGCGACTTACTTATTTGGTATAGCCGAAGACCCACCCGCGTGTCGATTCCAGAGTCACCCGATAGCCCATCACCGTTCTCGCAGCCGCTATCCCGCTCATGCAGCAACTCGGTGCGCATTGGTACGACCAAGAGACATCTCTGGTTATGGACATCTACGGGTGGTCTTACGACGGATAGACGCATCGGTCGCTTAATGACCGCCTTTGGTGACCTTGACGCCCAGCGCCGCCACCTTCTTCTCGATCGAGAGTCCCTTCTTGAGGTCTTCCTCGAGATCGATGAGCTTCCAGATGCCGTCGATCATGGTCTGCACGAGCTCGACCTCGGAGTAGCCGATGCGCGCCTTGTTGGAGACGTCGTAGACGCCGCCAGGACCCGGCGGCGAGTGCTCGCCCTTGGCGCCGCGCGCCTGAAGACCGAGCGCATCGCAGAGCGCGTAGAACTGGTCCGAGTTCTCCGAGAGCTTGGGGAACTTGATCATGACGCTGGCGCGGAGACCCGTGCCGAGGTTGGACGGACACGTGCACACAAACCCGAGGTGGTCGTCGTACATGTACTCGCGGCCCTCGGCCTTGACGACCTTCTCAACGTCGGCGACGCCGCGGCAGAAGCGCTCAAAGACGTTCTTGACGTTGCCCGTGTTCTCCATCGAGATGACGCGCATGTGGTCTTCCTCGTTGACCCAGACAAGGAACGTCTTTTGGTCGTTGTGGAAGATGCCACGTCCATCGGGCCAGTCGCGCGCCGCCCCGGCGTTCGTGAGGAGTGTGCCACCGCCCGGCTTTTGGAAGAGAAAGTGGTCGTCGATGAGCTGCTGCTCTTCGTTCTTGGTCATCTTGCTCAGCGGATAGTACTTGCCACGGAGGTCGCCAATGAGGTTGCCGAGCGCCTTGGAGAGCACGCGCTCCACTTCACGGCGCTCGCCGCGGGACGTGCCCGGCGGGAGGGCGAGGCCGCGGACGCTGCGACCCGCGCGGATGCGCGTCGACTCGACGTACGACGACGGGATGTCGCCGTTCTTGATCTTGGTGTAGTCCATGTCCGAGTGGTGCTTGTCCGTGGGCTTGTAGCCGTGCCAGCCTTCGATGACGAGGTCCATGAGCTCCTTGAAGGTCACGAACGACTCTTCGTCGCCAGCGACAATGCCGACGCCAAGGTGCGGCGTGTCGATGCCGGTCTGGATCGCTTGGTCGAGCGTGTAGCCCGACGCTGTCGCGCGACCTGCGAGCTTGTGGTAGATCTCGGGCGTGAGGTTCTTGGCCATGAGCGACCGGTGCTTGGGCGACAAGACCGGGTAGTTGTTGTACTTGGGCTTCTCCGACTTGGCCTCCACAGGCTTCAATCCAAGATCGTGCTCGATGGCGCGAAGGCGTGCGGCGATTTCTTCAAGCGTGATTGGCGCCGCTGGGGCGTTGGCAGTAGCCGGGCGGTGCAGGCCGCCGGCGATGCCGAGCGTGAAGGCGCCGACACTGGCGACGACGTGGGCGTTGCTACGCAGAGCTTTGGCTACATCCCATGGTTAGGGCGATACGTGATGGCACGTGGAAGGTACCGAACATGGTTTGTAGCGCAAATGGAAAACTGGCGACGGCCAGCGCAGGGCTTCTATTGTTCGATGTGGCGGTTGGTTGGCGCCAAAAGAGGATACGGCAACGTCTGGACGATTGGATCTGGTCACAAACAAGTATACTAGTACGCTGAACTAGATTGCAATTCAATTGTCGGTAAATTGCAGAAAACAAAGCGGTGAATTGCAGAAAGCAACGTGGTTTTCTGGTGCATCTCGACACTTGGCTGCATCGACGGTGCAGCAAGATCCAAAACGTAGATTTGGCGCCGTCGAAATTCCTGAATTTTAGCCAATCACAGAGCTGCATGCGATGCTGCCGGGGGGCTCGCTCGTCGGTCATTTTGAAATGAAGTTTAATAAAAACGCGAAATGGCTCAGTGATTTGAAAAAAATACAAAGATCATCTTACTAAATTCAAGTCATATATTATGGGAGACAAAAATAAAAAGACATGTCGTGTATTTTTATAAATTCGCAAAATCGCTGATTTCCACAACTTGTCCACTCAAAACACTTCATTTGCTTGGAGGCCCGTCGAGACAAGAGCAACCATGATGATGGTAAGTCGCTGCCGCCGAGGAAGCTTGCGCAGTCTGCCCGCGCCTCCATGGAACCTCCCCTTCTTGGCTCCATGGAGATGCGAGGATGGGCTAACCGCATGCACATGCTTCCTGGATCGACGATCGAAGCTCATGCACCATCCTTCGCATAGCAACCGCAAATTATCCTCCTCAAGGAAGGGACCGACACGAGCCAGGGCAAGTCGCAGCTCATTAGCAACATCAACGCGTGCCAAGCCGTGATGGAGAGCGTCCGCACGACGCTGGGCCCCCGCGGCATGGACAAGCTCATCCACAAGGGCACGAAGACGACAATCTCGAACGATGGCGCCACCATCATGGGCCTCTTGGACATTGTGCACCCGGCGGCCAAGACCTTGGTCGACATCTCGCTCTCGCAGGATGCTGAAGTCGGTGATGGTACGACGTCGGTCGTCTTGCTCGGCGGCGAGTTCCTCAAGCAGGCCAAGCCGTTCATTGAGGAAAACATGCACCCGCAGACGATCATCAAGAGCTACCGCAAGGCCTGCCAGTTGGCTGTCCAGAAGATTCGCGATATCCAGGTTCGCGTCTCGGAGACGGACTCTGTCGGCTACCGTCAGATGCTGGAGCGTGTTGCCGGCACGGCGCTCAACTCGAAGCTCATTAGCTCGCAGAAGGGCTTCTTCGCGCCCATGGTCGTCGACTCGATCTTGAGCCTCGACACTGACATGGACATCACGATGGTCGGTATCAAGAAGGTTCCCGGTGGCTCTGTCACGGACTCGTTTATGGTTCGCGGTACGCCTCTATAAACTGCGATTGCATCGACTCATAAGGATGAATCGCAGGTGTGGCCTTCAAGAAGACGTTCTCGTACGCCGGCTTTGAGCAGATGCCCAAGTACTTCAAGAACCCCAAGATCCTGCTTCTCAACGTCGAGTTGGAGCTCAAGTCGGAGAAGGAGAACGCCGAGGTCCGCCTCGACGACCCGTCGCAGTACCAGTCGATCGTCGATGCCGAGTGGAACATCATTTACGACAAGCTCGACAAGTGCGTCAAGTCGGGCGCCCAGATCATCTTGTCCAAGCTCCCCATTGGTGACTTGGCCACGCAGTACTTTGCCGACCGCGGCTTGTTCTGCGCCGGCCGTGTTGCGCAGGACGACATGGAGCGTACGATGCGCGCGACGGGCGGTGTCATCCAGACGAGCGTCCAGGACATGACGCCCAACGTTTTGGGTAGCTGCGGCATCTTTGAGGAGAAGCAGGTCGGCAACGAGCGCTACAACCTCTTCACCGAGTGCCCCAAGTCCAAGACTGCGACGGTTGTCTTGCGCGGCGGCGCCGAGCAGTTCATCGAGGAAGCCCACCGGTCCGTCCACGATGCGCTCATGGTCGTCAAGCGCACGGTCTCGTCGTCGACGGTCGTTGCTGGTGGCGGCGCCATCGAAATGGAAATGTCGCGTCACTTGCGCGAGTACGCCCGCACGGTCGAAGGCAAGGCGCAGCTCTTGATCAACGCCTTTGCCAAGGCCTTTGAAATCATCCCGCGCCAGCTCGCGGACAACGCCGGCCACGACTCGACCGACATTTTGAACCGCCTGCGCCAGAAGCACTTCAAGGAACCCGAAACGGGCAAGTGGTTCGGCGTCGACATCAACACTGGCGGCATCTGCGACACATACGCGTCCCATGTCTGGGAACCCGCGGCCAACAAGATCAACTCGGTCGCTGCCGCCACGGAGGCTGCGTGCTTGATCCTCTCGGTCGACGAGACGGTCCGGAACCCCAAGTCGGAGCAGCCCCAGGGCGGTCCCGGCGGCCCCGGCGGTGCGCCCATGAGCGCAGCCATGGGTGGCCAGGGTATGCGTGGCATGGGCATGAACGGTCGCGGCGGCTTGGGCAAGGGCGTCCGCGCCTTCCGCGGCAAGGGCGGCGCATAGACGTCTCGTATTTGGATAGTATGTAGGTTACTCCATCATTTTTAACACAGAAAATGACTTCAGCACAGATTGCTCTTGTTGCTCAGTAAGCGCGCGGGCTGTCGGAGACCCCCAAGATTCGCCCGCGACGCTTCGCTGGATACTTTGCCACGAAGACTTTCAGTAGCCAGCGCCACGATGATTGGAGGAAACGATGCTTTCCGCTACATTTTGGACCAATCCGCATCGTTGGGGCTGCTGGAAGATCGCCTTCGCCTCGACCACAAGATCTCACATTCGCAGTTTAGCTCTCCGACCCCAACATGTTTGGTACGTCGCCGCGTCAGCAATGAGATCTTAGCGCTCTTCTTATGGTAGCTAAGGCCCTTCGCAGCAACGCCCACGTCGTCGCCGGCGTCGGCGCCTTCACGCTCGGCATCGCCGGCGGCCTCCATCGCCCCGCGACTGAGAGTGCTTCGACGCACTCGGCGCTCCAGGAAATTGCCCTCCGCCTTCGCTCCATTGAACAGGACCTCGGCCTCAAGTCGCCCGAGGATGCCAAGCCCAAGTACAACAACTACCCGGTCTTGTCGCCCAAGCACCGGTCGCTCATGGCCAAGAACCTCACGCCCGAGATCTACCACAAGCTCGCAGGTCGCGCGACAGCGTCGGGCTACACGCTCGACCAAGCGATCCAGACCGGCATCGACACGCCGCACCTTGGCGTCGGCATTGTCGCTGGCGACGAAGAGTCGTTCGTGACCTTCAAGGAGCTCATGGACCTCGTCATCGAAGGCTGGCACGGCTACAAGCCCACGGACAAGCACCACTCGGACATGGACTACACCAAGATCAAGAACGGCGACATCCCGTCGTCGTACGTCGAGTCGACGCGCATCCGCGCGGGTCGCAGCGTCCGCGGCCTCGCCCTCCCGCCGGGCACGTCCCGCGGCGAGCGCCGTGAAGTGGAGCGCGTGCTCTCCAAGGCGCTCGGCAACCTCATTGGCGACCTCCGTGGCAAGTACTATCCGCTGAGCAAGATGACCAAGAACGAAGAGCAGCAGCTCATCGACGACCACTTTCTCTTCCAAAAGCCCGGCGGTGGCACACTCCTCACGAACGCCGGGGCGGCGCGCGACTGGCCCGATGGACGTGGCATCTTCCACAACGACCAAAAGACGTTCCTTGTCTGGGTCAACGAGGAAGACCACATGCGCGTCATCTCGATGGAGAACACGGGCAACGTCAAGAACGTCTTTGAGCGCTTCTGCCGCGGCGTCGCCGACGTCGAGAAAGTCGTCAAGGCCGAGGGCCGCGAGTACATGTACGACGACCACCTCGGGTTTGTGTGCACGTGTCCGTCCAACCTCGGCACGGGTCTCCGCGCCAGCGTCATGATCAAGTTCCCCAAGCTCTCGGAGAACTCGGACCAGTTCTACGCGCTCTGCGATGCGCTCGGTCTTCAGGCGCGCGGCGCCAAGGGCGAGCACTCGCCGCCGGGTCCTGGCGGCGTCTACGACGTCTCCAACAAGGCGCGCATCGGCTACTCCGAGGTCGAGCTCGTGCAGACCATGATCGACGGCATCTGGAAGCTCATCGATCTCGAGGAAGACCTCAAGAAGGGACTCTCGATCGAGAAGAAGGTGGCGGCGCTGGGCGTCAAGGTCACCAAAGGCGGTCATTAAGCGACCGATGCGTCTATCCGTCGAAAGACCACCCGTAGATGTCCATAACCAGAGATGTCTCTTGGTCGTACGAATGCGCACCGAGTTGCTGCATGAGCGGGATAGCGGCTGCGAGAACGGTGATGGACTATCGGGTGACTCTGGAATCGACACGCGGGTGCGTCTTCGGCTAGGTAACATGGCCCACGCACGCAACTGCAGCGCCCATGAAGCACCAACTCGAAGACTACGACGTTCTCGCGGGCGTCTCTCTCGTGGTCGCGACCTCGGCGAATGCGACGTGATCAGCCTCGTAATCGGGGCGCTGTGGTTCCCACTCATACGCATGAGGTTGGACGACACTCGGCAGCCATCTCGAGGGAGTAGACCTCAACCGGATCGTATGGGGAAGGGTCGTAACTGGGCGCGGTTTCGACGACCACGGTGTTGGTGATACAGATCGCATGGGACAGAGCGTGAGCCAAGTACGGCGTCGGCTACAGGGTGAGCCGCCACCGCAGGACGAGGCGACAGAAGGGCCACCGCCTGACCCTGTCACCCTCCTCGAGACGAACAAGGCGCCGCTCTTCATCGAGGACTACGACGCGCCCAATGCCGAGTGGAACCGCGAAACGCTATACACCTACGCCAAGCGGCTCTGCGGCGCGCTGCCCGAGTCCGAGGTCCTCGCCTCCGCTTCCGTGCATCGCCTCATGCTGCTGCGTAGACGGAGCGGCGCAAACGGTCCCAGCGCCACGCCTCGTTCGTCCCTGGCACCCACAGCGACATCCAGTACGGCTGTCGTCTTGGTGCACTGCCACATGCTTGCTTGTGTAGCTTTTCGTGCCAGCACCAGCAAAGCGTCCCCGTCCTCGTGGCCGACGCGGCCGTGCGACGCATGCAAACCTTCATGCGCCGCGTCATGTACCGGCGGCGCTGGCGCAACACCGTGTATACGCTCGTCCATCGGCTCCGCGAGCAAGCGCAGCTCGAGCGCGTCCGCGCCGAAGAAGCCGCGATGCTCGGCCGCTTTCGCGATATTTTGCTTGGCGGTTTCTCGGCCGCCAAGGTCTCGGCGCGCGGCAACCTCAAGAACATAACCATGCGCCTCGTTGTCGACGGCGACGCGTGCTACTTGACGTGGACACCGTCCGTGAAGAAGGCCCCGCGGCTCTTTATCCGTGCGTCTCCATCTTGTGGTTTGGATGCGAACATCATGTGCATGGTAGATCACATTGATCGCGTCGTTGCCGTCAAGAAGGGCGAGAACCTGCATGTGCCATCGCGGCTCTTGCGGCACATTAGCTACCGCCGGTCGCTCATCATCTACGGCACGCTGCCGCATCTGGCGGCGCTGCCTCTGCGCACCATCCTCCAAGTCGGGTCGTCCAAGGAGCGCGATCTTCTCGTGCGCGGCTTCTCGCAGTTCCTCTCCGACTCGGTCTTTCAGACATTCATGGACGACGCCGGCGTGCTTCGGAAAGACAAGCGGCGCGCGTCCATCACGTACTTTAACCCGACGCCAGCGGAGACGACGACGGACCACCTCACGGCCTTGGAGCGACTCGAGCGCGCCGAGACTCGCCAGCGCCGCGGCCGCGTCTCGTGCTTTGCCTCCAACGAACCGCAGGACCTCAACGACGACGACGACGATGATAACGGCAATGAAGCCCATCACCATCGGAGCGACTTTGTGCTGAGCGACGACGACGAGCAGCCCGAGCCGGACCGGTCCGGGTCGGACCACAGCGACGACGGTGTACCAGTCCACCCCCACTCGACTGCTGCGACTACGACCAACAACAATGCCAGTGCCGAGTTGGAGGAGAAGGCGCCACCGCCGCTATTGCAGTACTATGCGACGCGCTACGACGACATGGAAGTCGCGCCGGGCGTCGTGGACCACCGGCCACGGGCGGCGCTGCCTGTGCTACAGCAAGCGCACCTCGAGAAGGAAGAAGCGTCGCTGGCCTATTTATTCGAGAGTCTGCTTTCGCAATAAGAAATCGTATCATTATCAAACGACACCTTAGTCGGTCTTTTGGAGCTTTGTCGACGGAAACGCCAGGCGCAGCGCGGCCATGTGCGGCGGGTGCAGCGGCAGAAGCGCGATATGCAGCGGCCCAAACACTTGGCGCAAATTGCCAAGAACGCCGACGTAGTAGTAGTTGACGTAGCCGACCTCGTCGCGCTTTTCGCAGTACTCGAGCGTCGTCATGTTGCTCGCTGCGAGGTAGAGATGCATCAAGCCAAAGCACGTGAGCGCAATGCCGACGCAGACGCTGACAAAGCCAACGAGCACGATCTGGCAGTGCGCCGACGTGAGCGTGAGCTGCCCGAGAAGGAAGTCGCTGCTGAGCTCGTCCAGCGCACTCGGGACCGAGTACGTGTACAAGAGACTGGCCTCCAAGAGGCACGAGACAGCACTCCAAAAGAGGAAGAGCACGAAGAACTTGTAGTTCTCAAGGCCAATGCACCTAGTGCCATGAGCATGCATGGCCATAATAGGGAGGCACGTACTTGTTGAGGAAGACGCAGTGGTGGTCCATCTTGGCAATGCACGCGTTGCACGAGCTGCAGTGGTGCGTGCGGTCAGGCTTGGGCAGGTCGCACTTGCGGCAAAACCGCTTCTCGCCATTGTACTTGAGCTCGACGACGCCCAGTGCGGTATCGCTTTGCTGCAGGAGCGGGCTCTCTCTGGCAAAGACGGGCGCGGTCATCGTGCGGCCGAGCGACGCGCCAAGCAGGAGGACGCAGAGCTGGTACACGAGCGCGTGCAGCAGCGGGACGCGGGCTAGCCCCCGCGGGTTGAAGACAAAGCACGTGTAGAGCCAGAGTATGAGGAGCCCAATCGCGCACGGGAGGAAGAGCCGCATGACCTTGGGCATCCCCTTGAGGCAGCCGCACCAGCACATGGCGCCGACGGATCAATTGTCGCTGTTTAGTCGATGCCACTTGGCACAAAGTATCTCGTTTAGTCGCTTAGTCGCAGGAGTGCTCCAACGGCAGTCGAGGACCGTTTCCTGCAACCGGTAGCGCGCCATTGCAAGATGGATGAGCACCTCACAGGCAGCAGCCGCGCTGGCGCGCGCGAGTCGTGTCGCGCAAGTGAGGACCTACTGGAACAAGGCATGATCGAGTTAGTCGATGGGTTTGTTTAGTCGATGCGCACGAGCGTGGCCTTTGCTGGCTCGCGCCGATTGGCTATAATTCTGGCCCTTTCGGTGTGCAGTTTTTGATTTCCACCAACGCGAATGCACAGTCGATCCGGGTTCGGGACCAAGATGGCGAACCGAAGCGCGGCCGACCGCGCGGCCCTGTACAACCGCCTCTCGGTGCGTTCTCTCGCTTGTGTATGGCGATGGCCTCTGGCGGCGCCTGCGCAGAGGCCATCCACAGCTCCATCGCCAAGATCCGAGGGCTCAGCATGGGCGTAGAACACGCCAACGTCCAACAGCGCGACGGCCGAGCAGACGCAGCGGCTCATGGAAGACCAGAACGACGAGAAAATCGATCAATTATCTATTCAGATTGGCACGCTCAAGGACGTACGCGCCCTCTCATCCTCGACGTACTCATGCTCCCATGGTCGGTAGTTGACGCGTACGATCAACAACCAAGTGACCGAAGACAACCGATTCCTCGGCGACATGGTACGCTTCTTTGGCCATCATGGTGGACGATTCCGATCAAACGCGGGACATAGGACCGCGCGTTTAGCAACACCGAGTCGCTCATGGGCGGGACGCTCAAGAAGCTCGGGACGATGATGGAGCAGGGTGGGCCCAAGCACATGTGCATGCTCATTACGTTTGTTGTCGTCGTCTTTGTGCTCATGTACCTCCTCATGACGGGCAAGTACTAATGCTAGTCCCAACACGATCGTCTACAACGTCGAGTTTGTACTTCATAAAAGTGGTTCTTAGTCGCCCGTGACGAGAGGATTAGAAGAGCTTGACGTCCTTCTTCTTGGCCTGCTGCTTCCACTTGGGCATCGCGTGGAACTCGGCGACCGTCATCCCAAACACCTTGTCAAAGTCCCCGGCGCTCAGATAGTTCTCCTTGAGCGCAATGTCGATGCCCTCGACGCCCGAAAGCAGCTGCTCGTACGAAAACGTCTGGCCCGGCGCGGCCACGATCATCGGCGCGGCCGGCGGCACGACCTTGCCGATAGCCGGCGCGGCTTCGTGCGTACCCTCGGCCTTGGCCTTCTCCGCACGCATCTTCTGGAGCTTGGCCTCATACGGGTCGACGAACGCAGGCTGCTCAAAGAAGCTCGCGTCCCAGCCGGCAAAGTGGCACGTAAAGATCGCGGGCTCCTTCCCGGACGCGACCGTGATGATGGGCGTGTCGTCGCCGCGGCCGTCGCTCTTGGCCGCGCCGAGGTAGTCCTGCGCCATCTTGGCCGCGCCGCGCTTCTCGGCCTCGTTGGCGCCGTCGCCGATCCAGAGGAAGAGCGCCGTGTACACGTCGAGGAGGAAGACGTCGTCAATGTTGAGGTCGTCCTGCGCGAACGCGACGACCTCGGTCGCGTCAAAGAAGCCCGTCATGTTGGTGCAGTGGAAGAGGCGCGGCTCGTGCTGCGCTTCGATGCCGACCTTCTCGGACGGGTACGGGCCCTCGCCACCGAGGAAGCCCCAGAAAGAACCGTCTTCGCTGCCTTCCGGCACAACCGAGATGCTGCGGTTGAGGCGCAGGATGGACGCAATGCTGCTCGCGACCGACTGCTCCTCCGCGTTGGAGCTGCGGCCTTGCCACTCGTACACGACACGCGGCGTCACGAGCACGTAGCAGTCGCCCGAGTTGAGGCTCGATGCGACCTCCTCGACCTGCGTCGCAAACGTGTTGAGCTCCGTCGAGCCCTTGACGTGGTAGAGCGAGACGCCGTCCGTGTCGTACGAGTCTTCGTCGTCGCGGTTCTTGAAGCCCGAGGCCTTGCCACCGCTGTGCACAATGAGCTTGCCGAGGAAGAGGCGGCGGAAGTGCGCGGGCTCCTTGCCCTGCGTCACGCGCACCTGGACGGGCGACCCGCCCATCTCGTCGTCGAGGCGCTGCGCCCAGAGCGCGGACGCCGCCTTCTCGTCCTGCGACGACATGCGGCCCTGCCAGTAGTAGATGACGTGCGCGGGCTTGCCGTTCGTTGGCGTAAACGTCTGCAGCACGACGTAGCTGTCGCCGCCGTAAAACTGGCCGTATGTCTCGGGCGCCACCTCGACCTTCTCCATGTCCTCAATGCGCCACACCTTGACGACGCTCGAGCCACTCTGACCCGCAAACATGTCGTCGTCTTCGGTCGCCGAGACCGCGTACAAGCTTGCCGCGTTGACGCCGGCGTGGGCCGGCGACACAAGCGCCTTGGCCTCGACCGCGCCAAACGCGATCGTGCGCGGCGGGTCCCACGCGCGGAAGAGCGTCTTGAACGCGGCGCCTTCGGCACCGTCGGCGACGCGCGAGATGGGCGTGTGCGCCGCGCGCTTGGTCTGCGCAAGGTACTTAGTCGCGTAGATCATGCCGTTCTTGCGCTCGTCCGCCGACGCGCCCTTCCCGATCCAGACGTGGAGCGCGTTGCCGCCGTCGACAATAAAGACATCGTCCGAGCTCAAGAGCGCCTTGGTGAGGATGCCGTCGGCCGGCGTCACATCGGTCGTCTTCAAGTTGGACGACGCATCGCTGAGCTGAATGAGCTTGATCGCGTTGCGCTGCGCCTTCTCGGCCGCCTCGTCGCTCGGGCCTTCCTTCGTGACGTTGATAAAGCCGCCAAGCGTCTTCCAGAACGTCGCGTTCTTGGGCTCGTCGTCGAGGAACGTGATAGAGCCGCGGCCGCCGCGCTCATTATTGTTGAGCTGGCGCACAAAGTCAAGCGCCTTGGCCTTCTCTTGGCGGTTGGCCGTCGGGCCGTTGAACTACGAGATGCATGAGACGCTGTCACGATGAGAAGAGCAGTGTATCGTCGACGTACGACAAAGATCTGGAGGCCCATGTCGAGGACGTAGACGTCGTCGGTCGTCAGCGACGCGGCCTTGACAGGCACTTCGTTGACGCGCACCGTGCGCTTGCCCTTGACCTGGAAGAGCTTGGTGTCGTACTGGTCGCGCACGACGGTCTTGAAGCCGCTCTCAACGCCGCCGGCAAGGTACTCGATGCCGGTCGCCTTGAAGTACGAGAGGAAGAGGTCGCTCTCGTGGCCTTGGCATTCGCGGTACTGGATCGGGCCGCCGCCGAGCGCTTCGTCGAGCTCGACCGTCTTGTAGGCCGCGACGCCGCTCTCGTCCTGCGACGTGTCCTTGCCGAGCCAAAAGTGAATGTTCCACGCGAGCGCCGAGCCCTTCTGGAGCGTCTGGAGGAAGATGTAGCTGTCGCCCGAGTGGAGCTTGTGCAGGTCCTTCTTCACGGGCACCGGCACGAGCTTCTCGATGCGCCACGCCACAAGGCCCGGGCGCTGACCCACACCGACAAACGCTTGCTCCGCCATCTTGGTTTCTGTACTAGCTTGCTGCTGCTTGGACCGCAGATTGCAAAATGACTCTGATGCCATGTGGCGCCGCCCGACCAAGCTATCAGTTCTAAGAGGTTTGAAGCAGATGACGTGGCAGCCAACACGCACGCCAGCGACATCCAAATGTGCAATGTATGCGTTGTGAGAGGTTGTAACATGCGCTGCCCTACCCCGCCTTTAGATACGCCACGACAAACCAGCGACAGCAGCCGGCTCTCACATCGTGCGTCGAACCGACCGGACGCAAAGACAAGGCAGGAAGAGGTGGCAGGTGCAGGTACTTGACCACAGCCACAAGTGCAACGTCAAAGGGCAATGTGAGCCGATACTACGCCGGTGTGTCACCAGCACAGGGACATCGAGCGAGGATGAATCGGCCGCGTCTTGGCAGATCCCGAAGGATGGCGTGGACGTCCTTGGGATGCACTGGGTAATAGCATGTGCCAAGATGTAGTAGCTTGGCCTTTCTGTTGAAGGCTCGCGCTTGCGCACTATATACATGTATATTGATGGCCTTAGTAGAGCGAGAATGGTACAGAGGAGGTCGACTAAAACTCGGCGAACGGGTCTTTGCCGTTGTAGACGGGCACTGGCGCCTCTTCGTTCGAGTCCGGGTACGGGTCAAAGTTGGACGTGTCGTTGGGCGTCACGACCTTGGGGATGATGGGCGCGGTGCCTTTCCTTGCCAGCATCGCGTCCCAGTCGACGCCCGAGAAGAACTTGTGCTTCTTGATGTCCTCGACGCCGTTCTTGAGGCACCCGTAGCGCTTGGTGAGGTCGGCCGTCAAGAGACGCTTGATGAGCGCCTTGGCGTTCCGGTCAAAGTACCGCGGAAAGTTGATCTTGCCGGACAGAATCTGCTGGTAGATGCCCATGGGATCGTCGTCGCAGAACGGCGGCTGGCCCGCGAGCATCTCGTAGATGAGGATGCCCATCGTCCACCAGTCGACGCCCTTGCCGTGGCCCTTGTTGAGGAGCACTTCGGGCGCAATGTACTCGGGCGTCCCGCACAGCGTGTACGTCTTGAACGCCACGCGCTTGGCAAAGCCGAAATCCGTAATCTTGATAAAGCCTTCTTGGTCCAGAAGGAGGTTCTCGGGCTTGAGGTCGCGGTAGATAAAGTCCTGGCTGTGGAGGTACTCGAAGATCGACACGACCTGCGTCGCGTAAAACTTGGTCGTGTTGAAGTCAAAGCGCCCGGCTTTCCGAAGGTGCGTAAAGAACTCGCCGCCAATGACGTACTCGAGCACCATGTACAAGCACTTGGCGTCCTGGAACGTGCCCGCGAGGTTCACAATGAACGGATGGTCCAAGCACATGAGGATTGTCTTTTCCGAGATCATGTGCTCGACCTACATAGCACAATGAGGACGCGAAGAGACGCCGTCTGTATGTACTTGCTGCAGCCGGATGATCTCGGCCTTCTTGAGGATCTTGATGGCCCAGAAGGAGCCCGTGGCCTACGCGGCGAAATCGTCTTGGCGTGCGCCATGCCATGCGCGGTACCTTGTGCGTCGCAAAGCGCACGCGGCCAAACGACCCGGTGCCCAAGGTCACGCCGAACTCAAAGTGGGCAATGTCGAGCGGGCCCGGGAGCTTGTTGCTGGGCTTGGTCGTCGTTCCTTCGGGCGTCGCCATGAGCCAGCGGCCTGCTTCTCGTCGACCTCGGCCGATACGAAAACTGGTTTCGGACCCGACAGCGTCGGGAGCCAAGGGTCGCTGACAAAAACGGCAGAAAAAAAGGATCGAAGATTAGCCGCGCGCCAAACGACGCGTCACGACGCCAAAAAGGGGTACGCGCGTCAAAAAGGGGTGCATCTCATCATCCACTGCGTTGGTTGCCGCTACGATACGAATGTACAAGGAGGCCTATCCGTCCCAACCACATGCATTTGCCGACGAGAGCTCGGGCATTGACAAGCAGCCTGTCTATGCACACGTGGAGTACGGCGGTACGTACCCCTTTATGGCACGCGCCGCTGTAAGATCGCATGCTTGGATCCGGTATCCGGAAAATCGAAGCTCAAGATACCGTTTTGATCGCGCAGAGGTCGCTGGACCTGCGGCGGCTTTGGCGCTGACCACGAGGCGAAGAAGACGGAGACGGTAGTCGCCGGACGACAGTGTGAGCTGGTAATGGAGTGACTTGCGATGGCGTTAAGCTGGCGGCTTTGGCTTTCGAAATTCAATTCTTTTTTTGGAAGGTTTCGCCTACCGAAGTTCGAAGATCGAGGATACGCGGCGATGGACGACGATGTCCTCTTCGATGCACTCGACGTGCAGGCGACGCCCGAGATGGCCGAGCCGACGCGTCTCGAGCAGCCCAAGACCGAGATGGCGATGTATATGCCAGCGTCGAATGGACCGGACATCAAGGACCGCGTGTACATGGAGCAGATCTTGACGTTGACAAGCCAAGTCGGCCAGTTAAAAGCATCCGCGGCCGAGTTTACCACTGCACGCGTGCAAAGCGCGGCCGAGCTGTCCACGTACGCAGCTTCTTGTCGCGCGGTGGGCGCTCATGCTAGCGTAGGCTACGGCAGCAGCTGGACCGGCACGAGTCGGCCGCCAAGCACCTCAAGCAGATGCTCAAAAACATCAGCGACAAATACACGGCGCTACAAAACGAGCACAAGAGCACGAAAGAGGAGGCGGACGAGCAACGAACGCTCCTCACGTCGGCCACAGAGCGCGTCGTTCTACTCGAAGGTCAAGTGACAGCGTATGAAGCGCAGCGTGAACAATGGGTCCAGCTCCAAGCAGCGCACGACGACGTGCGACGAGAGCTCTCGCAGGCGACAGCGGAGCGCGATGCGTGGCAACGCCAGGTGGTGCATTTCGAAGGCGTCGAAGCCGCCAACGAGCAACTGCGCAGTGACGCCGCCACGATTGCGCTCGAGCACGAGCTGGCGCGAAAGCGGATGCACCACATCATCAAGGAGCTGCGCAAGTCGCTCGCAGAAGAGCGGGCCCGCCAGCCGCCGTCGCCGGTAGTCATCTCGACGCCACTGGCTGTCAAGTGCATTCACGTGGCCGAGCCCATCGATAGCGCAGCAGACGTCGTCTCGGAGTTTGCGCTGCGCATCGAGGGCCTTTTACAGGCAAACGCGCTCTTGACCGAGCGCCTTCGGTTCTCAGAGGAGAACACGCGGCTGCTGGCAACCGACTTGGAGAAAAAGCGGTTGCTGTTGAGCCACCTCACGCGCACGGCGATGACGGTACCGCCGCGATGGCCTTCATGCCTTATACACCAATGCTAGGAGGACATGGACGATATGCATACGCTGGCCAAGGCGATGTACACCGAGCGTCTCGAGACGGCCAATGCGCTACTCCTGGCCTTGTTGCGCGAGAACGCGGCGCTCAAGGTACACCCAACGCCGCTGAGGGATTTTGCTCCGTGTCGACTAGGCGCGGGCGCCACTGGGGCCACTGCCGCTCGCCGACGGGCAAGCGCTACATGCAATGTACCGTGCCCTGTAGCAAACGTGGATGACAGTGGAAACATGCATATGCAAGGGGCTTAAAGATCCCGAAGCTTGGACGTAATGAGTTCCGTGAGCTCACGCACTTGGTCCTTGAGCTGCTCAATGTCCGAGTCGTTGGCGACATCGCGGTTCTTGGGGATCCACGACATCTCTTTGGCCTGGACCTTCTGGTACACGAACGACTCGGTGCCGTTCATGTCGGTCGTCGGCTTGCCCTTGAGGTACATGATGAAGAAGAAGTAGTGCCACAGGTTGTGCTCTTCGTTCGTGTGGCGCGCAAAGTTGTCGCGGAGGCCAAGGCGAATGCCCGCGTACTCAATGTCGTCCTTGGACGTGTTGCACACGAGACACGAGTTCATGGCCGTCCGGTCCTTCTCTTCGGCCGCCTCACGCAGCGCGCCGAACGCATCGATGATGATACCCATGATGACGTTCATGAGGAAAAGCAGCACGATGATGAAGAAGAAGAGGTCGTAAACGACGCGGAAGAAGAACTTGACCGGCTCCGTGTAGTCGAGCGGGTGGTCGATCGACCCCGTCATGTAGTCGCCAATGCCGCCGCCACTCAGCAACCCTACCCAAGCAACCTAGTGAAGCCGAGTCGAGCTAGTAGCACGCTCGTACCGTAGTGCATGTAGACAAAGAAGCACTGCATCATCGACGAGCACTGCGCGTTCGCGTCGCCTTCCATCATTTCCGCTTGGAAGAAGAAGAACCCGATGAGCGAGAAGACGTAGATGACGATCGCGCCAAATGCCATCGTCATGCCCAGCGGCGCCAAGTTGAACGTGACGGCCTTGAGCTACACATAACCATGAGTTATATGAGACAATCTCTCGAGGATTATATATCGTACAATGTTGGCGAGACGGGCATTCGTGCCGAGGAGGTCGAGCAGCGGGACACCATAAAAGAGGTACCCATACGAGAGACACGAGCGCGCAAGCCCAATGTACGCGCAGAGCGTGTAGATGGTGAAGATAACGACCACGTCCGAGACCAGCGTGTCGAATACGACGTTGTACCAGAATAGCAGCCGGGCGCACCCGAGCTTCTTGTTGATCGCGTGGTCTTCGACAATGTACATAAAGTGCAAGGTGCCGGCAATGCGGCGGAGGCACCGGAAGCACGAGTAGATGAAGAAGAGGAGCGCGAGCACGGCGTTGATCTGCGTCACGACGTCGTCCGTGCCAAAGACGAGGATGATGACGATAAAGACGCCCGCGAGCACCGCTACGCAGCATCCTCGTGAGCGAATGCCACTATGTTAATGCCGCCCGTACCAAAGACAAACAGCAGGTCCAAAATCGCCGTCACAACGCGCTGCTTGACGTCGGCCCACTGCAGCATGTACAGCTTCATTGGCTCGATTTGCTGCTTGGCCATGTGGAACGACATGCTGGTCGCAATGTGGAAGATCCACAGCGACGTGCAAATGAGCGCGAAAATCACGCCAAACGCGTAAAACACCGCTTGCACCTATAATACGTCATACAACGTGGCCTCGAGATACGAGCTCGTACGTTGGCTTCCATCGAGGGCAGCAGCGTCGCCTCGTCCATCTCCATGCCGAGCACCATGATAAAGTTGAGGAAGAGACACAAAATGAACATCCACCGACGGAGCGCGAGGCTGTGGCCGGCCATCCACGCGTACAAGCGCGAGTCGGCGAGCGCGTGCCGCGTCTTGAGCTCCTCGTCGATCGTCCTAGCACAATGATCACATAAATCACATTGATACATTGATACAAACGGGACGTACCGCGCTGCCTTGGACGTAAAGACCGAGAGAGCGTTTTCTGTGCCCATCTCCATCGCGTCCAGAAGCCGCTTCTGCTCCGGACGCTGGAGGTACTTGGCTTCCGGCGGCTTGGGAAAGTAGACGGCCACGTTGGCGTCGCCGCGCACGATCTGAATCGAGATCGTTTGGCCCGCGAAAAAGTCGACGTCGCTGTTCTCGAGGTCCTTCCACTGCTTGGCGAACGCTGCGAGTGCCACGTCATTGCACGCCAACAGCGCATACGCGACGCGGAGAAACTCGATGGACGCTTCAAAGACTGCATGGCCCAACCGCGTGTCCGATGTCTTGAGCAGCTGGCGGTTGTGCGAGAGGACTGATGCAATGTCGTCGGGCGGCAGCAAGCGCGAGAGCGGAATGTGCACGACGGCGTCGCTGCGGCACTCGGTCATCGCCAGAAGCACTTCGCTCGCGTTTTTGCGCAACTTGGCGGCGGCGACGCGGTCCGCGGCCGGCACGTCGCGCGTGTCGAGCACGAGCAGCGCACACCACTTGGGCACGATGCTCTCGGTCAGAATCGCTTGGTTCTCCAAGCACGGCCCTTGGCACGCCTCGCTCAGGAACGCAAACACCTTGGAGAGCACCTTCATGTCCGTGGGTTCAAACCGAAGCCCGCGGCTGCAAATCGCACTGAGAAGCTCGATCGCGCTGTCGAGAAAACTCTGTGGCGGTCGAATCGTCGTCGAGCGCATGAGCGCTTGCCAGTCGTGGTGGTGGTTCTCGCAAAGCAGTTGGAGCAGCGTGAGCGCTGAAATCGCACCGTCGAGGACCACGTCGTGGTGCGTGTGGGCGGCCACGGCGTGCGTCTGCGCTTCGACGTGCTGCATGAGGAAGGTGGCGACCAGTAGCTGCTGCTCGGGCGAGCTCGCGTCCAGTGACGCGTACAGTGCGTCCTGCGCCGCGTCGTACCCATCCGCGAGGAACTCGGCGAGCAGCTGCAGCGTCATTGCACTCAGCACGGGGTTGGTGGCGTCCCGCATCGCCCGCTGGATGCACGTGAGGACGACCTTGGCCACGTCGACCTTGACGGCGACCGCGAGCGTCTTGCGCCAGATCGCGGCGGCTTGCAATAGCACCTTCTCGTCCGGCTCGTCGTCGGATGTGGCTTTCATACGCTTGGCCCGCAGTGCGTGCACGAGGAAGCCGAGCGCCAGCGTCCACGACGGCGTCTCCTGCAGCACAAGCTGTGCGAGCGCCTGGAGGAGCGCGGTCGCGTCCACCATGCTCGTCAGCGTCTGCTTCCACGAGGTCGCGACTTGGTCGAGGTCCAGCACAATGGGCGCCAGCGAGTGTCCGGACGACGGCTGGCGCGCAATGTCGATCGACCGGTACTTTTCGCCGTGGAAGGTACGGGTCGAGAGCCACTTGCGCGGGCCGGAGAGGAGCCCTTCGACGTTGCCGCTCGTGAGCGTCGTCGGCGTCTTGTGCGCCTTGGGCTTGACGTTCCAGTCCTGCTTGGAGAGCACGATCGCGAGGAGGTCGTGGGTCGTTGGCGCCACCGCCTTGGGCTCGCAACGGAGCAAGAACTCGGCCACGTGCACGACGTGCGCGACCTCGTCTTCGTTCGAGACAAAGTGGGCGATCTGGCCGTGGGCGTGGACCACCGACGGCTCGAGAAGCGGCAGCTGCTCCTTGAGAATCGGCGCCATGCACTCGACGACGGTCTGCCGCACAAACTCGCGAAAGTGGCCTTGGCACAAGCCGGCGCTCTTCTCGAGCCCGGCCTTTTGCAAATCGCGTGCGACGCGGCGCTGGGCCCAGACGAGCGCGGCCATGTGCGGGCACAGCTCCGGCCGCTGGAGACGCGCCACCATTTCTTCCAGCGTGACCGTCGTGTGCACGCACGTGAACCGCGCGTGGTCCTTGATGAGCGTCTCGAGGAGGTCGTGGATGGCCGTTAAGAGCGGCGTGATCGACGCGCCGTGAAAGTCGAGCACGAGCGGCTGCTTGCGCGTCTCGACAAGCGTGTACCAGCCGCGGAGCCAGGGCAAAATACCTTCGAGCACGATGAGCTCGTTCTTGGGCGAGAGGTCGCGGAGCAAGCTGTGGCAGCGCTGGAAGACGAGCTCGAGCGACGGCAAGGACGACGCCGGCAGCTGCACGACGCCGACCGTGCTCTCAAAGTAGAGGCACGCCATGAGCAGCAGCGACACGCGCTTGAGCTGGAGCGTCGACCGCTTCTGTAAAAAGAGCTCGAGGAGCCACTGCAGCGAAAAGATGCTCTTGCTCTCGAGGTGGCCAAACATGCTCTCGTGCGTCTTGCCGTCCGCGACCATCGCGAGCAGCTCGAGCAAGTTGCAGTAGATCGAGAGCTTGGCTTCCGGCATCGGCCCGCTGCTCACGGGACGGGACGACGGTGACGCCAGCGTCTCGGGCTCGTCCGCGTCCACGAGCGCCAACGTCTGCTTGATGTCGAGATCCGAGTGGAAGAGGTAGAGGTTGATGTCGTGCTTCCACTCGGCGCGGGGTGCAATGTTGACGAGCCGGAGCACGACGCGGCCGGCCATTTCGCTCGTCTGCAGATGTTCGAGCAGGATTTGAAAGAGCTATAAGTCCACATGTCAATATGGCACCACTTGGACCATAAAGGCAAGGTACCGTTGTAAAGCGCGAGTCGACTGGCATATATGGCGTCGTGCCATGGAGCATCTCGAGCACAATGTGGCCGACGCTCTCGACAAACGTCGCATTCGCCTGCACGAGGCGCCCGAGGATCGAGAGGAGCTCCATCTTGGTGTCATCCAGAAGCGCTTGCGGGTGGCGGAGCATGGCCTTGAGCACCTGCAGAAGCGACTTGGCAAACTTGATGCGGTCGCGGACACACTGCTCCTTGAACTGACGGTACGGGTAGAACGCTTGGTTGGGGCAAAAGTAGTTTTGCTCGACGTTGAGCGTCTCGTAGTCGGGCACGGTGAACGCGTGCTTGAGCAACGACGTCGTCAAGTAGGACAGAATCCGCTTGGGTACGTGCGCGAGCAAGAGCAAGTCGACAAGCGACGCGTCCTTGCCCCACTTGTCGCTGAGCCGGCACGCTTGCAATACCGGCGAGAGCGCGCTCAGAATGTCCTTGCGCTTCCCGCTCGCCTTGTGGAACGACTTTTTCGCGTCTTCTTTGGACAAGGTGAAGCGAATCTCGTGCGCGCGCGCGTCCAAAATGGTGTTGGCGTCTTTGAGCACTTCGCGGAGCTTCTCGTAGTCGGCGTTCACGCGCTTGAGCTTCATGCAGATGACGTAATCCGTGCGCATCCACGCAAAGTTGTATGCCGGCAGAATCTGCGCCACGTTGCGCATCGCTGCCTCGGCGAGGAGCCGGTCCGAGTGACACGCGAGCATCGAGAGGTACTGCACCATGACATCCGAGGCTTCGGGCATATAGTCCATAGTGTACTCGATGCTGCGGAGCACAAAGAGCTGCGTAAACTTGGCAATGACCGCGAGGAGCCGGCGCTGGCACAAGACGACCTTGTTGACGCCCATCGAAAGCGACGTCGCGCCGAGGAGGTCGAACGGGTCCATGTCCGAGTGCACGTCCGGGTACACGACCGGCGTGAGCAGCTCCCAGCTCATGCCCGCCGCAAAGAGCGTCTTGAGCAGCCGGCCGCACATGAAGCTCGGGATCGCCGTGTACCATCCGAGGTCGAGCACGAGGTCGAGGAGATCGAGCACGTGGTACACAAACGCAAAGTAGTTGTTGGGCGCTTTTGGGCGGTTGAGCGTGTCGGCAATGAGCGCTTTCACCGACTCTTGCGCGACGGACGAGACGTACGCGTTGTCGTCGTCCATGAACCCGAGCGACGCGCGGCTGTCGAGGTTGAGGAACCACGTTGTGAGGCGAATGTCCTGGCTCGCGGTCGTCGGGGGTGCCAAGTAGAGGTACTGGAAGAGCTGGAGAAAGAGCCCGCGCATCGAGTACGGCAGGCCTTGCATCGCCGGCGACTCGATCACGCGCAGCAAGAGCGGGAGCGAGAATTTCTTTTGAAAGAGCTTTTGGCACGTCACGTTGGTCTTGACGAGCACTGACACGAGCTTGAGCTGGTGGAGGAACAAGACGCACCATTTCTGCGCGCGCTTGGTAAAGCTGTCGGCCCAGAACGTCTTGAGGTGCGGCTGGATCGCGCGGCTGAGCACTTGGAGCGGCACGCGGGCGACGCCGTCTTCGACGTGGGCTTCTGGCAAGAGACCGAGCTCGTCCGGCTGCAAGAGCAAATCGACCTGCGACGTCGTCGACCACGACACGGCGACATCGGACGTTGTCTCGTCGATACTCGTCTCGATGCAGTGATGCGCCCACACGTGCTGGAGCAGAAGTGTCGCTACCTTAGTTTCATGGTCCTCCAACTTGGCCGCCGTGAGGAAGCTCAGCGCGTCGCGGTCGGTCGAGCTCATCGCGATGAGCAGCTGCATCGTGCGGATCGGGTCGCGCGCATAGTCGGCCGCGAACGCCGACGCTTTGCCGTGCACGTTGCTTTGGTCGAGAAACAGCTCGAGCGAATTCGGGTTCTTGGCGATGAGAGTCGCGATGATGGCCGTGCAGTCGACATTGCCGACCGACGCGCGGCTCGAGAGCGCGTTGATGATCTTGATCTTGCCATGCGATGCGTCAAACTCCATGAGCAAGTACGCCTCGCTGGCCGCATTGCCCACAATGAGGCACCGCAGCGCTTTCCAAAACGGGACCTACCAAACGCCTCACACTCCAAGCAAGAAGAAGTCGAACGTACGAGCATCGCAGTCAGGTCGTCGCTGGCCGGAATGTAGTCCAAGCACGCAGCCGCCATAAAGATAGCATCGAGAATGTCCATGTCGATGCACACCGTCTTATACGCTCGCAAGCGCGCGTTTTCTTCGTCTTCTTCAAACTGCTTGTCCATGAGCTCGACGATCTGCATCGTCGTCGTCGTCACGTGGGCCATGATGTGGTGGAGGCGCTACCATATGCAATAATTTATCGACTACAATGGCATGCATTCAACACGTACCGACGGCGGCGCCTGCGTCAGCGCAGCATGCGCGAGCTTGAGGAAGCTCTCGCGCCAGTGGTACACTTCGTATAGCATTTGGCTCTCGTCGACCGGGATTGGCTCGAGGCGAAAGGCCTCGGTGCCCTTCTCGGGGCTCCAGTACAGCTACGCCGTATCCATGATGGACTGGCACAATGCGCAAAAGACGCACCTTGTCCTTGTGCCCGATCAGATGCCAGAGATGGCCGCAGCGCGCGCACGTGGACTGAACCGTCACGCGTAGGTCGGATGCGAGGTCCAGTTTGAGCGTCGCGAGCGTCATTGTCTCCGTGTCTTCGGTGAGGAGCACGGCGGGAATGCTGTAGTCGCGTGTGACGCACGGACACTGCATGCCGAGCACGTAGCGCGTGCCAACATGCCGGAGCTGGTACCAGTCTTCGTCGTTGGCGACGAGGAGTTCGATCGCAAACACCGAGTCCATCGACTTGTGTGGCTGCAGCACCGTCTCGAGCGACGTCGCTAATGGCACGAGGCGCTGGCCGAGACACGCTACCGCTTGGTCCTGGAGGAGCAGGTGGCACGGCTCTTGGAGCACCTTGGGCAACGCCGCGGACGCTTCGTGGTGGGCGTACATGCCAATGGCCAGCAAAGATGGCTTGGGCGGCGTGATCACGACGGGCTTGGCGCGCTGGTTCGAGCCGACGAGGTCGCCGAGGCAGGCGCTCACAAGCGAGATCGGCGTCGACGTGGCCACGGGCTCGTCAAACTCCTTGCCCGTCGACGGCACCGCGAGCTGCATAAACTGAAACCACGAGTAGCACGACCCTTGTGCATCGAGCGAGACCTACACCCATATTCGTACATGGAATTGTAGGTATCCAACGGCGTACGTTGGCCGTGCCGGGCGCCGCGAGGGGGTTGACGCGGAGGTACTTTTGCGACTTGACGTGCAGCAGCTGGTACGTCGTGTTGTACTGGACCTCGGTCGTCGTTGTCCGCGTCGCGACCAGTAGAGTCGCATTGCGCTTTTTTTCACTAGCATGTATCAAGTTGATACCGAGACTCGGCTGCGAGGATTTTCGTACCGCTCTTCTTCCGAGTACGGGTCGGGCTTTGTGAGGCTCGACATGGAGACCGACGTTTCGGTGAAGGCGCCGACGCTCACGTGGTCGTACGACAGCTGCGGGTGCACGACGAAGAGGTGGTCGAGCCAGTCATGCACATCTGAGACGTGCAGATCCGAGTGCAGAAAGCCGTCGCTCGAGAGCACGTGCGAATCGTCGTCGGACGCAAACATAAAGTAGACTAGGTCGCCAATGTGGACGGTCGACGGCGGCGCGGTGCTGGGCACGAGCAGCGGAATGTCGGACGGCGCGCGGTAGTACGTCTTGTACAGCAGCAGCGCAATCTCCTTCTCTTGCGTCATGGCCGCGAGTGACAAGAGCGTGTCATTGTTCTACGCATGACACTATCGCATGTGGCTTTCTTAAGAGAATGAATACCGTGTTACTCGCGTCAATCGACGCGCCGTGCTGCAAGAGCAGCTGCGTCAACGCCAAGTCCGTCATCTCGACCGCCGCGACCATGAGCGGCGTCGCGCCGTACTACGCCGACGCTAAGATCGCAATTTGATAGCGTCGGAAGACGTACGAGGTTGCGCGCTTCGAGGTCAGCGCCTTTGGCGACGAGCGCCTCGACAACGTTCGCGTGCTGCTTCTCGACGGCCAAGTGCAGTGGCGTCTTGGCCTCCTAAATTGCAGCATTGAATGAATGGGTCCGATATGCTTGGAGATACGTACCGAGTTGGAGACGTTGACAAGCGCACCGACTTCAATCAGGTGCTGCGCAATCTCGGTGCGCTCGAGCTCGAGCGCGAGCGTCAAGGGCGTGTCCCGGCCATACTCGGTCGCGGTCGTCGCCTCCATGTTGGCCCCGTGGTCAAGGAGGAGCTGGACCAGCCCCAAGTCGCCGAGTTGGATCGCCAAGTGCAAGGCCGAGTACCCGGTCTTCTGGCGCATGAGCCGACAATAGGGTTTGGGGAATGACGTACGAGGTTGGCGAGGTTGATGTCGGCGCCGCGCTCAATGAGGAGCGTCGCGAGGTCGACGTGCGCATTGTCTTCGTCGTCGAGCGCGCACACGAGCGCCGTCCGGTGCTCCTACCCAACACGTCCTTGCATGGTGACGCGCTCGCAGTGTCAATGACGCGTACCGCGTCAATAAAGTCGAGTGCGCAGTTGGCGTCGAGAAGCTGCGTCACAATCTCGTCATGGCCTTCCGAGACGGCGAGCATGAGGGGTGTTGCGCCAAACTGCCGACAAATGGCGCGTTCAGCTCCGTGATGACAAGGAGAATCGACGTACCCGGTCCTGGAGGTCGACTTCAATGTCGAGGCAGCTGAGAAGGAACCCGACGACGTTAACGTTGCCCTGGAACGCTGCGACGCCGAGGGCACTGCGTCCTTCCTATAATGCCATGGCATGTCCATCGATCGTCTGTGAAATGAGGTCGTACGTCGTCGACCGCATTGATGTCGGAGGCGGCGACGAGCACATCGAGCACATCGACGTGGCCCACTGACGCGGCGAGTAAGAAGGGCGTCTGGTTCGACTAGACACCGAAGAGGTGGGATGCGAGGTCGCCACACAATATCCTACCGAGTTTTTGGCGTCGACGCGGATCTTGGTCGTCAGCAGCTCGGCAACCACGTCCGCGTGGCCCTCCTCGGCCGCCAAATGCAGTGCGTTCTCGCGGCTCTACCCATCGCCGTTAAAATTGCAGTCGAAAGAGGACGACTACCTTTGTGACAGTGTTGACATCGGTGACAGCCACGAGCGCCTCGACGACCGCGAGCATGCCCTGCTTCGCAGCTTCCAGCAGCGCTTTCTCCAGCGTGTCGGCCACCGTGCGCTAACAGCATCGCAGCATAAGACGTCGATGGGTGGCGCAGTGACGTACGTCGCCGCTGGCAGCCAGCTTGTGCACGAGGGAGAGCGCGGCCTTGGTCTTGCCGTGCGCAATGGCGTCGAGAAGAGCCTACGCATTCTGCATCTGAGATCTTATCGCTGGCGATGTGCATACGTCCTGCTGCTTGGCCGGCGACGTCGGCGACCTGCGCTGGTGCGAAGTGTCCATCGCCGCAAGCCGCTGAAATGTACTTTGAAGGAGTTGGATATCATCTCGTGGTCGCATTTTTATTATTTTCATACAAAGATCAAGATGCAAAATGCATTTTATAACGCTCCTGCCGCTCTTGATGCCCAAAAGCGAGTGGGACCCGACCCATGATCCGGTCCATTTTTGTGGGCCCTGCCCATGATACACTGCATTATGGGGACCCACACAATGGACGACGGACCGAGCGATCGGCCCCCACCCAACGCCGTCGTGAGCGCAAGAGTTTCTAGGAGCACTCACGCAAGGATATTGGTCGACGTACAGCCATTGCATGGCGGATGGCACCTGCGGTCTCGAGCGAGTAATCCTAGTTTACAGTCTGGCTACTACAAAGCGCGAGAAGTCCGGTGTGCATGGATTAGCCAAGGTGGAGGTTACTGTGAGGTAAACAAGTCGACCATCTCAGGCGATGGCGAGCAGGAGGGCGTGCGCGTGCATTGCATCCGCAACGGCAACTTCAGAACGCCTCGTCTTTGTCACCGATGAAGTGGAAGTGCTTATAGAACGAGGTACCCACCCAGGTAGGGGGCCCCACGAAAACTAGCCATCAGCCGCAGGTTTGCGGTCGTCAGCGCCTGTCGCAATGGATGGCCGCAGGACCCCATGGAAGCCAGCGATATGTATCCTTCACAAGACAGCCGCGGTACTGCACCGCCAGTGGCTCAAGCTTTACCACCTCGAGCTTTCGAGCAGCTTTGAAACACAAAGAGCAACTCAGCGCCCGTTCAAATCTTTGAGCCAATGGCAACGATTCCGCGATTCATTGACCACCGCCGCGGATGGTCAGTCATTCGTAGAAGTGCAATAGTAAGCCTATTAATACTAGTAGTACGATTAAAGTACCGGCAAGCATTTGTTAGCCATCATCTTGGATCTCGTCGTCCGTGCTCTTCTCTGGTCGTAGGGCGGACCGAGGCTCGGCCACCCTCGTCGACTGTTGTATTCGCGCTGGCCGCTTGTCGCTTGCCAAGGTCGGTGGGGGCATCGGCACCTTCTTGGCCGAACCGTCGGGCCCGACGATGCGGTGCGTCATCGAGGTCACCGACGCGCCTTGCAAAAAGGAACACAGTTGCTGGTTGGTTTGTGTGTCAACCACGAGCTCCCGTAGCGTGCGCTTGAGCTTCTTGAGCTGCACGACCTGAAGGCGGAGCTCTTTCTCCTTGTCCAAAAGCTGTGCCTGGAACGACTCCATCTCGCGTTTGCACTCGTCCAGCTGGTCTTCGCACGCCTTGATGATGCGGTCGTACTTGGCTTTCTCAAGGCGCTTGGTCTAACAGCGATCGAGATCCAGCGACCATTCAACGGCTTCCCACCCAAAAGTACGCACCTTCTCGAGCTGCGCCACGCGGGCCTGGAGCTGCAACAGTTCGTCTTCCCGGCCATCGTCCATGTCCTAGCTTATCCAGTGAGTAACGACAAACTGGGTTGCCGTCGACCTTGGCTGCGTCACTTGGCGGTTTGTAGCTTTCGTGGGCTTTGATCTTCTCGGTCAGCGATTTGTTGCGCTGAGTCAAGTCGACAACTTGCTGGTGGAGTTTGGCCGACCGCTCGTCCGCCGCCTTCTCGCGCTCCTTGTACATGCGGAAGGTCTCTTTGCAGACGCGGAGCTCTTCCATGACCGAGTGGTGTTTGGCTGGAAAATGCTCTTTCAGCGCCTCGAGCTCTTCAATGCGCTTGGCCTGCGTGCGCTGGAGGTTGGCCAAATACCGGTTCTCATGCACGAGCTTCTCGATAAGGAGCTGCTTCTCGCGGGCCTTGTTTTCGAGCTAGTCCCACATCGTTTGCCAGTCTCAAACGACGTGAGAAGCGTACGTGGACAAGCGCGTCGTTCGAGTGCAGCGACTCGAGCTCCTTGCGCAGCGTCTCGTTGGCCTTGCGGTAGACACCAATCTTCTTTTGGAGAAATTGGAGCTCGGTCTCTTTCTTGGTCGTCGCATTCACAGTGGTGACTTTCTTGGCCGCAGTCACGGCGACTGCATCGCGCGTTTGGTCGTCTACGGTAGCAGCGTGAGGGTCGATCGCGGACCGGCGGCCACCTTTCGTGGGACTCGCACGCGCCTTTTCTGGGCTCGATGCGCCCTAATAACACACGTCACGAAGACATGCGAGAGGCATGGGCTTTCTACTTCGTCGAACGAGTCGTCCTTGTAGTCGACGTCGGCGTCCATGGCGGCGGCGCGGATCGGGCAATCGCCGAGTGTGAAACCGCTCGAAAGCGTCGATTTCTTCATACGAAACGGAGCCAACGCCACGTCGGGCAGCCCAACGTACGTGAGATGCACCAAATGGATTTGGAATCAAATGACCAGTGCTACCGACTGACTACGTCCCTAGTACCTGTGCAAATAGAGCTGGCTCCATGGTGGACAGTTGACCGTGGCCTTGAATGGGTACCCACGCCTTGTATCGCTCGCAAGGTTGCAAGACCAGCTCCAGCGCAGAAATTCGCTTCACAACAACCTCAACCGCAATATGCAGGCGACCCCGGCGAGTCAGCAGTATGAACGTGGGCCCGGTTGACGGATTGTACGTAGGAGCTAGTGGTGCATCTGTGCATCGTGGATTCCGCAGCGGGGCAGAAGCTACGTCGCGGCTTGCTCCATGCTCTTTGTGTACCGTCGATGCCGCACTTTACATGTTAGTTAGTCGTATCTCTAGGACAGTCCATGTGGACGGACACCCACGCCAATCGGTTTCAGCCACGATGGATCCGCATACACTCCTGGACAGAAACTCAATTTGGCTCATATCCGGATACAATTTGAGTTTTGAGTTTTAAATCTATCAGCATGGCGGACGGTCGCAGCAGTGGCAGCGCCGGCGATACCAAGCCCAAGCGCAAAGGTATGAGACGTCGATGGCATGCTAACGCAGTGCGCGCGTCTCACTCTTTCTCTCTCAGTCAAGGTCGTTGCGTCACGGTATGCGCAGAGCTTGAACATTCCAGCGCGACGTCAAGCTGCGGCGCCGCCGCCGGCCCCAGCGTCGACATCGGCAGCACCTGCTCCAGCTCCAGCACCGTATGCACGAGCTACATCAGCAAAACGCACGGCTCTGGCCCCGACACAAGCGCCCGCGCCTGCCGCACCGTTGTCTGGCAGCGTGGCCGAGCGGCTGCAGGCCTTTCGCCAAAAGAAGGCTGCGCACGAGCCAACACGGACACCGACAAAGGTCGTCAAGAAAGCGCGCACGGAAGCAACGACGAGCTCTACGCGTCTCGACGTTGCGGCGCCGCCCAAACAGTCCCAGGCGCCAACGACGTCCGCCAAGGACACGGAGCAGGAGACGATTGAGCTCCATGAATCGCTCTACTACCAGCTCTGCTACGTCGAGCGCTTGGCGGACCAAGCTTTTCAAAAGCAAGAGGCCGACGCCATGGTAGACAACGTACTGGTCATCTCGGTGCAAGCAAGCATGACGTGGTACTAGGCCCAGCTCGCGGCTGTCTTTGCCGTCGTCCACGAGAAGACCAAGGCCCTCCACAGCATGGAGCGGCGCTGGGCCCATGAGCGCAAAATGTTTCATTTGCACTCGCACCTCCAAGACCATGTACGACGCGACAGACGTCCTTCCATCATACCTCTCATACCCCATCTTCTAGGGCGCGTCACTGGGGCACTTGCCCGAGCTCTTTAAAGCCTACGGGGACCAAATTCGCGATCTCTCGAGGGCCATTGGCGCGACGCTGCATCGCCTGCCCATGTCCGATGCCCATTGCTCGCCCTCGGCGCTGGACGCAGCCCTTCAGGAGCTCACACGCACACTCGAGTACACGTTGTCGTCGACACTGCCGACGTGGGCCACGCCGGTACGTTCGTATTGCTCGTCGTCGTGTGAGCCTACGCCCATGTAGATCGCGACACTAGCAACGCACGGCGCCAGTCTGCACACCAACGTGGCGCAGCTCGATGCGCTCTTCGTCGAGCTGCAAGCACTACTAAGGCAACTCGGTGCGGTGTCAGACAAGGCGCGGAGTCAGGTCATTGGGCGCCTCGAGCGCCAGACCGCACTGGATGGCCTCGTCGTACCATAGAAGAGAGAGTGGTCATGGCCGTCATGGACGACACGCTACAACGTGTTGTCGAGTTAATATCTACAACTACCTACACGACCGAGCTGTTGCGCTGGAGGAGAGCGTTGAACTTCTCCTGGAGCTTCTGTCGCTGCTCCATGCGCTGCGTCACGAGGTCGCTCTTGTTGCGCTTCCAGAAGAGCATGTCGTCTTCGGGAATGAGGCTCTCGGCGTCGTCGTCGGCTTCGTCGACCGGGTCGTGCTCCCAGCCCATGGACGAGAGAAGCTGGCGCTCCGCGTCCGCGTCCAGCCGCATCTTGCTCGGACTCTCGGCTGGCACCGGCGCTTTTGGTGCGACAACCTTCTTGACCTTCTTCGGCTTGGTGGGCGTCGGTTCGACTTCAATCGGCGTCGCCGAGTCGGACGCGGCCGACTTGGTCGCGGCCTTCTTCTTCTTCTTCTTCTTCTCCTTTCGCTTTTCCTTCTTGCGTTCTTCGCGGCGCGAGTCCTCCTCCTCCTCTGCGAGGAGCTGCTCCATGATCTCTTGGCCATGAAGCGCCTCGACCGCCATGTCAAAGTTGTGTCGAATCGTTGCAATCGCGCAGTACAAGAGCAGCTCGGACGACCGCTCTTCGCACTGGATCTTGCTCCACATCATTTGCAGCTTGTCCCAAACGACGAGCCCGAGGCACGTGAGCACCTCGTCTTGGGCTTCGGCGAGCGTCCGCGCGTGGCGATCGAGCACGACTTCTTGGTCGGCGCGGTCCATGAGCTGGAGGAGGTACTCGAGCGTCGCCGGCACGATGATCTGGTTCGTGTCGCGGCAAAAGCTAATCTCGTCAAAGAGGAACGCGCTCGCATCGTCGTGGGACGTGACCGAATTCGGCTCTTCGTGCGACGACGACGACCCGTTCGACGAGCTCTTGTCGTCCGAGTAGCAGTGCAAGCCCGCGCAGTCTTCGCAGTCGCTCTCGCTGCAGCCCGACCCGACGAGGAGGTCGTACGCCTCGAGGACCTTTTCCTTGCAGCGGCAGCAAAACCGGTGCCTTCTCAAGTAGCATTCGAGGTCGTTGAGAAACTGGTCCGAGTCGATTTGCGTAATTTCGTTTTGGTACTCGGGCGTCATCTTCTCCCACAGATTCGTAAACGTGCCGGGCCGCGGGTGCGACTTGAGCTTCGCCGAGTGGAGCGCACAGCGCTTGCTCGACTTGGCAAAGTTCATGCCGAGTCCCAGACTCAGACTGCTCAGCCCGAGCGTGAGACTGCCCAGATGGCCCATCGCGCCGAGGTCGAGGCCGGCCGGCGGCGGACCAAACATGCCGAGTGGATGGTGCGACGGCGGCGCAGCACCGTTGGCACTCGCCGCCATTGCCGGATGCAAGGGCGCGGTCGGCAGCAGCGACGACGGGTGATGCGTGGTCGTCGTCGTTGTCATCATCGACGACGATGTCGTGCCATTCGTGTGCATGTGCAGCTTCATCGTTGTCTCGTAGTTGAACGTCGTTGTCTTGACCTTGAGCGTCGTATTGTGCTTGGCGAGCTTGTTGCCTTTATGGCCCTTGTGCGTGCTCGCGGTCGTCTGGATCACGTTCTGCGTCTCGTGCGACACAAAGAGCGCAAGCGTTGCGTCGGCCTGTACGAGGTACGTCGGATGCAGCACAAAGGTTTGGTCCGTATGGAATTGGACAACACCCGAGTCGTTGAGCTGGATGCTCGTGTTGTTCATGCCACCCGGGTTGAGCGACCCGCAGAGTAGCGGCAGCGTCGTCGTCGCGCGCAGAAAGAGGCTCTCGGCGCCGCTGCGGCACGCGAGGCAGGGCACGAGCTCCGCGACCGTGGCGAAGAACTGCACGCCCGTGCCACGCAGGCAATGCATGCGCTCGCTCTCCGACAAGATCGACCAGCGCTATTCGTCGAGGATGCGGTCAGGATCACACGTCGCGATGCACACGTGGTCGTACCTTGCGGAACTCCTTGAGCGCAGTCGCCGACGGCTGCACGATGGTGGACTTGGATGCGATCGACGAGCAGGGCTTCATCGGGCCTGGCGTCGTCGTCGTCGTCGTCTTGGCAAGCGAGGTCATTGTCTCGGCGCGACCACCTATCTCTCGATGTATTCCCGGCGACGCTAGACGGAATAATTACCTCCAATTAAATCGCGGTTGCCTTTTTTTTATTGGATCCGGATACGCCGCACCCGACGGCTGGCTTTTGGCGCGCGCGCATTGGACCAATGTATGCGGCGACGTCCCACACTGCCAATGAACGCCCGATCGTATCCGGATGATCCCGCCGAGTTCTTAGAAGTGATCGACTAAGCGTATCAACTTTGAGAGACCGATGACCAAGCGCCGAAGGACAACGAAGCAACTTCCGCATCCGCTTGACGCAGCATGACGACGACCATCCAAGACCTCAAGGCCCGGACCAACGGCCTCGCACTTGGCACTGTTGGCCTCGGCGGCCTCTACCAGCAGCTCCCGGGCGAAGCCGTCGCGGTCGCCACCGAGACCTTCCGCACGGCCTTTGCGCATGGCGTGCGCCTCATCGACACGTCGCCGTGGTACAATAACGCCGAAACAGTCGTCGGCGCGGCGCTGGCGAACCTCGAGACGTCCCGCGACGAGTACATCCTCGTGACCAAGTGCGGTCGGTACCCGAGTCCATTGCACCCGAATGGCGTCTTTGACTACTCGCGCGACCGCATTCGCCAAAGCGTGCACGAGTCGCTGCAAAAGCTCGGGTACGATGCTTCGCCGACCCCATCTGGAGATCTGGAGATGGCATCTTCAAGCTGCGTATAGGACAACGTACCTCGATGCGGTGTACCTGCACGACGTCGAGTTTGTCGCACGCGAGATTGTGCTCCACACGGCGATCCCGGCGCTCGCCGAGCTCCAGCGCGAAGGTCTCGTGCGCCTCATTGGCATCTGCGGCTACCCGCTCGACGTAATACGACGACGCTGCGTGGCGTGCGTGGCTCACGCCACCTAATAGGTGCTAGACGATCTCATCCAGAACTCGCCGCACCCGCTGCAGATCGTGCAAAGCTACTCGCATCTGACGCTCCAGAACGACACGCTGCTGGCGAAGGCCAAGGCGTGGGAGGCCAAGGGCATCTTTGTCATCAATGCGGCGCCGCTCTCGATGAGTCTGCTCACGTCGCGTGGCCCGCCGTCGTGGCACCCTGCCTCGCCGGCGCTGCGTGCGAGCTGCGCCGAGGCGCTCACGTGGCTGGCCGCCCATTCAAAAGCCACGTATGCGTCGCAGCCGTCTGTCGAGAGCTTGGCCATCCAGTACACGCTCGACGTGCAGCGCGCGCATCCGTCGATCGCATGCATGGTCGTGGGCAGTATCGGCGAAGCCGAAGTCCTCTCGTCCGTCGCGTGTCGGGATGCCACGGGGCCCATGACGGACGCCGACATTGCCAAGGTAATCCTAGACACCCTCGTCCGAGCGCAGTAGTATTTCATTGTCTATGTCTAGTTCCGTGACATCCTCGGTAGCCACTACAACGAGTCGTGGACGCAGGACCTGACGTCGTACGTGGCGCCGCGCCAGTAGTGTAGTCGCTAACATAACCAGTGAGCGATCCACGCCGCTTGCTTCGTTGCGACTTGGCATTAAGGCCGACTTGCGTCAGGACAGCTCTTGCATCTTGCCCATCATGTGCCAGCTGTAGGGGCGGGCCAGCCATACATACAGCCGTCGAGACAGCAGCGTGCGACACCGAGTACGCTTCTCGGCGCCGGCGCTCGACGTCGACCAAGCTCATGCTCATCGACCGACGCGCTTCCTGCACGCCATGCTGGCGCTTGGCGTCCGTTACCAACTCGGCTCGCCGTGGGTGTTACATCGGCGGTGGGTTCCAGCGGCGTAATAAAATAAAATCGACGCGATGTCGCGCCGCGAGTTTTCTGTATTTTAAAACACGGGGATACTGATGATCTTGGTGTTTGTATGTACTTTAATTCATTGACCTCGGAGATGCGGTTAACGGCTGCGCAATATATTCCGAACGTTGAGCAGTCGAGAGATCACTCCGACGCCATGCTTTCCGTGGCCCGCGTCCTGCCCAAGCTCCTGGCCGGCCTCCTTCTCGCGCCGGCGCTCGTCTGCGCGCAGACCGACTCGTCCACGCAGCCCGCGACGATCCCGCCATGGATCGCCTACGTGACGGGTGGCATCTTGATCGTCATCGTCATGTACTACTGCTGCCGCAAGCACAGCTTTGAAGACTCGCTGCAGCAGCCACTGCTCGGCGGGTATCGCGTCATATCGCCAGTGTCGCCGACGCTCATGCGCATGGCGTAGGCAGTACACGGAAGATGGCCAGCCGCTTACGCGCCAAAACGTGCAAGAATCGTACGTTGCCGCAGCGACAAGAAGATTCGAGTAGGATGATGGATGATGCATAGGAAGGAAGAATTGGACCGCCAATGGAAGTGCGAAGTGTGCGACTTTTCCAACAAGCCGTCCACGTCGTCGTGCGTCTTGTGCGGCACGGACAAGGGCTTCAAGCTTGGGCTCGGCTCGCCCCGGACGCCGCGCCGCAGCATCTCGACGACCAATTTGAGCAAGTCGGACCTCCTCAACTCGGGCTCGTTCAACCGCCAGCGCTCGTTTGCGATTCGCCGCCTGAACATGCTCAACTCGCGCCAGCGCGGCGCGCGCAACCGACAGGACTGGGTGCGCAAGGTCGGCGCGGACGGGAAGCGGCACTGGGGCAAACGCGAGCCTATTGTGCCGAACCCTGTCGCGCTTGAAGCCGCGAATAGCGCGGAGCTCGTGCACCAGCATTCGCTTGCGTTCGTGTCGCAGCTCGCGCAGACGCCGCGGCACCCGGAAGGGCGCATGACGTTCAAGGAGTATCGCGAAGTCGACGCGTCCATGGCGTCGCGCGGGTACGAGATCTCGGCGCAGGACTTGGAGATTCTCGAGCAAGTGGCGGCGCTGCCCTTCAAGGACAAGTACGATACACGTACCGTATCAGTTCTTAGCGAAACGACGTGTTAGGTATTCGTGGTTCCTCGAGCAAACGTCGTCCTTGATCCGGCCGTGGGAAGACGGTCATCTCAAGATGCGCGTCCACCGCGAAAACATCCTCGTCGAGTCCATGGAGCAGCTCCTCGGCGTGCAAATGGAGCACATCCACATGCCGCTCCGGATCGAATTTATCGGCGAAGTGGCCATCGACGCCGGCGGCCTCGAGCGCGAATGGTCGACTCGTTTCGTATGCAAGTTGCTCATGATCCCAACATGATAGGTTTGCGCTGGTGACGGAGAAGCTCTTTGACGAGACGATCGGGCTCTTCATGTGCGCGCACGTCGAGTCGCTGGCGTATGTGATCAACCCCAACAGCATTGAAGCCAGTGCCGACCATCTACTGTACTTTCGAGGCGCGGGGCGGCTGCTTGGCCGTGCGCTCCTCGAAGGACAGCTCATGAAGGCCCATTTGGCGCTGCCGGTGCTCAAGCACCTCCTCGGGTACGCGTCTGAGACGGACGTACGGTGCTCATATGACGAGTAGCGTGCCGATTTCGTTTAGCGATTTGGAGTTTGTCGACCACGAAGTGTACCGGAGCATGAAGTGGATGAAGGAAAACGTCGGCGTCGAAGCGCTCTGCTTGGACTTTAGCGTCACGAACCGCAAGATCAACGGCGACGTCGAGACGATCGACCTCAAGGAGAACGGCCGCAACATTGAGGTCACCGACGCCAACAAGCTTGAGTACATTTACCTGCGGCTGCGCTACATCATGCTCGAGAGCTTCTCGGAGCAGCTCCAGCACCTCATGGCCGGCGTCTTTGAGGTGCTTCCGCAAGAACTGATCCTCGTGTTTGACTACCAAGAGCTCGAACTCGTGCTCTGCGGCGTGCCATCGATCGATCAGGACGATTGGAAAATGCACACCGAGAGCTCGGAGGACATGCCACCGGAGCTCCTCGGCTGGTTCTGGGAGGTCGTCGGCGCCTTCTCGGACGAAGAGCGCGCGCGTCTCTTGCAGTTTACGACCGGCTCGTCGCGCGTGCCGGTCCAGGGCTTCAAGGCGCTCACGAGCTACGACGGCCGGATATGCCACTTCACCCTCAAGGCCGTGCCGTACCCCGAGAACGCCTTCCCACGCGCCCACACGTGCTTCAACCGCATCGACTTGCCCAAGTACAAGTCCAAGAAGGAGCTCGAAGACGTGCTCTCGCTTGTCATCAACATGGAGGTCACGGGCTTCACGGACGAGTGAGGATGCGACGACGCTGCGACCGTGTTACCTCGTTGCACTCCCTGTTGCCTACTAATACTATATACCTTGCCTCACACTGCATCTTGCCTGCATGCGACCATGTAGAAGGCTGATCGTCGACCAAGCTCCGGATGATAGGAGGCTTCCCACATGCTCCCCATCTCGTTCGACGTGCATGCAATTTGACCAAACGTTCGAGAAACCGATCCTGCTCCCGCCACTGGGGGCTGATGGCTTGGGCGTCCATCGCGATGACGCCAGAGCCTCCATGCCCACCGACGGAGGCGACCAGACGCCAGCGGCGACGCTGGCTCGTTTCGCGAAGCCGGTCGCGCCCCGTGTGTTATACGTGCACGATGTGCATTGTCAAACCTGTTATCACCTGTTAGAACAAAGTTGCATGTTGTTATATTGCTGGTTTGTCGGTTATAACCGTATCACACGTGGGTGTAACTAGAGTGGCCTGTTTATGACGCGGTGCCACTGTGATGGTGGATTGCTCGAATTGCACATTTGCAAGACGACCTTGTCGGTCGGTTGCTGGGACGATCATGACTCGGACGACGCGGCTGCTGTGCGCGATGACGCTCCTCGCGACGATGCCACGCGCGGTCCACGCGCTGAGCAGCGACACGCCGGCGTGGGTCTGGGTGCTCGTCGGCCTCGGCGGCGCCGGCGCGTTCGTCGCGATCCACTACTGCATCCGCCAGTCGGGCCTCCTCTCGTCATCGTTGCACCACCCGTTCCTCGGCGGGTACGTCGCCGCCGCCTCTCGCTATGGCCTCAGTGGACGTAGGCAATACACTGAAGACGGCCAGCCGCTCACGCGCCAGAACGTACAAGAGTCGTACGCCACCCGCCCGCACGAGATAGGTTGAGACGACGTGATGTGCGTAGGCGCGAAGAGCTCGACGGGCAGTGGCACTGCACAGTCTGCGACTTCCACAATAAACCGTCGGTTCCCACGTGCGTGCTCTGTGGGACGGACCAGGGCTTCCAGTTCCGGCTCTCGTCGACGGCCGCCGACAAGCCGCCGCGGTCGCCGTCTGCTGCGTGCCGACAGCAGTCGTTCATTCGGCGACGCATGAACATGCTCAACGCACGCCAGCGCGGTGCGCGGAATCGGCAAGAGTGGGTGCGCAAGCTCGACACAGACGGGCGGCGCGTCTGGGCGCGGTCGAGCCATGACGAGGGCCAGCACTCGGTCGCGTTCGTGTCGCAGCTCACCATGTCGCCCAAGCACCCGGAAGGCAAGATGACCTTTCGCGAGTACCAGGACGTGGACGCAGCCATGTCGTCGCGCGGCTACGTCATCTCGCAAGAAGACCTGAGTGTCCTCGAGGAGGTTGCGACTTTGCCCTTCAAGGACAAGTATTCTTGGTTCCTCACGCAGACCTCGGCGCTTCTGCACCCGTGGGAAGAAGGCCACTTGAAGATGCGCGTCCATCGCGACAACATCCTCGTCGAGTCCATGGAGCAGATCCTTGGCATTCAGATGGAGCACATCCACATGCCGCTCCGGATCGAGTTTGTCGGCGAAGTGGCCATCGACGCCGGCGGCCTCGAGCGCGAGTGGTACATTGTCCGACCCGACAGACAACTTGTCCACACTCGATGCGTGGCGTAGGTTTGCAATGGTGATTGAAAAGCTCTTTGACGAGACGATCGGGCTCTTCATGTGCGCGCACGTCGAGTCGCTGGCGTACGTGATCAACCCCAACAGCGTCGATGTGAGCGTCGATCACTTGCTCTACTTTCGGGGCGCGGGGCGCCTCATCGGCCGCGCACTGCTCGAAGGGCAGCTCATGAAGGCGCATTTGGCGCTGCCCGTGCTCAAGCACATTCTCGGGTAACCTGCTCGTGCTGCTCGAGGAAGCTAATCATGCATGTGGCTAGCGTGCCCATTTCGTTTAGCGATTTGGAGTTCATTGACCACCAGCTGTACAAGTCGATGCGGTACCTCAAGGAGCACGACGGCGTCCAAGACATGGGCCTCGACTTTAGCGTCAACCACCGGAAGGCGACGGGCCAAGTCGTCACGATCGACCTCAAGGAGAACGGCCGGCACATTGAAGTCAACGACGCCAACAAGTCGGAGTACATTTACCTCCACCTCCGGCACGTGATGCTCGACAGCGTCGCGGAGCAGCTGCACCACCTCATGGCCGGCATCTTTGAGGTCATTCCCCAAGAACTAATCCTCGTGTTTGACTACCAAGAACTCGAGCTCATCCTCTGCGGCGTGCCGTCGATCGACCTCGCCGACTGGAAGACGCACACGCAGTGCAACGAAGACATGCCGCCGGAGCTGTGGCAGTGGTTCTGGGAGGTCGTCGGCGCCTTCTCGGACGAAGAGCGCGCGCGTCTCTTGCAGTTTACGACCGGCTCGTCGCGCGTGCCGGTCCAGGGCTTCAAGGCGCTCACGAGCTACGACGGCCGGATCTGCCACTTCACCCTCAACACGGTCGCGTACCCCGAGCACACGTTTCCGCGCGCACATACGTGCTTCAATCGCATCGACTTGCCCAAGTACAAGACCAAGCAAGAGCTCGAGAACGTGCTGACGCTCGTTGTCAACATGGAAGTCACGGGCTTTACGGACGAGTAGTTACTATGTAATTGCTACATGTTGATGGGAGTATTACCTATATGAGTATATCGATATACATGTGGCTGGAGGGTTGTGGTATGTTTTACGCATCGAATTCGTACGTGGCGGTACGAATTAATAATACCAGACGCGATCTTTTGAACAGTCGAGGGTTTCGACGAGCGAGATGGACCCGTCGCCCGACACGGACGCGTACCTGCGCGCGCAGATCCGCAGCGCCTTCGACATGTTCGACAAGGAGCGCAAGGGCTGCGTCATCCAAGAGTCCGTCGCAACGCCTGGAGTGGCGGACCTTAAGCCATGGAGATAGGGAAGTGAGCACGATCATGCGGTACCTCGGCGCGTACCCGAGCGAGAAGGACATCATCAAGAAGATTCTGCCCGAGGTAGATGCTGAGCACGCGCATGTATCGACTGGACGGACGAGTGTAGATGCAAGACGATGAGCCGTCGACGTTTGTGACATATGAGAAGTTTGAAAAGAAGATGCTCGAGGTCATGTACAGCCACGAGTACGAGCCCGACTCGGACGAGACGCTCATGGCGGCGTTCCGCGTACGACGACCATGCCGAGTACAAGGCAGTCATGCAGGTCGCGTGCGTAGGTGCTCGACCCGGACAAGACGGGCTACATCGAAGCCGACGTCATGAAGGAGCTGCTCTTGACCAAAGGCACGCCCTTCCGCGAGAAGGAGCTCGAAGGTACTGCAGCTTCCATACACGATGCGATCGACAGGCGTAGGCTTTATGCACGTGGCGAAAGACGCCGACACGGGCCGGATTTACTACGAAGACTACATTTCGCTCGTCACGCAGGAGCTCGACGTCCACGCCGCCAACAACAAGTGAGACTAACAACTCCAAAAGCAACTGGGAGCGTGTTATAACGTCACGGTGACCTTCTTGACGAGCGGCTTCTTGATGCAGAGGGCCGAGAGGTCCACCGTGACGCGCGCGACGTCGATGGACGCCTTGCGCTCCAGTGGCGGCTTTGGTGGCGCGCGGGCCGACGGTGAGCTATGGCGCTTCCGAAGCGGCGCGGGTGGCGACGACATTGTGTCGCGCGCCCGGTGGTAGCTGCGGTTGAGCTTGTCGTTGATGACCTTTTCGGCCGTCTCGTGCAGGTAGAGCCGACTGCCGCCGCGCTCGAGCATGCTCTTGTCATGGCCGTCGCACTCGAGTGCAATCGTGTAGTCTTGGATCGCACGCAGGAATTCGCCCTCCGTGTTGTAGCATCCCGCTCTACAGCCACGCGTCATGACGATCCTACCATCAAAGGCTACCGGGCGTAGCGGGCCATGACATGGGTCGGGTTGATGCTCAAGACGGTCGAAAAATCGTCATGCGCGCGCTCGATGAGGCCACATTGGAAGAGCGCCATGCCCCGGCTACATGCAACATACATGATTCCTGGGATGCCTACGAAGGCGCGTGCCTGAAGCGGCCATGGACGTCGTCGCTCCGGACGTCGAGGATCGCGCTAAAGTCGTCGACGGCCATGGCCCAGCGCTTGGCCTTGAGGCACGCATGGCCCCGGATGGCATGCGTCTTGAGACACGACGGGTCTGCCTCGAGCGCGCGGCTGCACTCGGCGATCAGGCTTGCGATCTCGGCCTGCTGCTGCGTGCCCCGCATCCCATACTTTGATGCGGCGCTAAATTTAGGCGCGCATCGCGTATTTTTACATGTGGCCTTTCGACACGTGCTGCGATCGGCCACCACCCCCTCTCAAGTCTCAAGCCCCGCTCAGGAGCCCCTCTTAATCCCGACCCTCGACTTGTCAACCGGCGGCAGAGGCCCGCGTTGGCGGACGAAACGCCGGTGACGCTGCTGAACTCTCGTCCCACGGCGGCGATCAAACAAGGCGGGTGCGCGTCCCACTGTAAACTCGGACGCAGTTCCTCGTGCACCCGGATCGGATCTTCCTGGGATTAACTGCCGATTGCGATCGCCTGGCCTTGGCCACTTTGCGCGCCACATCCTTTGGCGCCCCACGGGCAAGCATCTCTGGCGTACGTTCACGCAGCGCGTTCGCTCGTAGCGGATGCTCCAACGCGTCGGCGTCGTGGGTCCTGTCGCTTGTGTGTTGGTGGTCTCAGTAATCTGCGATCTTGCAGGTGGACCCCTACTTCCCGTACGTTCATGGATACAAAAAGTTGATAAAGCGTACGTACAATGCATTGTACGACCGTTTGAACAAATTGAACCCCCCAAGTTGAAGTACTTTTAAGCCACTTGTTCAGATCCTCGCGTGATTGGGCGCCCGCGTAATAATATTCATATTCGAACGACTTTTTCTATGCCAGCGACAAGACATGGCGTATTTTATTACGAATCGTCGAAGCTGCCACGCCGCCGGCCAGTGTGCAATTCGCCGACTACAGCATGGGCACATTTGTTGGCCATCGCGCCATGAGCGCACTCAGCGCAGAGAAGGTCATGCCCAAGGCGCCGACGACGCTCAAGCACGGCAAGGTACCCAAGTCCATGGCCTTTGTCCACCTCGTCGTGCGCTCCGTGCGCCCGATCCTCTCGGACGATGGCACCTACATGGAGTACGACATTGAGATGGCCAACACACGCAACGGCCTCGTGTGGAACATCCGCAAGCGCTTCTCGCGCTTCCTGGAGCTCCAGAGCCAGATCGACGCGCTCCTCGAGGCCGGCCACTGCCAGCACTGCAGCAATGTGCTCGACCTCGTCCAGGACCTCGAGCTGCCGCCCAAGAAGTGGGCGCTGCGTCTCTTTAGCAACTCGGTTGTCGACGATGGCCTCGCCGCGATGCGCGCCCGCCTCTTTTGCGCGTACGCGACGGGCCTCCTTGAGATTGGTGCTGAGAAGCCGCATCAGCAGTGCCCACTTGTCGCCGAGGGGTACCTCCGGCTCGTGCTCGCGTTTCTAACGACGCCGTCCGTGTACATGGAAATGAACAAAATCAAGCTCGCGAGCCGTGTCAAGAGCGGCGCGCCGCTCATGAAAGCGCCGCCGCTCGTCCTTCAGCGCGCGCGCAGCGGCGGCAAGAAGATGGCGATGCTCGAAACCATCTTGGAGCAGGACAGTCGTAGTAGTACAGTAGTTATCATGGACGCGCCGAGCTGCTGACACCCCCAATGCAACGTGTACATACCCTCCTTCGCCTCCTACTTGGTCCCACCACACCGCAACGGGACTCGGGGCACACGCTTCTGGCCAGTTGGCTCGTCGCGCAGTCAACGTCTTCGGGTACCTTCGATGTGTATCGACCGACCTTCCTTGATCACTGTCCACCCGATATGCCCACCCAACCTTCGCCCACGGTCAACGTCCCAGTCCTCATCTCCCACCCACAGCAGTGATGCTGCTGCCTGCGGCAAATATGCTTCCTTCCAGCGCCTGACATTTGCACCTGCCATTTTGCCATTTTGCCTGCCAGCGATAAGAACAAAGTTGAATAATTGCCTAATAAACTAGTTGATTGCTCTTAATACGTCTACCATAGAAGTTGTTGCATGGAAATACAGGCACGTGTGCACTTAGATGTAGACTTCTTGCGTCTCGGCGTCGTACGCGGGCGTCTTGAGGAGCATCTTGCCGCCGTCCATCTCGGGGGTTTTGACCATGGACGGGTGCGTGTTCTGGAAGAGGCGCGCCGTCACCGACACGGGCCGCGTCGCGTTGTTCTGCTCGCGCATCTGCAGGTCGTCTAATACGCGGTGGTGCGCGTGCGGGTCGTGGTGGTGCTTCTCGTCGTGCTTGTCGTCATCTACGCAGTAGCGATATGAGCCCCACTGCTTCATATCGACAAGGCTTGCGTACCGCGCTGGTTGTCGTACATGCCCGACGACGACGACGTCGGCGACGTGTGCATCATGCCACTCGGCGGGTACATCATCATGTGCGGCGCGTCCGACGTGGACGAGTGACGGCGCAGGTGCTGCTGGTATTCGAACGGCGAGTGCTGGAATTCACCGGCAAAACCACCGCCGCTGTTGTTGTTGTTGTTGCTGGCAAACGGACCGGTCCCAAACTCCATGCCGTTGTGGTGGTTGCGCGGGTCGTACTCGCTGAGAAAGTTGCCGTTGTTGTTGTTGCCACTGCCGTCCATCTTGCCGTTGGCCGAGAGCACGAGCTTCTGGAACGGCGCGCCGCGAGGAAACATGTGATGAGCATCGCTGCTCGTCGGCGACACGATGAGCGACTGCGACCGCGGCTTCGTCTCGCGAGCGCAGCCCTTCTTCCGAAGCGATTGGCGCTGCATGCGGCGCATGGTCGAGTAATACCGGTTCTTGATGGCGTTGTCCGTGCTACGCAATGCTTGGATCCAATGGCAATGGATCCGACAAGACGTACCGGCCGGGCAGCATCTTGGAGATTTCCGCCCACTGGTTGCCGACGTTCTTGTGGCATTCAAAGATCACGTAATCCTCCTCCGCAGTCCACGCATCCTTCCGCACCGCAGGGTTAAGATGGTTGTGCCAGCTACACATGACATGAGTCTTTGGCGTGCATACAAGAGGTGCTGTACCGCTCGCGGCATTGCTTGCCGACGCGTCCTGGGAGGTGCATCGCGATGAGCGACCAGCGCTTGGCACCGTACTGCTTGACAAGCTGCATAAGCTTCTCGTTCTCTTCGCGCGTCCACGGCTTTTTGCTGTTGGCGTCGCCTTTCGAGCGCTTCACGTCGTCCTCTTCTTCATCGTCGTCCTGGTCGTACATGCGCTGCATCTAATAAATGGCGCAGTGAGGCTCAGGGACACCAAACGGAGCGCGAGATGCTGGCGCGTACAAGATGGTCGCTGGACTCCATGAGGCCGCCCATGTCGTGCGTGTTCATGGCGAGGCGCATGCTGTCGGCTGACTTGTCCTTGAGGTGCATCGTCGGGTGCACCATGGCGCCGCCATGCTCGTGGGCCCGCTCGTGGTGCATGTGATGCGCCATGTGCGACTGCATTTGGAACTGCTCATGGAGGAGGCCCTGCATCTGCTGGTCGTGGCGGCCGTCGTGGTCGTCGTAAGCGTGGCCTTGGGCGTACATGGCGATGGGCCGTTTCCTTGCCGTTATCGGTCGGGAAGGCTTTTTCGTTTCTGGATCCACGACGCGGTTGTACTCATAGATCTTAGAGGCATGGGCCCTCTGAAGGGGTGTTGGTGTTTTATTGGCCAAAATCCGCGGCTTTGACATTTTTCATTGGCCCGCTCCTGTCCGCCCTAGCCCTAACAACAGTGATTGGCCAAAAAGCCGTCCACTTGTAACTTCTCTTTTTCGAATTTTCAACGCATTGGGCTTTTGTATTGGAAACCTTCGTCGGTGCATTGAAAAATATGGAAATGCAAGGCGAGGGCGCAGATCGCGGGGATTATGGCCAATCAGAAGTCGCCGACTATTCCAAGCCGAAACCAAATGCGACCTTCGATTTCTTGGAGCAGGCTCGGCGTCGGAGAAGCTGCCAGCTGCGAACAGCAGGATGCCCACACGTCAGGAACGCAAAGCAGCCAACCTCCGAGACGCAAGTGAAAGCATCCTGGAACGCACAAGCGTTTTCGGTAGCGTCGCGTGGGCCCTGCGGCCGGCGCCAACGCTCGGCGGTTTCTACGCCCGTTTCGAGCTCAAAACCAGCACGACGCGGATTGGCTGATTTTACGCCAATCAGAATCGCCTGGCAACCGATCTTTGGGCTCGGGAGATTCGTGGCTGCCGACTCGGCCCGTTCGACGAGTGGAGGTCGCGCCCAAGCGGCCGGCTCGACTCTCTGTCTCTCGGAGGGATGTCCTAGTAGCTGCGTCTTCCTCGACACTGACCTTGACTGGATCAGAGGCGCCCAGTGATAGCTACTTTCTGGCGCAAGATTTAACCGCTGCCCAATCAAGACGGCCAATCGAGTACAAAAATAATTTAAGGCTCCGCTTCCACCTTAAGTCCTGCGTGTACTCTAGCTGTAGAGGTCTTCTTCGTCTTCGTCGACAGCCGCCGCCGCCGCACCGGCGCCACCACCAATGATGTTGCGACCGGGGAAGCTGAAGTTGGCCAAGGAGCCGCCAGCCGAGTTGACCTGCGCGCGCGACTGCTGCAACGTCTGCGCAAACGTCGAGTATTGCTGCAAGTCGCGGTCGCTCACCGAGCGGCGCGCGTTGCGCACTGCGTCCTCAAAGTGCGCAGCCGTAATCTCGGGCACCGGGTCGTCCTCTTCAATGTCCTGCATGTCGTCGCCGGCCTCGGCACGGAGGCGATCGCGCTCCATGTCGCGCTGGATCGACTCGCGGATCGCGAGCTTGGCGGCGCGCTGGCAAATCTCCGTCAAGTCGGCACCCGTAAACTTGTCTGTCTGGGCGGCGAGGTAGTTGAGATCGACGTCCTTCGAGACGGGACTCTTGCGCAGCGCAGCCTTGAGAATCGAGAGGCGCGACTCGAGGTCGGGCATCGGGATGAAGATGAGCTGATCGAGACGACCCGGGCGCATGAGGGCCGGGTCGATAATGTCGGGACGGTTGGTCGCACCGATGAAGAACACGTTCTTCTTGGCCCCCATGCCGTCCATCTCCGTCAGGAGCTGGTTCATGACGCGGTCACCGGCGCCACCGCCGTCACCCGACGAACCGCCACGCTGCTGCGCAATCGAGTCGAGCTCATCGAAGAACAAGACGCACGGCGCGGCCGCACGTGCCTTGTCAAAGACTTCACGGACGTTGGCTTCCGACTCACCAAACCACATGGTGAGGAGCTCGGGACCCTTGACCGAGATGAAGTTGGCTTGGCACTCGTTGGCGACGGCCTTGGCGAGCAGCGTCTTACCGCAACCCGGCGGGCCGTAAAAGAGCACGCCCTTCGAGGCGGACATACCATACTTCTCAAACTTCTCCGGGTGCTCGACGGGGTACTGGACGAGCTCGCGGAGCTCGCGCTTGACCGACTCGAGACCACCAATGTCCTTCCAGCTGACATTGGGCACCTCGACCGTCGTCTCGCGCAGCGACGAAGGGTTCGAGACACCGAGTGCGTACTTGAAGTGTTCCTGCGTCACGGCCATTGCGTCCAGGATCTCAGCATCGATCGACTCGTCTTCAATGTCAATCACGTCCATCTTCTCGCGGATGCACTGCAGCGCAGCCTCGGTACAGAGAGCGGCCATGTCGGCACCGACAAAACCGTGCGTGTCGCGGGCGATCGCCTCGGGGTCAACCGTGTCATCGAGCTTCATGTTGCGCGTGTGGATGCGGAAGATCTCGAGGCGGCCGTTCTCGTCCGGGACACCAATGTCAATTTCGCGATCAAAGCGACCAAAGCGGCGGAGGGCAGCATCAATGCTGTTGGGGCGGTTCGTGGCGCCAATGACGACGACGCTCGAGCGCTTCTTCATGCCGTCCATGAGCGTCAAGAGCTGCGAGACAATGCGACGCTCGACTTCGCCGTTCGTCTTCTCACGCTTGGGCGCGATCGAGTCGATTTCATCGATAAAGATGATCGCGGGGGCATTCTTCTCGGCCTCCTCGAAAGCCTTGCGGAGGTTGCTCTCCGACTCGCCGGCCATCTTGGACATGATCTCCGGACCGTTGATCAAAAAGAAGAAGGCACCCGTCTCGTTGGCGACGGCGCGGGCCATCAAGGTCTTACCCGAGCCCGGGGGACCATAGAGCAAAACACCACGCGGCGGCTTGACACCGAGCGTCTTGAAGAGCGTCGGGTGGCGAAGCGGGAGCTCAATCATTTCGCGGATCTGGGCCATCTGGCGGCGACAGCCACCAATGTCGCTGTAGCCCACTTCGTCGAGCTTCTCTTCGTCCTCGCGCTTGATGGGCTCGCCTTCGCAGTGGATGATCGTGTCCGGCGCGACAATACAGTACGGCGCAGGGTCCGTCTCGACGACCTTGAATTCGACAGGGTGCATGGCCTGGCGCACCAAGAACAAGTCGCCCTTCTTCACGGGGCGGTACGCCTCCAAAAAGTACGGCTTCAAGTAGACTTCAAAGAGGTTGCCCGTGACGCCTTCGATCGTATCATCAATCGGGAGCACGTGGATGCGCTTGCCGTACGGCACATCGCCGCAGGCGTGGATCGACACAAGGTCGCCGAGGCGCACGCGGAGGTTCTTGCGCACGACGCGGTTCATGCGGATGTTGGCTTCCTCGCAGTTGTCGTCCTGAAGCACGATGCAGACGCTCTCGTGACCAAGCTTGCCCTTGATGAGCACCGTGTCACCGCGGAAGAGCTGGAGCTCCTCCATCTTGGCCATGCTCAGCGCCACGACCGAGTTGTCATCGTTCGTTGCTTCGTCCACGATGAGGCGGTTGGGCGACCGCTTGCGGTCCATGATCCCAGCGTTGAATTCCGGCTTTCTACGAGGAAGCGACCATAAGCCTCTCCATCCTCTTCCTCATCCATCGACGGTCATGCGTACTTGTCACCCATGCTGCTGCTGCCGCCGGCCGACTTCTTTGGAAAATGAAAATCCCGTGGGAGCCGCACGATATGTAGGATCTTCTCTCCGGATACAGCGATATCCGGTACCCTACCCTAAACAGGACGTGACTTGCTTTTTGTATGCTGTGACCAACATTCAACGCGAAATCGGCCGAAATTTCGAGATATGGTTCCGCGCTTCCAGCGTCCACGTCACCACCGCGACGGGGCGATGCTTCGACCGACGACGACCGACGTGCATGGAGGAGGCCGCCCATGGAGGACACGCTCAATGGAGACGGTCAAGCATGGAGAAGGAGATGCAGGGAACACGAGGACGAGGAGCTGGAACCACGCCATGGGTGCGATCGACGGAGCGACTGCGCATTGCTGGGCAGTTGGCACCGCCGGATACGTTGGTGCACCTGGCACGTCGGTTCGCTGGGCGCCCACATGCGCACCTGTTGCCCATTGCGGTCGCAATGACTGCGAGCTATGGGCGTGACGCCGCCGACGAAGTCTCGCGAAGCCGGTGCTGGCCATCGCAGAGTGCGCTCCATTGTGCAGGTACTAGACCGATCCTCCTCTGCGGCCACGAGGTCCTTGGAACCGGTACGAGACCGTCAGCGACTGCCACGGAATGGATCCTAGCCATCTCCTTCCACGTCTCTTCCTCGCCTCGGCGTCCATGTCGATGACAGCATCCCCGTCGTCGTCCTGCCCCGGCACGCGCATGTGACCATCGCATCTTCGAGGACCTGTAGCATCGAGGAAAGGTCGACCGTTTCGCACGCTACAAATGTCAAGTGCTTTTGGCCAGCGATAATTTGGCCGTGCCGAACCCACCGAGCTCGACCAATCCGGAGCAGGTGCATACTCTGGCCGAGTGTACGGTATCGTGGTCGGAGTGCAGATCGATCGATGGTCTGGCTGCGCCTCCTCGTCGCCGGCGCCGCGACCGCCGTCGCCCACCACACGCTGCATTTGACGCGGCGCCTCGTCGTCAGCAGCAATGCGTCGTCGGTCGCAAGCGTCCCGCTCGAAAACTATGGCAACGTGCAGTACGTCGGCGAGCTCGCGTTCGGGTCGCCGCAGCAGAACCTCAGCGTCGTCTTCGACACGGGCAGCAGCGATACGTGGGTGCCGAGCATTGATTGCACGACCTGCGGCGTCCACGCCGCCTTTGACGCGGGCCTCTCGAGCACGTACCACAGCGCCAACGAACAATTTATGGACGCGGTCCGACCTTGCGCGTTGGAGTCTCGAGGCTCATGTATGCTTCCTGTAGTATGGCAGCGGCGCCGTGCGTGGCGTCATTGGCGTCGACACGATCGGCCTCGGCCCGTTCACAATCCCCAAGGCGCGCTTTGGCGTCGTGACGTCCGAAACCAAAGCCCTCGAGGTACGATCGATGCGATGTCAAGTGATGGGCTCATGAATCTCTGCGCCCAGCTGTTCATTGCCGACGGTCTCGTGGGCTTGGCGTTCGAGAGTCTCGCCAAGATCACACGCCCGACGCTCTTCTCGCAGCTCATCCAGGACAACGTCCGGCATCGATGCTCTCACAACTCTAGTCACCATCGTATCTCATGTGTAGCCGAAGCTGGGCAACATGTTTGCCTTTTACATGACGCCCGACCCAACGACACTCGGCTCACAGCTGCACCTGGGCGGCTACGACCTCTCGGTCGTGGGGCCGAATGCGAGCTGGCACTATACGCCTGTGGTCAAACTCCCAGGTGATACCATCATCATCTATGATGCAGGGTGTCAACGCCGCTGTGCTAGACTTTGACACGTTCACGTACTGGGCCGTCAAGTACGCTGCTTCCTTTTCGCATCCTTCTTACTTCGCATCTTAGGATGAATGGCTTTGCGGTCGGGAACGCCACCACCAACTACTGCGCGCCGTTCTGCTTCGCCATTGTACTACGTCGCAAATGATGCCGTCGCGTCACGAGTCGACATGTAGGTCGACACGGGCACGTCACTCATTAGCATTCCGGGCACACAGTTTGATGATGTTGTGGCGACCATCACGGCCGGCCTCAACTGCGACGGCGTCATGTGCTATGACGTGGCGCTCGCAAGTTTTCCAGCGCTGCGCTTTGGGATGGCACCCGACAACGTCTTTGAGCTGCAACCAAACGACTACGTGGCATGCATGGACAATGGCGCGTGCCGGCTCCAGCTTCAAAATTCCGGGTACGATAGTGTAATCTTTGTCGCTCACAGAACAGCGCGTCCTAGCGACGAAGCGTGGTGGGTCCTCGGTGATGTATTTATGAAGACGTACTACACACTCTTCGACGCGGGCAACATGCGCGTCGGCTTTGCGTGCAACGACGGCGTCTGCAAGGGCGGGACCGGGCACATCCACGGCGAAGACGACGACCGGACGTTCCTCATTTGGGAACACATATTCCTGTACGGCTCGATCTTTGCGGCGGCGACGCTCCTCCTCCTTGTGTTTTACATGCACCAGCACAACGAGCCGTCATTGTCGCCGGCCGTGCATCTCCCAGCGACCAAGACGCACGCGATTCCAATCGTGCTGGCGGTCGAGCCGATCGACTCGGCGTCGCCGCTGCTGACGACCGAACGTCCGCTCGTCACGTCGTATGCGGAAGCGCGGCGCAACTACACGTCGCTGCCCGACTCGAAGGTCTAGAGTCCACGCTACGTCGAGATTTATAAAAGTAATTATCGAGTTACGGCGCAAGCGGAGGCACGTCGTCGTCCTCTTCGTCGCTGCTCACGTCGAGGAGGTTGATCTCGTTGGCCAGCGCGGCTGCACAGTCCTCGTCGACGTCCTCTTCGATGTGGATCGTTGTCGCGTCCTTGACCGGCGCCGGCTTGTCGAGCACCGACTCGAACACCGGTGCGGGCGCGGTGGGCGTCGACGTTGTTTGCTCGACGTCGTCGTTGGAGACGCCGAGCGACTTGGCGCGAATCTCGCCCCAATCGGGCTCCTCGCCTTCTTCGTCGCGAATGAGAAAGTCCACGAGCTTGTAAATCTGGTCGCTGATCTCGTCGTTGCCCTCGACAATGTGGGCGTTGCGCACGATCGGGTAGACCTTGCGCTGGCGCAGGACGTTGCGGCCGTTCCGGGACGAGCAGAAGAGGAGGAGGCACTCGACCGCGGCCTGGCGCACGGCGTTGTCGGACTCGCGCTTCTTCTTGGGACCGAGGCTAGCAAGCACGAGCGCGCTGAGCCCGTTCTTCTCTTCGATTTCGAGCGGCTCGGGCCCCACAAGGCGCTTTTGCATGTGGCCCACGACGTCAAGCGAGTCGTAGAGGAAGAAGTGGTTGTCGCTGTCAAAGCAGAGGTTGCGCACGGCCTGCACGATCCCGCGACGACGGACAACGTTGGGCGAGTGGATCTGCGGCAAAAGCACCTGCACGAGAGCCTGCGGCGTCGACGACGACGCGGTCTTGCGCATCTGCAGGAGAAAGTCGCGGCCTTCCTCGAGCTGCGTAATGTTGGCGAGCACGTTGGCAATGTACTGGTAGTCGTCGTCCCACTTGGGTTCGCCACTCGCGAGGTCGACGCCATCGGGCTCGGGCTCGGATTCGAGGAAGAGCATCGTAAGGTTCTGCAAGATGACCTCGCGGACCTTGTACTTGGTGTCGTTGGCCACGAGCGCTTTCGCGCCGTCCGGCGTCGTCGTCACGTTCGCCAGCAGCATCATCGAGAGGTCCTTGTGCGCAAAGTCCGAGTCGAGCTGGTTCATGAGGCGGTTCACAATGTCAAACTGCAGTGCGCTCTCGCACGCGACCGGGTGCGTCGCCGTGATGTTGACAAGCGCGTGGATCGCGTCGCGGGCGATCGTGTTGACGTCGCTCACGAGGCGGCAGAGCGCCTTGACCGCGTCCGCCTTGATGAGCTGGTGCACGCCGGCGTCCGTGGCCGTGAGCCCGAGCGCCAGCTGCATCGCCGACTGCCGCAGATCCGCGCGCGGGCTCGACAAGAAGCCAACCAGCTCCGCCATCTCGTTCGACGCCATGGTTGCACTTGGTTTTTCAATGACCAAACCAATGGTTGGCGCCGATTCAGTGTCTTGCCAATCGTATGCCATACAATACACAAGATACAATATCAAAATCCACCTTTCATTTCCTCTGCCGACTACGAAGTTGGGACAATGCCAAGGACCTATGTAGAACAGAACACGGGCTTGGCAATAAGCAAGGCTCGGGGGATTGACCCTTGCAGTGTGTAGATCATGCAGTGGCTGCGATCGGAAGTATTTTCCAGCGTCCGATGCAGCATCCGACGCTGGAAAATGCTTCCTTGGTCGGTGTCATTGAAATGGACCAATCACCGCGCGGCGCTGGATCGGTTTCGGCCAATCAGATACCTTGGTTGACGGTGGAAGCATCTTCCAGGCATTTTGGTCATCGCGCACCAAGCTCATCATTATTCCTTTGACCACCATGTTCACATCCCGATCCATTTCCAAGAGCTTTGTCTCGGTGGCCCAGCGCGAAGGCGTCGGCGCGACAGTCCGCCGGTCCATTGGCCACCCGATGCTGCGCCGCCTCGACCCGTTCTTGATGCTCGACGAGTTCCACGTGCAGCTCCCCGGTGGGTTTCCCGACCACCCGCACCGCGGCTTTGAGACCATCACGTACCTCTTGCCGCACTCGCCCGGCATGATGCTCCACGAAGACTTTTGCGGCCACCGCGGCGAGCTCGCGCCTGGCGACCTCCAGTGGATGTGCCCTGGCCGCGGTATTGTCCACTCGGAGATGCCAGCGAGCCGGAACAAGCCCGCGATTGGCCTCCAGCTCTGGCTCAATTTGCCCAAGTCGCTTAAGATGACTGAGCCGAAATACCAGGAGATTCCGGCCAAGGGTCTCCCGCACGTCAAGGAAGG